TTTAATTTCAAACACCGCACCGCATAAAACATTCATATAACATTCATTTCACGAGAAAACATGAGCCCGACAAAATTGACCCGCTCACCACTGTGTTACTTCATAGCTCAGTTGGTCAGAGCACTGCACCGGCACTGCAGAGGTCATGGGTTGGATTCCCGTTGAGTCACCTGATTTTTTCAGGTTTATGAGACAATTGCTTAAATTGTCCAAAAAAGTGCGAAGATCATATCTTCATTTAATTTAAACGACTTATTCACAATACAAACAAGCGATCAACTAAAAACATTACACTTCACACTAATTCACAATGGCAATACACAATTGACACCCAAACATTACAACTAAAAACATCACAACTAAATCACACATCACAACTAAAAACATTACACTTCCCACTAATTCACAATGACAATACACAATTGACACCCAAACATTACAACTAAAAACATCGCACCTAATAACACATCACAACTAAAAACATTACACTTCACAATGACAATACACAATTGACACCCAGAAATTTCTTGTACACACAATACAATGACGTAAGTACCATATAACAAATACGGCTAACCTGACCAGTTTTGCCAGATCGTGAACAAAGCTCATAGATTTGTGAACTTTTTGTGAACTTTTCAAAATTCTGTGTAGGATTTCATGAACCTTGTGTTGTCATTCCTTTAAGATAGAAAATAATAAGTACAATGATTCAGTAATAGAAATAGTAAATTGTTTACTTCTTGTAACAAGTAATAATATTATGTCAAAAATTTAAACTATTTACATATTACATAAATTATGTTAAACTAAAATTAATTTGCTGTGTTATTTCCGTTACTTTGTCCTGTTTTGAGTTTTTATTTAACAAAAATGTCGAACATGTTGGAAAGCGATAGCGATGCTGATGATGGTTGTTCATTCGTAAATGATAATGAAAAAGGTGAAGCTCCAAATCCTAAAAATGCTAAGGTAAAATATACAGCCGATTTTACTCAGAAGATATAACTAAATTTAATACAAAAACAATAGTTGAAATTTATGATCACATTCTTAATTCTGTAGATTGTCTGCACCAGACCAACAAGATGGCAAACTGTTAAATACAGGCAAACATACCGTCATGCTTGGGAAAAACATCCTTTGTTTAAGGGTTGGCTTCAACCTGTTGCCAAAAATCCGAGCAAAGCGTACTGCAATGTTTGTAAAAGAGAGCCCATAGCAGTTATAACAGCCTTAAAAAAACATAGCGTATCACAAGGAAAAAGTCAACGTTCTCGTTAATCCTACCCTGAATCGAATTGATTCTATGTTTGCTCGTCGTTCAGGCCTAATACATGGAAAAGTTCAGGAAGCTGAATTGCGTAAGGCCAGCTTTATCAGCGAGCATAATTCTTTAATATAATGGATTACTTTAGTGATCTTCTGCCGCAGTTGTGTCCTGATTCACAAATTGCTGCTAGTTTTAACTGCAAACGCACTAAAGCTAAATGCATTGTAAAAAATGCTCTGTCGGCCCATTTTCATGAAGAACATGTACAAAATTTGAAAAACACCAGATTTTCCACAATTATCGATGAAACTACTGATGTATCTACGTGTAAAGAATTGGCTATCGTTACCCGTCATTATGACAAGCAGTCTTTAACTGTGCAAAGCCATCTTTATGATCTTTTCGACGTCCCCCAAGCTGATGCAGAAACACTATATCAGACACTTGTAAATACCATACAAACAGACAATGAAAGTTTGAACAATGTAATTGGTTTTGCAGCCGATACTTGTAACGTCATGTTTAGAGAGAATAACAGTGTTGTCTCCGGCCATAAAGAGAAGTTACCAAATATTTTTGTCATGCGATGCATTTGTCACAGTGCTCACCTTTGCGCATCACGCGCATGTAAAAAACTTCCCGGACAGCTGAGGAGTTGATCCGTGATGTATACAATTACTTCTCCAACAGCCTCAAACATCAAGAGCAATTCATAGTTGTCCAGCACTTCTGCGACGTAGCACCGCACAAATTGTTGCGCCCATATCAAACAAGATGGCTTTCGCTTCACTCCTGTGTGTCCAGGCTCATTGAGCAATGGGACGCACTGATTATTTTCTTTAAAGCGGTGGTTGGTCACGATAAGTTGCTAATCTCGGAGAAGATTCTTTTGCTCTTGCAGAATCCTATATGGAAGCTATATTTTCACTTTTTGGAGTTGGTGCTTCCCAAGTTCACGGAGCTAAATGTCATGTTCCAGAGTTCGAAATCTTCTGTCCACTGTCTGCACAATGGTTTGAGTGCTATTTACAGAGAAAGCTGCTACTTAAAAGAAGCCTACTGGAAAGGGTTACCATTAAAAGACATCGATCCAGCCAGCAAAGTGAATTTCATGCCATTGTCAAAAATGTATATGGGAGCTCGGATTACCCTTTGTTTGACAAAAGATGAGTACAAGCAACGACCAACAGACGTGCAACATTTTCTTAAGTGTGTGCAAGAATTTTACATTGAAGCTGCTTCTCAAATAAGAAGTCGATTTTCAATAGGAGATTCGATCATTGAGATGCTTCAAGTCTTAGATCTAGGCGTGAGTCGTGCAAAGTTTTCTTCTCTTGCTCCTCTTGCCATGGCTTTTCCAAATATTATAATCGAGTCTCAACAACAAGCACTTGATGACCAGTGGCGTATGCTTTCTCATGTCACCTTACCCTTCGACAGTGATGGTATGGAACCAGAAGAATTTTGGGGTCAACTTGAAAAGATTACCGATGGCATTGGAAATGCGAAGTTTAATCTCTTGTGTGACTTCATGCAAAGTTTGCTTTGCTTACCACATGCAAATGTCGATGTGGAAAGATTGTTTTCGTCAGTCAGCTCAATCAAGACCAAGAACAGAAATCGATTACAAACTGCAACTGTCCGGGCATTGATAAAGGTAAAAATGGTGTCAAGTTGTCTGGTGGTTGCGTAAAGTTTTCACCCCCACTTGGAGCTAAACAAAGGATGTCAAGCAGCATTCTTTATGCTGACGAGAACAATGAAGACTCGATTGACAGCAATTAAAAACGGTACATAAACTCTTAACAGTTTACTTAAGGCTTGAAGGTGAGCAGAGTATCGATGAATGAAGCATTTACCCAAAAGAATAATATATTTTATGCAGCTCGCCTCTCCTTCATTGGTTAGGCTGGGAAAATATCTTTAAGCCTGATTTCGTTTCGTTCCTCATATTTGTTTATTGTAAATTTAGCTCTTTAAATTTATTCAATTTGCTAATCAATGTGATTTGATAGAGCTGTTTCGGATTTCAATTGATTATTTATCGTTTTTGGTGATTTCTGGTCATGTTATGAGTATATTCAACATTCATAAACAATTTCCGAGCTATTCCGATAATTTCCGATAATTTCCGACACATTCCGACTTAAAAAATGTAGATACATGAAGTTTTGGTAATTTTTGTGAACTTTTGACGTCAGAGAACATAATTAATTAGAAATTTTATCTGGCAACACTGAACCTGACGTTTACTCCTCATTTGACTCTGAAGATGACTACCGCTAAGGTTATAGAAACGTCAGTCAACAACAACAAAAACAGTCCTTCTCAGGACTATACCAACCTGGACGATCTACATTTACAAACATGTAACGATGTTAACTTGCCTTTGTATATCAATAAATTGATGAAAAAATTGCGCTGGGAGTGGGTCATTGTGCAATGAATTGTTCAGAGAGTGTCTGCTCAGAGAGAACTTCAAAGATTTTAAGAACTTTCGCCTGGGAGTAGACGACTCCTCACATGATGTGACGTAAAAATGAGATCACGTCCATGGACGAATTAGCTTCATTATACTGAATAAAGCTGTTAAAACAAATTTTAAAAGACCGCACTCCAAATTTATAGGTGCAATTCTACCGCATAGGTGTATAATTCGAGCGAATAATCAACGGTTTCTCCTTATTACGTCACTTTCGGTGTGGAGCCACCTACATTTCTGTCCATAAAAGGCCAAGAACATAAAATTTTTCAATCTATCACATATATATTGCAAATATGTTTAAAATCTATTTGATTATCTGAAGAAGTTATTTCCCTGAACCTGATATAGGCACTTTAAAGACATATATGACTAATGAGCACATACTTACGTGTACCTCCATCTGTCTTGCACCTTTGCGCAAAAACTGTTTCTATTGGATCGTTTATTGGTCTTTTAATCAGTATCTTTGAGTGTTATTAGCACGAATGAAGAACTTAAGAAAATATGATAAAGATCAATGCAAACCGCATGGCAGTGGTAAAATTTGCAAGACTAGAAACATTTCACTTTGGCGAAAAATTTTTTTGATGAGATCAGATGTGAAAATGGTGAGCGTCTTATTTTGGATTTCGAGGAATTGAACTTATTCATATGATGACAAAATAGTATTTGAAGTGAATAACTTTCTGTGTTAGTCGAGACATTCAAAACAAGATGTTTTTGTAGTCGAGACATTCAAAACAAAAGTTTTTTGTTGTTTTTGTAATGAGCACATACGTGCGTGTACCTCCATCTGTCTTGCACCTTTGCGCAAAAACTGTTTCTATTGGATCGTTTATTGGTCTTTTAATCAGTATCTTTGAGTGTTATTAGCACGAATGAAGAACTTAAGAAAATGTGATAAAGATCAATGCAAACGGCATGGCAGTGGTAAAATTTGCAAGACTAGAAACATTTCACTTTGGCGAAAAATTTTTTTGATGAGATCAGATGTGAAAATGGTGAGCGTCTTATTTTGGATTTCGAGGAATTGAACTTATTCATATGATGACAAAATAGTATTTGAAGTGAATAATTTTCTGTGTTAGTCGAGACATTCAAAACAAGATGTTTTTGTAGTCGAGACATTCAAAACAAAAGTTTTTTGTTGTTTTTGTAATGAGCACATACGTGCGTGTACCTCCATCTGTCTTGCACCTTTGCGCAAAAACTGTTTCTATTGGATCGTTTATTGGTCTTTTAATCAGTATCTTTGAGTGTTATTAGCACGAATGAAGAACTTAAGAAAATGTGATAAAGATCAATGCAAACCGCATGGCAGTGGTAAAATTTGCAAGACTAGAAACATTTCACTTTGGCGAAAAATTTTTTTGATGAGATCAGATGTGAAAATGGTGAGCGTCTTATTTTGGATTCCGAGGAATTGAACTTATTCATATGATGACAAAATAGTATTTGAAGTGAATAATTTTCTGTTGTAGTCGAGACATTCAAAACAAGATGTTTTTGTTGTTTATATTGTTCAATATGAAATTTTTCCTCTGCTATTTAGTCAATCCAGCTACAACACAATCTAGCGTTAGTTTTTGTTTTCTATACTTGATCGCAAGCAGCGTTGTGATGATTAGACCAATGCCATTCAACATTTGACCCATTTTGACATATTTGGTATAAAATTTCTAATATAGGTAAGTTAGCGTTGCTTGTATGCCTTAAAGGTCTTGCTTAGTTGTTGGCAAAGGTATATCTCCAATCTCCTCGATTTTTGTTGCGTAGGGCTCAACAGGTTAGTTTGAGGATAAGTGCTCGAGAAGAACTGTGTTCGGTGACCTAAATAAGCACTTCTTTCGTAGACTTGCAAAAAATATGATTCATCTTGCTGCAAAATTGATATATAAAATAAACATTTTCATAGAGAGAACTATGTTACCGAATAGGACTGTTGAAATAGCTTTGCATGCAGTGGTCATAATCATTTCTTTTTCATTTAATTAAAATGAGCTCGCCAAAAATGACCAATGAAATGACATTTTTTACACTTAGACACATCCAAGGACATCAAGTTTGGGCCGTTTGACTCTTCTTATCTTGGTTGTGTTGTGTGTTGGGATGCAGAAAGAAGTTGGTCGTAAGAAGATTGAAATGTGTCAAGAGCAATATGATCAGCTAGAAAATGATGTGAAATTGTGGAAAGGGAGATGCGTGAATCAAAATGGCACCTATAATAATAGCATCAGATGCAACGAAGAAAAGGAGTACAACAAGGAAAGAATGAAATCTTACACGGAAATATGTTTCTACAACTATGGTGAGAGATTTTCATCATATAATTTATGCTATGATTTTTAAAGTGTGTGTTATACAATTTTCCTTTAATGTGTCCAAATTTAATTAAACAAATTAAGACTAAGAGAGAAGAAGCCTCCCTCCATGTTGCCCCCGTGGTTATACATCCCTCCCTATCAGAATGCCCTTTTTTAAGACATTGATAAAATAGTGAGTTGTGTTTACATCTAAAGTCAACAATTTCCCGGCGACTAAGTGGTTTCTTCAGTTAAAAAATTCGCTAAAGAGGAAAGACGTTTGCCCATATTCTGCGTTTGCCCGTATTCTGCCCACACTTACTCATTGAGCGGTGCCTCGAAATCACCTCATACTTATTCAAAGACAGTATTTTCACTTCACTATTTGCTTGATTAGAGAGAGCACAAATTTACGTCGTACTCAATGAGAGTGAGAGTTAGTGAGCTTTTAGAACACGGTAAAATATTTTCCATTAGAGGACTTTCATTCATTCCGATTGTTATATTATTGATGCTTGATAAATAACATTATAGATTGCCCTTATTCTAAATCAGGGCCAGATTAAGATGTGTGGTGGCCATGGGCAGCAAAAATATGTAAAGGCCCTTTTCCTTACTTTAAAGGCCACGGGCCCCATTTTCCCAATAGCAAAATATAAATATGAATTTTGTAAAACATCTGATAAAAGTATAAAATTCGAAGATAGTGTGTAAAGCATTTGCATACGATGATTGAATGCTACTTGAGATTGACTAGTTTGCAGAATTTGATCTGGCAGTGAGTCTTTGATAAGTTCGTCCAAGTTCATTTCTCTTAGAATATCGTCCTCGATGCTCATGAAAGCAAATTAGCTGAGTTAACAGTGATTCATTGTCATACATAGTCTGTTCTTCACCAACTTAAATTGACCTAACGCGAGTATAAACAAAATGTTTTTCTTTCTTCTGTGAGGCAACAATGTTTAATTTTCCTTTAAATAATGTGGAGGCCCTTGTTTGTGGACCCCTTGGGCAGTTGTCCAGTCTTGCCCTTTGGCTAATTCGGCCCTGTTCTAAATTAATGCAGAGTTTAAAAGCTGATGTCTTCTGGAAGAAAAGGCTACAATTTAAAAGTACGTGAATGAGAACCATGAGGAAACTGTATGGAAAATATCACAAAAACTGTTAAAAGAATTATGTAAAAATATATGCTCAGAGAGCACTTTGTATCAACACCTATTAACGGCAAAATTTTTCAGTCCTTCCTAAGAGCAAAAATATAATAAAATCACCATAAATCGTTCATTGGTTAAGAACATTTATGCTTCACGCAAGTTGAATTTCACGCATTTTACTTATCTGTATATTTATAGTGCACGCATGAAATTTGGCATGCTGATACAAAAATACATCAGCTCTTCATAATTTTTCAAGATAGCTTTTCCTTAAGAAGTCTTCCGCCTTTATTTAACACTATCCTCTTATTTGACCGTAGCACTACCCTCTTGTTGGAAAATAAAACTACTTAATGTTTTTCAAGTGTTTTGATCAATTAAATGACCCGATCCAAACATTAGGGAATGTTGCTCGGGTTAAGAAAACTGTGAAAATCACTTGTTTTCGGTTCGTGTTTTGCAAAATTCTCTCGTGTTTAGATCAGGTCATACAAAAAAGGAAATTGTTTCATCACCGGAGCACGGATGTGTTGACCTAAGTGGGCGTCTTGTTTATTGACGATTGATTAATTAGTTTAGTAGATCTTTCCGCTCAAACAACTAAACGAAGCTCTATTTTTCTAACTATAATGACTTAGAATACCAGTATAAGGTCATTGCAAGGTTTAGAATATTGTCGTTTTAGTCTCTTCTTTCTATTCAGGAACTTATCCCGGTACATACCTGTTCTTGTTGACAAAAACGACGATTGATTCCATCGATCTTCTAACAAAACATGTCTCAAAAGGTGTTATCAGTGGACTGACAACAAGTAATACCATGGATATTGATATTGTTGATCGCAAGGTTTATTTTAGCGACAAAGACGACATAAAAAGGGCAAATTTTTATGGTACCAACGTCGAAATGTTCGTAAAAAACGCCAAAGCCAAAGATATGACAATTGACTGGATTTGTCGTCGTTTGCTTTATGTTGACGGTGGAGAAATAATTTATATGATCGATTTATATGATAAGAACGCGGTGGAGTTTAAAACCAAGTCGTACTTGAACGGAATAGCAATGGATCCTATAAAAGGGTAAGCAATTTTTGTTACGATGGTGACTTTTAAACTTTGATTAGTACCCAGCATCAAGTCGCCCATTGCCTCAAAGGGAACGCGGAGTAGTATGATAATCCATTGTATCCGAAGGTTTCTTCATTTATTTTTTATTTGTCTATCTAGGAATGTCTAGTATAAGATGTAACTAATTTCTTGTGCCATATTTCTACAAATAAGCATAATTTTCCTTCCTATATATTCCTATTATTTGCATGCTATTTGTCACTATCTTACCGAGACTGAAAGATACAGTGTGTTTTGTACTTTGTTTACCTTCGACTGCTGTTGTTTCCCGAGGCGAAGGCGAGTTGAATTTTCAAGGAGAAAACAGGCAACAACCTAAATAAACGAAATATTTACTTTCCAAATAGATATGTAAATTAATAGTAAAAAAATACTTTGGAAAAATTCCCGCGCTTTTTTAATCGACATTTGCTCCCATAGGATAGTGAATGTTGTCAGTTATCGGCGTTGTAACAAAAGGATTGTTTGTATTTGGACGATATCTGATAAAAATCCATTCTCGTCAATGTTTACTGCTGATGTACGCGACGTGTTTTTTGATGTGGAGAACGAAAAACTGTACTACATTATACCCAATGGACTCTTATCACGTAGTTATGTAAATAATCAATCAACATGGAATACAATGGACTACACTGCGACAAAAATGGTAGCAAATGCTAAGTTTTTGTACTTGTTGGAAGATGCAAATGATTTTATCCATGTTCATGATGGATCAAGCATTCGTACGAAGGAAGCGTTTGACATCCCCAAAGCTACATATCTTGATATAGCTTTAATGAACAGCAATACACAAGGTAAGACGACAGGCTCATTTTTCGTGAAAATCACCACCAGGGTCTTTTAAACATCTATTTTCAGGTTTTTCATGGTTTACTAGTCAGTTTACACATTTCTTTCGCTTTTAACCCTTTCTGTGGCAGTGTAGAAGATTTGCAACCATCACCAAACGAAATAGGGGAGAAAATTTTGAAAAAATGCACCACCTTAGGGGTTAATGAAAAAGTTAAAAAACCCACGAGGTTCAATGTACGACATGTAATAATATACAAGTATAATTCTACTAAAACTTTATAGAACCACGGAAACTTTTTCGATTTTGTAGTATCTTCTTTACACTCTAGTCTAGATGATGAAGTTTTGAATTTGATAGTAAATAATGAACTTTGTCTGTTTTCTTTTCCACAGCGTATGTCTAATGAAAGATGTATGTATTATTTATTTAGAGATTACGTCACGTGGTCGTCAAGGTAACTGCTGCGTATTGAACAACGAGACAAGGTTTGTGCTCGATGAAGTGCAATGTACAGGTAAGATTATGATAAATGAGTCGTTAAACGCTCATTTTTAAAACGAAGCATTTGATGGTTTTTGCTTATTTACTTCAGCGACTTCAAACACTGACTTTGTTTAATTTCGGTGTATCGTAACAACCATGTAGTGAGGTGGCTTATGAAATAACTTACGAAAATACTTCAAATTATCTTAAAATCTTCAATCTTGGCACAGATATTACTCAACTTAACATGACTTAAAATTTTGGCAGACACACGAGACTAGGTCACGTGATTCATGTCGCCATCGTTTTCCTTGTGAATTATCCCTTTAAGTATGTGAAGTTGGGTCGATTGTATACCATTAGAAAGGAAAGTTAATGCTTGTTACTTTTATCCGACAACCATTGTCAAGAAGTTTGAAGTTTTAGGTATATCCAGAAGTTTATTACTTTTGAATGTAACGTGTCCTTAACAGAAAGTAAATTGAAGAGCCAACCTCACCATCTATTAGGGTCATAATTTTGATCAGAATGTAGCTTTCAAATATTTTTTAGTACCAAAGTGTACAGATAAGTCCATTTTCATCTGCAAGTGGTCCACATAACATATTACCAACTTACAAGCAATGGCAATTCTGATTTACTATGTATCAAATCTTACTTTTAAAAATTATTTTATTAATTTAGTCGTATCGATGTACAGGAACAAATACAAGTAAAACGTGTTCAGCCTATTCTATATAAACACAAATACACTTGGAGCTTAAGTTATAAACAAATTATTTATCATGATTGAAACTTGATTCCGAACTATAAATGAGACTGCCTAAATGAGGTAGATATACCAATTTCGGGCATTGTTTACTTACCCGTCCGAGTCAATCAGTTCATGTTCATCAAATATTGGTCTTCATCGTAGCTCTTTTCTTGCTCATCTGCAACATTTACCTTGTCAGTGAAGTTTAAAGCATGTTTCGTGTTTACACAATATATTTATTCATCTATATTTATTTAGTGGCGGGACTGGAACCGTCTAAAGCGAAATCTTACTCCATTATGATTTTGAGAAAACGGTAGATAAAAGGTGTTGGATCAGTCAATTTATCAGAGAAATGCGACAATATATGACCAATATTTGAACCTAACTAGTGGAAAGTGTAACAATGGCGTATTGTTGAACCATAGACCTTTAAGATTTAGAGATTTGTCTTCTGGTGTTGGTAACATTTCAAGTTTTAATATAACTATTGCAGCTTGGATTTATTTAAATGAGGTAAAGTATTTTAGCCCGGCTCATGCACTTTAACCTTTTTTGATACAGTTTAGTCTACAGTTTTTGAGTTTCACCGGGGAAGGAGGTTGTATGCGTCACAATAACTATGAAATCAGTAACTTGTGTATTAATTCAATAAGATATTCTGTTCACTGTTTTTCAAGTCTTGATGGTTGTTAATGAAATTTAATTTTTTTTAGTTTTATGTTTTGAAAGCAAAGGAAAAATGTCCACTTTGTAACAGAACCATCCCATGTAAAAAGGTCATCTTTTAATCTTTATTTATAAGGTTAAATTTATAGTATGAGCGTAATATTGGTTACCTCACGTCACGATATGTCTGAGGCCAATTTTGGTTGAATTTTACAATATATATTTTCATCAAAACAGATACTAACTTTCAACTTTCTTGCTTTAGTCTGCTGATGACAGAACACTTTTTTCAAGTTTTATGCACCTAAATCCCAATGACATATTTTTCAAATTTGAAGTCGGGAAAGATGGATATCTTCGTTGGTATTTCTTGTTTGAAAAACCCTTTAAGCTTCATGAAATTAAATCTAGGATAAAGCTTGGTGTTTGGCACCACGTTGCTGTCAGCTTCACCTTCTTTCGAGGTAAGTTTTAAATGGGATTTTAATGCTTAAGCCATTTCCTGTTTATGATTAATACATGTATATGCACTTCCGTCGCTTATGTAAATCATTTGTGAATCGATGATTTTCGTAGTTTTAATATCAAGTTATTAGGTTGTATAAGTTCATTTTCGTCAAGTTTGTTACCACACGGAAGAACTTTTTTGAAATGTAAAAATATCACAGATGGTGGTTGCTGTCTGCAAAAGGACAGAAAAGATAAATTCTTTTTACAATTTTTGTATAGCATTGTTTGGCAAAATCATTGGGCAAATTAGTTCTTACATAAATTAGAACTAAAAGGACACAAGACTCGAAGATTGTGCTGTTAAGATAACATTTTCGTTAAACATAACTTTGAAAATCACAGTGTATCTTCTAAAACAGTTTATTCAAATCACTTTTCATTCTCATGCAGGATATTGTAGTTTATGAAATGTACGCTTTACACAACTTATGATGTCACATTGCATGTCGACAATTAGAAATAACTTTGCTGACATGTTACCTCAACCGATCTGAGGTCCCTTCATTGTAAAGATTTAATGGTATAAAAACCATTTCAACCAAAGGTTGCCTTGAAACTAAAGGATGTTTGAAACTTCGTAGCAACTCATTATTCAAAGTGACGTCAAAAGTTGTTCAAATCGGACATTACAAAAACTTCAATATGTTGAGAGTGAAAATAGATTTATATGAACTGTTTTAGAAAATACACAGTCCCTTCAAAAGTTTTGTTGAATGAAATGTAAATAATAAAATTTTTGAGTCATGTGCCTTTTAAAGTGATTATGATTTTAGTAAAATTTATTCATCTAATTTATTTGTCTTGCACAAATGTGGTACACGATCAAAGTTAATGCGATTGTTACGGTATTATTATTATTAAATAACTATGTATAGCCGGATGTTCCTATTATGCTGAAGCCAAAGAACTTCTTCTCTGATAAATAATTTCCTGTTTAGGACAAACAAATTGCACATTTTTCATCAATGGCACAGAGTTTCAAAGTAAATCCTTACATACTGATAAGTACAACAAAACGTTGACGAACGTACGAATTGGTCCTCTTGGTAGACTCAATTTCATTGGTACCTCTGGTGCCTGTGGTGTAAAGCCATTCAGTGGTGTTATTGATGATCTTTACGTGTTGAACATCTCCATGTCTCGTGAGGAAATTCGTCGTTTAATGATGACGCCTTGCGAAAAAAGCAAAGTAAGTGTGAAAAATGAGTGAATGTATAGCAGTTATTTAGTGGTGGGTTACTACAGTGGTAGGCTAAGTAGGCTGAAGCCTAGGCCCGGCTTTTGTGAAGCCTGTTGTATCTAGACATAATTAGTTTTTAGTTTTGTCTAGATTGCAGCATTTTATCACCTTATCTATGGTGCTATTGTCTTTCCTTGTTAAACTACAACTGATGTAGGTGTGATTATCTTCTGCAGTACTACAGAACCTATCCTTCCTGCGAGCTTTTTTACTACGCGTCGTCAACCTTGGGTGAGTTGTATAGGCAATTGTAATTCACGACATTTTCACATGAAGTTGCTTACACAGGTATAGGACAATACCTGTCATCGCCAATATTTTTTTAGTCGATAGCAGTTTTCTTACTTTACGATTGTTATTATGATATTTTCCATTTTTAAGCCATTTTCTTCCAGCGAAATAGTCGGAAGAAAATAGCTTACATCGTTATTTATTCGGAAATGCCCGTTCTGCGTGTAGTATTTTCTTTTTTATCCCGCTCTCGTTTGATTATTCGTTTTTATTTCCCGAAAGTCAATCTACGGCTGGGGGTAAGACACTGAAAAAGCCTTTTTTTTGTCTATTCCACTTAAAGTGTCTATGTCAGGGTCATGGAAATGACTCCTTTACATAGATAAATTTATTAAAAGAATATTTGCAGTATAATTTATAGGTCAACAATTTTATCTTTAATGGACTTTTTGGGCCTTGAAGGAGTTGACTCATACCCAAACGTACACAGGAGAACACGCTCGTTTCGTGAAATATATACACCAGTGAGAAATTTATAAGAAAAACCATGGTAGTTAGATTACTTAGTGATTAAATGTACTCGAAAGCCAAAGGAGGTTGGGTAAAATGTTTAAGTCAGTGCTTCACACTTTGTCAACAATTTTCTAAATTGCTTTGTGGCAGTTTTTATTATTTCAAGCTCAAAATTTGGGATTATAAGTGATACTACAAATACAGACGACGTGCAAGGTCGTATTACTTGCAATACCACCTTTAAATTTGAATAGGTGAATTCTATTTAGGTAAAAACGTTATTAATTCGACTTACTAGAACAAATAAATCGAGACAACAACGGTATTATATTGGAAAACAACGTCCTAACAGTTTTATATTTTAAACGTTTATTACTTACTGCAAAGCTTCTCATGAAATTTATATCTCGATGCATATTCTTCTTTTACGTCACATCCGGTACTGAGTCACATCCGGCAATGAAGACAAAGGAAAATAAAAATTTTGACCAACGAAATATGTTGCAAAAGCTCTCCAAATTGATTTAACTATCTAAAGAAGACATTTCTCTGTCATGAGATAGACACGTGAACAATGATCTGCCAAAATCATTCATGGCTGTGAGCTAGCTTCTCACATTTGACCAAACTTGAAGAGTGTCAGGTGTCCATTTACCGTTTCATGTCCATTGCTTCAATATTCACTTTCTGAGGTTAAAGTTTATTGCGGGAGGAGGGGGGGGCTGGGGGTGGGGGTGGTGCTGCGTAGTTGTATTATGAACTGCATTCACATTGTGTCAGTCTTGATAGAGTGCAAATGCTCGTCGTCCATTTCCGCTCATTCTACGGCAGACATTTGTATATTTCTGATTGATTTTAAATGCAATTACTATATATTTTATAGAACTGCGCGAGTCGAAGCAGCCACAGCTTAAAAGAAGCGTTGAAACATCTCTATGTAAGTTTCGATACAAAACACAGAATAATAAGCCGTAACTGTCATCATCTCCCTTCCACAATGGCTCTCATTCTCGATACGATCAAATCATCCGAGGCTTCATGAAGGATCGACGTCAGTATACATTTTACTATGTAATTGTAAAGTGGCAAAATCGTTTGTGTATAATTTGATTAGAGCATAAGACAAACCTATTTTTGTCGAATTATTTAAAACTACATTCTTCGAATTGACCTACGAATTCTTTCATAGCTTGCTGCCTGAGTGGAAATATCTGCACTCTGTTTATAAGATGAATAATTTGATAGTTGACTGCACGAAAGTATCCAAAACAGATTAACAAACTGTACTTCAGACGTCGAAAGAGGCAAAGTTTTCTCAAATAATAAAAATACGAACAACAGTTCTAATGTGTAATCGCTATTATATAACTCCGAATCTAAAAACTGCTTTAAAGATCATAAATGCCAACTATGTCATGGTGAATGGATAAATTAACCTAATAGTTCTGTCAAGTTTGTGTTCTAGTTGTAAACAGTTCTTTAAATGTTGTTTTAAAGATAGCAGTTGCCATGATGGATGACCAAAATAACCTAATAATCATCCTTCATGGCATGTGCGATTTTAAAACAATTTTTAGATTTGTCGCCACGATAAAGTCTCTATTCTATCAATACTCAAATTATGCACAAAAATTGTTGCGAAGAAAAAGGATAGAACGATGCTGGACAGATTGACTTGCACAATTATATCAATTTTTGTAACTTTGACACGAAGCAAATATCAGCAACTCATATTTTTTTGCTTAAGTCTCCAATAAAGTCTACAAAGTACACACGTATTTTTGTCTAATCCGATGCAAAACTTTAAAAATAATTCTGTTTACGACAATTACCATCGGTTATACATAAAGGTTATTAATACCTCCCTCGTCCAATTTCGACATTTGACGTTTTGAATTTTTTACAGGATTGCTTTGCATTTATTTTTCCCGCTGTAGGATCTTATCTCGGGGTTCACAGGAATGGACGGTCGTGCTATGTTGAAAAAAACCAGAGAACTTGAAAACGAAGCGCTTAATATAACAAGAAGTTATCTGAACGTTAGTCAGTCGGAAACCGTCGATCATCCGAGCGCTCGTAAGTATTGCTAAGGTTTGTTTTGTCCGTTGCTATACAATATCAGTTTATGATTGTTCATCAGAAAATTTGTACAGAATTTTAAGTACATACATCCATAATAATAGTAAATTTCCACCTCCAAATCAACAGTGTAAGACTTTAGATAGGTTTATTTTCATCTAAGCATTGTATGATGGTTGTTAACAGTAGCAGTAGCTAAACTAGTAGTTGGCCACATTTACTCTGCCCATATGTAAATATTTCGATGTTTTCAAGAAAACAATCGCCTCCTGAAACAAACGAGTGATGTTAATGATTAAAAATTCACATACTGGAGTAAATCTTCTTTAGATTTTGCCCAGTATCATTGAAATTATTTGTTTAGCTCATTTCTTTTTTCGTAGTTCTCGTGTTATCTGTTCCGTCCGCTGGTTTTACGTTTCCTTCAATGAAACTAAAAGAAGAGAAAAAGATGAATGAAAGTATCAGCTTTGCTGATGATATAATAAATACAAATAGCGGAGGTAAGGCTAGTTTCCTATTTACGATTTGTTTCATGCAACTGCCAAAAGTTTTCTGGATATTATTAAAAGTTGCTAAGCACCCACAATTTTTGTAGTTGCATAAGTGAAAACACATTTCGAATGGCATTATCGTGTGAACTCAAGATTCGACTTACATTAACAAGAGACAAGATTTAAAAGCTATAGTTGGATTTTTTTTCAAAGTCAATATCAATCTTGTCTACTGTAAATATGGCTATAATCTTGAGTTTACAACATGATGTCGTTCGGGTATGTTTTTCACTTATATTTCTTTAAATTGTCGGCTGAAAAAGGTTTTTGTTGTTGTATGACGTAAATTTTATGGTTTAGATTTCGAAGTGAAGTATATTAAGAGAAAACTGAAAGAAGAAAGAATCCCTCAAATTAGTTTTCCGTGAATTTTGAGATATTTTACCGTGCCCTTACGTCATAGCTACACATTACGATTGTGCTCAGACCATTGATCGCATCACACTACGTCACACGCATTACGAAAGTTGTGCCCAGATCCCACCTTAATTCATATTTATTACAATCGTTGTGCCCTGATCTCACATTATACTACACTCATTACGTACACGTGATCGTAATGAGTGTGGTGTAATGTGAGATCAGGGCACAATTGCCCATATTTTGATCCTTAAGGCAGTTTACAGTTTTAGCGCGAAAAAGTCATTGATTAAAATGTACTTCTTTTCTTATAGAGAAAAGATGTGTTGTTACTATTTCGTATCCGAACCTTCGCAAAAACCTCTCCAAGAATATCACCATGTTAGTAGTTGTAGTAATGTGTACATCATTATCCAACCTTTTTATTACAGAAATCAGAGAGGCTTTTTAAGAATGAAAAATTTTCGTGCAATTTCAACACCAGAAAATGTTGTGAATGCAGAGCACCTAAATTACAAGGATATTAGAACCACTCAACCTAGTAAATCTATTTCGACGAGAATATTTATTTCTATCTTCAAATTTATCGTTGTAGCAAAGCAATAACATACTCAACTATTTTTAGCGGTATCATGTCCAAATTGATGAATATACGTTTTCTTCAACATCATAGATTTCGACAAGATCCCAACACGCACCTGACACTGACGAGTAACATTATTGCAGCAGCGGTTTATCCACCATTAAAGAGTAATCCAACTAATCCAATCAAGATCGCCTTTGATCATGAGGTAAAATCGGATTTGTTATGTTATATATCAATTGCATGTGATAATTTAAAATGGAAACACTATCCCTAAAAATTTAATCACAAATTATGATGGTATTGTGCCATCTTTTTAAAAATCAATTCTTCGCAATCCATCATCATAAATAAATATGCGCTTTCAGGGATATCAGTGATTGAATTTTCAGCAAATTCAAGAGGATTTAATTAAAGTCCAACAATGCATCCCGAGGGAAAAATGTTTATAAAATTAGCTAAATCTTCGTTAAATTATTTCAGTGGTTAGAAAATTAACAACGATACATGGTGTTCAAAGCGCATATTGTTCATGGTCAACGATGGAATAAAGAGAAGAAATGAAACTATTTAGCTTTTTGCTTGATAAATTCTGTTTCATAAAATACGTCAGTTAATGTCCCTCTTATAACAAAACATACCACGACGACCATGTTATTACACAGATAAAGTTTGTCACTTGGATGCCCAGTTTTATGACTATGCTTTAATTTCCATTGCTTTTTTTGTTTGTTTTGAATAGATGGTAACTAATAGCACGCCAGTCTGCTCATTTTGGAATCACTCAATCAGGTAATCGTATATGCAGCAGTGGCTTGCTTTATTTTTACTTCAAGCACTATTGTTATTGATGCTGGGTTTTTTTTGCTAAGTTGTAGCGGTCGTTGCTGTGTTAGCGAGTTTTTCCTGCTCTTTTGCTGCCGTTGTTGTTACTGTACTTGCTGCTGTTGTTGATTTTAACGTAATCATAGTCATTCCTTTCCTGCTATTACTGCTTGTTTTATGTTTGCTTTGTCCATACTTCTTTATTTTTGAGGATGTTTTGCCCAAGATTTGAATCATGTCGTGTAACTATATTTCAAGATCTGAAATGCTGTTGTTACTTTTGTTGTAGCTACGGTTGTTGTTATTTTTGCTCTCTCATTACTGTTCCAGTTAGTATAACAATGGCAAATATAGCAATGTTTTTCCTGTTCTTTTACTGTGTTGGTTGTTGCCATTTTTACTATCGTTGTCTTTATTGTAAAAACAATGCTTCCTGTCCTGTTTTCATTTATTATTCTCCGTTTTCTTTTTTCATCTATTTTGTTTGTTTTGGGAGATGTTTTGTACAAGTTATGAATATTTAAGGACCGGAAATGAAATATATGGCCAATGGTCCTCTGAGGGATGCAAATTTGACGAAAACGAATCAAAACCAGGACATACCGTTTGTTGGTGTAACCATTTAACAAACTTTGCCTTGTTATTACAACGTAAGACAGATGTGAGTCGCTGATTAGAATTACGCTAATTATTTTTAAATACTGTAGCACATGGTTGATTGCTAACTTTTAAATTTCAACACCAACTAAGGTGTACCGTTGATGAATGTAGCTACAATGTTATTAATTCTGATGGAAACATACTTGTACTTTAGAATTCTCATCACTAGTTTTGATCTAAATCTATATTGAATGAAAATATGACTTTTTCACTAAAACTTTATTGCCTAAGTTCAAAGTGTCGAATGGTTCTCGTACTTCTCGATCTGCCATTTTTCTTTCCCCATTTCATGAAAACTTAATAAAGCAGTTGCTCTCAGTCTCAGATGACAGGGCTTTTTTCATTATTTATCTCAGGTGGCCATCCAACCCCGTAATTTGCACAGGGTTGTTTCGTTTGCTATCATCAAATGATCAAAAGAAATGTACGTATTCTCAACTAAATATTTAAGATCAATGGTGTTTAAAGTAAATGGTTTGAACCCGGGAGTATCGTTATATGTTTGTAAATGATGATCGTCCAGGTTAATAAAGTCCTGAGAAGGACTGTTTTTGTTGTTGTTGACTGACGTTTCGACAACCTTAGCGGTAGTCATCTTCAGAGTCAAATGGTGAATCAATGGTGTTTGTCCAGACTAGTGCTTCGCTTTTATCACTCGGATGTTGTCATGAGCTGTATGCAATATACTAGTTGTTTTCCCCACTCCTTAAACTATTGACAGCATTTAAATAAGGTTTTCCAACAATTGGAATCTTCTCAAATTTTCTAAATATGTTTATCGACACTCGAAAAAGTTTGTTTTATTTTTTGGTTTCTGTAAAAGCATTAATGGCGAAAATTATAACTAAATTTTGACTATTTCGTCCCGAAAATTAGTGAGCCGTCATTTTGATTTTTTTTTAACCTGGATCCTGGTAGTTCAGTATTGAACTAAAAATTAACCAGGATTTAAACCAAAATCTTAGTTAACTTAATTAACATATTTGGGGTTGAAATTCATTCAACCAGGATTTTTTAACCAGGATGTTTTTAGAGTGTACCAACCTGGACGATCATCATTTACAAACATATAAAGTTTTAATTAGAGTCATAGAAATAGACCATAAAGTTGTAAAATTGAATTTATTGTGACGTTTCGTCTTTACTCAAGACATCTTCAGACAAATAATAAATAGGATGTTAAGACAAGATATTACAAAATTATATATTATATATAATTTTAAAAAACGACAGAGCTATCCTCATCACTAAACCTGACAAAGGAAATGGCATCGTAATACTTAACAAAGTCGACTACATAACGAATATGGACACACTCTTGTCTGACATAACAAAGTTTCAACCTCTTGATGGAGATCCAGTAAAAGTCACTTTACAAGGAGAAAATTAAGTGAAGTCCTTATTAAAAAAGTTGAAAGATGCTAAATCTCTCCGCTAAACTTCTCTTCCAAGAAGTTTGCAAAGAACTTTACCCTATTGGTTCACGAATAGGTATATTGTATGGTCTTGCTAAAATACATAAATGTTACATCCCTCTCACACCCATTCTTTCCTCCATTAGCCACTATTCGTATAAACCAGCAAAGTTTTTCATCTCACTCCTAAAACCATTCACTATAAGCAATCTCATCATCAAAGACTCTTTCTCCTTTGTTGAAGAAATCCTAAATTGCGATATCAACTCCAGTAATGTTGTCCTTGCTAGTTTTGATGTCGTATCCTTATTTAGTAACATACCTGTTGACGAAACCATCCGTATAATATCTAATAGCATTTTTAACAACCACCAGTACTTTAACGGACTTACAGCAACAGAATTTGAAAAACTACTCTCTCTAGCTGTTAAGAACTGTCACTTTATCTTTAACGGGAAAATGTACCAGCAAATTGATGGTGTGGCTATGGGTAGTGCATTGGCCCCTATCTTTGCTGATATTCATGTCCTTTCACGAACAATCCTGGCTAAATAAATGTCCTTCTTCATTTAAACCACTACTTTACCGACGCTACGTTGACGACTGTTTTTTACTTTTTTATTCCTCCTATCACGTCCCTCTCTTTCTCGACTATCTAAACCGACAACACCCTAACATCACATTCACAGCTGAAGTCGAAGAAAACAGAAAACTATCATTTCTTGACATTGACATCTCTCGCACAAATGGAAAATTCACCACTTCCGTCTACTGCAAAACTACTTTCACTGGCCTCTTCACTAACTTCCACAGCTTCATCCCACTTACTTACAAACTTTCACTAGTCTCCTGCTTACTTCACCGCATCTTCAACCTTTGTTCTACTTACGAAAATTTTCATACACAACTCGAATTTACCAGAAAGTCACTCACCAAAAACGGTTTTCCTTCACGTATAATTGACCAAATCACACGTCGCTTCCATAACAACACCTTTGCCCCAAACCACCTGTCTTGACTGCTCATAAAATGCCCATCTATTTTTGTCTTCCATTCATCGGTATGCACTCCTTTCAAATTCGCACACAAATCACTAGCTTTTGTGCTGCAGCCTTCCCACATGTATCGATTAAATTTGTCTTCCGCCCTTCCCAACGTATCTCTTCTTTCTTCCCCTTTAAGGACAAAATTCCCAAACCTCTGAGATCTGGTGTAGTCTATTTATTCAAGTGTCGAAGCTGCAACGCCTCGTATGTGGGTCAAACCACACGTCATCTACACACCAGATTTTCGGAGCACTTAAAAATATCCTCCCTTACAGGCAACCAAGATTCCCACCCTGCGTTATCGAGCAATTTTGCTCACATTAACGCAACTGGACACACCCCCCCAGCTTAGACGACTTTAAAATAATCTCCTCTGCTAACGATTTCTATGAACTCTACATTCACGAGAGCCTTCTTATCAATAAATAAAAGCCTTCACTTAACGTGCAAGGAAATTCCGTCCCACTTAACTTCTTTTGATTTCTCTTTATTTTACTTCCTAACTTCCTTACCATATAATGATTGTAATCCATTTGACATCGCCTCCTTTAGTAGTAATTAATAAATAATAAATAATATCTTGTTTTAACATCCTATTTATTATTTGTCTGACGATGTCTGGAGTAAAGACGAAACGTCACAATAAATTCAATTTTACAACTTTTTGGTCTATTTCTATGGCTCTAATTGAAATGTTTAATGTTTAATTAGTGCTGACGCGCCAAGGAGAAAATTGCTATAATGGGTTCCTTTCACAGAATATACTCTATTGCCGAATCTTCCATATCGCCTTACCAGATTTACTTCATATAACGTTTTCCTAAATACATGTTTCGAATTTACGAAGTGCAAAGAAATATTCGCTATCAAGACTTTATTCTCCCAAGCCATCATCGGAGATCAAAGCATTCAGATCGACTTCAGTACAATGTGGTTCCTGCACGTGTTCTGTGTATTCTTTCACGTGCTTTGAGCATATTGAAAACATGTGCTTCTGCAATGCAAGATGCAACTGCCAGACTTAAATTACATTGCTGCAGGATATGGTTAGAAAACTTAGCACGGACGGTATGTTACGTTTTCACAATTCACATCATTAGGTAACCATTTTACTTTGTCATTTGCCGGCAGCATTTCATATACCGATGTGACATCTTGTTTTTTTGTTGCGAGTGTCACGCAGTAGTTGCTCCGTGAGTTAAATCACTTCCGGTAGACTTTGCTCTGTTTATAGTGGGCTGACGGTGGAATGGTGTGTTTCACCAATGGTTTCATCGGTGCAGATCACTTTACAGCAGATATAACCTCATTTAGAGCGTGCACCATTTACCTCTGTTAGGTGTAGTTTTCATTGCAGACGCGGCAATCAAGTAGACAGTGCTTGCGATGTATTTTGTTTTGTGGCACTTCCTTTTCTTGGTACTCATATTGCAAAGCATGTCTCATGTTGTTCAAGGTCGCCTTGATCCAGAAGTGGATTTTGATGTGGTGAGCTTCTTTACATGTCTTGTGATAAGCAAGTTATGTAATGTTCACGAAGACAGGAAATTATGTGTTGCTTAATACTATTAGAAGTGGTTCGATGTAACGAAGAGCCGCCTGCGAGTCTTATTTATAAACATTTCGTCTAGAATCGTTCTTTGTTTATATTAAATGATACAGCCTTGAATTGTTTTCGGTATTGCTGCGGAAATAAACTGGGAAATCTAGCGATCAACTAATAAATTAGTTAGCAAATCAATTCAGTGAAATATCGAATTTCAAGTATTGCATTTCCTAACATAGCGAGCAATGCGAGCACGAGCAGTAAATCGAACCTTGCTGGTTCTAACCAATGGTTCTAATACATGCCTATCTTTGAAATCTGTAATTATTTTTCTTCAGAAACTCCGATGAACTGTTATGCATTATTTGTAAATTTGCTTGATTTAACTATTTGATATCTGTGTTTACATATATCAGTGTATTGGTTAAATAAAGGCATAAGCAGGAATGCAAGGTTATAATTTCCAAACAATTACGAATGATGTAGAAGTCTTTGGGCAAAGGAACTTGTGTGCCATTATGATTCACACCCAATCTTCTATTTTTTATATGTAGCCACAAATCATAAAACACTGGGGCTATCCTGCAGAAGAACACAAGGTTACGACAAGTGATGGTTACATTGTGACAATTCACCGCATTCCGCATGGAAAACAAAGAAAGTATTCTGATGCACCTCGTCCAGTCGTTTTCCTTCAACATGGACTATTGTGTTCTTCCAGTGTTTGGCTAACAAATCTTCCTTCTGAGGCCCTTGCCTATATCTTGGTTGATGCTGGGTTTGATGTCTGGATGGGCAATGCTCGAGGAAACACTTATGGGTTGGAGCATGAATCACTTAATCCAGATCAAAATGAATTTTGGGACTTTAGGTGAGATATTATTCTTTGTAATCATGAATTGTCACATGACAAAATCTTAGGTAGCCAATGTCATTATAACTTGCACATTGCTCATTTATTTAAAAGGAAAATAAATATTAGATAAAGCAAAGTAGACCAGGTTTGTTGCATGTGTATTTTTTACATGTTCACATGTGTGATATGGTTATGTTGTTTGGCAACTCTGTACAGTGGAACTCTGTTTATGCAGTCACCAATGAGGCAAAAAATATGACTGTCTTAATGGGGTGGCCATATTAACAGGATTCTGATGTGAATATATTAACCTTCATAATCTTCTGAGCAGACATGCCCCTTGATGAGAAGCCTGCCAAAATACATTGTTTTGTTTAATTTTTAGATATCTTTTTTTTGGTTTTTCAACATTTCTTTTAAGAACTACTCAATTGTCATTCACATTGACAAATATGTTGTGCAGAGCAATATTTAAATTTTTCTATACCGTCACTCTACAACAAATCTTTATGGAGAGTCATCCCCAAGTATTTCAACAAACTTATCGTCCAGGAAACTGATTATTTACTGAATTCATGACATACTATTTAAAGCAATCTTTATTAAATTGGCTTAGCTAATCATTATTGTTGAACAATTATACTGCAATGCCACAAAATTTATTTTATTCTTAATGTTATTATTTTTCCTCCTATTTATTCACGGCATTGATTTAAAAATTTTATGTATTATTTTTTGAAATTGATGTGTTTCCATCGTTATTCATTGTGGTTGGTTTGTGTGTGAAAGTTTTGCAAGAAATTGGCAACAACTGAATGGACAATTTTTTATGCATTTAGCTGGGATGAAATGGCCGTGTTCGACCTTCCTGCTATGATAGATTACGTATTGAACGCGACGAAATTTTCATCGCTAAGCTACATCGCCCATTCTCAAGGCTCCCTGATCGCTTTCACCCAGACATCCATCAACAAGGAACTTGCTAAGAAACTTAATCTTCTTATAGCACTCGGTCCGATATCTACTGTCAAGTATATCACAAGTCCCATCAGATATTTGTCACCTTTAGCTGAAGGCTTCGAGGTTTGTGTGACTAAGTAGTTACTATCATTCAAGGCCGTCAAAAGATCGATAATTGGGAGAGTGGAGGGGGGTACATATTCATTCATGTCATGATCCACAGACTTGACTCTGAAGGTGACTACTGCTAAGGTTGTCGAAATGTAAGGCAATACCAAGATCGACAGTCCTTATCAAGACTTGGAATACCAACCTAGACGATCTACATCTACAAACATGTAACAATACTTCCGGGTCCAAACCATTCACTTTACATACACAAATATGGTATAACAATACATGCATATATGAATACCCCTCCCCCCCTTATCCATCTTCCAACGGACCTGTTGCTCTAGACGTATTTTACATACTGGACCTATTCAGCCTTTAATTCCGCAATCATTTTTATCTTTGTATATTTTGTAAGTGAAAAGTTTGTTTTCGTTGTTGTTGTTATTATTGATGTTATTGCTTGTTAGTTGTTTTGTTGGTGTTATACGTTGTTTGTTGTTGTTGACCTTGTTACTGCTGCTTTTAGTCTTTTACCTTGTGTATAAGTCAAAACATCTTCCAACAATAGCACCCTAACAATCATTTTATGTTTCATTTGCTGTGTCTAGTATCTATGTCCTGACGTCAACGAATGTAACTTTAAATTCCTATCCTCGAGTGGTCTAATAAAGTTTCTAGCGAAGTATGTGTGCTCGGAACCTGGAATCGAAAATCTCATATGCGAAAACATTATTTTTTTGGTTTGCGGTTTTGATTATGCTCAACTCAATCGAGTAAGTACCCTTGGAGTTATTTCATCTTATTGGCTTGTGCCTTGTCTTTTTTACGCTGGTAAATGAGCATTTTTGTCACCGTTTTGAAAGCAGACGTCAGACATACTTACGAATGCTAAGACAGAGCTTGAAGACTCATGGAGACAGTTTACTGTCAGCTCGTATTCTTTTCGTTTCGTACTCGTTCCGTTTCATACCTAAGCAAGGTCGTTTAGTACCCATGCTTGGTCATTTTGTACCCATGTGTTGGAGGAGGGGGCTGAGCTGGTGAGTAAGCGATAAAAGATAAAGTAGGTCTAGATTATAGGGGCAGTCTGGTACTGAAGCTTTTGAAGGTAATGCCGAGAGTTGAAACATTGTACAGGAAAACTCTGTTGAACTGCACTAATGATTTATTTTATTTCGCTAAAAAGAGGGGTTAAAATGTTTCTTAGAGGGTTGAACAATTTATTAAGGGGGGATGTAATGTTTGAGAGTCCAGAAAATCCGTTCATGAAGCTTGGTCCTTTCGTAGACATGCTTGGTCGTTTTGTGCCAATGCTTGGTCGTGTTGCACCCATGCCTGGTCGTTTTGTGCCCATGCTTGGTAGTTTTGTGCCCATGCTTGGTCGTTTTGTGCCCATGCTTGGTAGTTTTGTGCCCATGCTTGGTCGTTTTGTGCCCATGCTTGGTCGTTTTGTGCCCATGCTTGGTAGTTTTGTGCCCATGCTTGGTCATTTTGTGCCCATGCTTGGTCATTTAGTGCCAATGCTTGGTAGTTTTGTGCCCATGCTTGGTCATTTTGTGCCCATGCTTGGTAGTTTTGTGCCCTTGCTTGGTCATTTTATACCCATGCTTGGTCGTTTTGTGCCCATGCTTGGTCGTTTTATACCCATGCTTGGTCATTTTATACCCATGCTTGGTCGTTTCGTACACATGCTTGGTCGTTTTCTACCCATGCTTGTTCGTTTTATACCCATGCTTGGTCGTTTCGTACACTTGCTTGGTCGTTTCGAACACATGATTGTTTATGTCTCATTTTTGTAATTTGTATGGTGAAGTTTCTGTATGACTTCTTTGTACTCAAACCTTATTTCAAATTTAAAGTTGGATCGATAGCTTTTTTCTTGTATTTGACATGTTTCCAAAAATATTCTAAAGCTTGATGAATTAAGAGAGTGATGATGCGTTTACCAATACAGTGTGTATCGAATAAATTCGAATTGAACTTTTATAGGCAATGGAACAATCACATTATGTTTAGCGCTTGTATTTAAATATAGCAAAAAAGCGTAGCTCCAATGATATGTTCAAATAGAAATTGCATCTTGAAACTGTATTTTCTTACCGATTGGCGTTACTTTTGTATTGAGCTATGCTCGAGTAACATGTTTTCCTTTTACCGCTGGTCAGTAATATTTGTGGCACATTTGACTGATGCATCAGTTTCTATCGATTTTGATGTAGTTTTTTTCAATTTTTTTATAATTTTGTGGCAAACAAACTGCACATCCATTCTCTTTTTAGACACGTTTGCCTGTGTACCTCTCTCATACACCAGCTGGAACGTCCGCAAAAAACATCGTCCATTTTGCTCAGGTAATTTCATAGGTGTAGCTTCAGATGTAATGATGAAAACCAGAGTTATTTTTTAATGCTTGTTACGGAAAAACTCTCCAACTCGACTCCACAACTCAACTCGACAAAACAATTCTACACTTAAGAATTCAATTCCCGCACGGCACCTCTCTGGCAACAACTCTATCCTTTAAGACCATTGGGGTGTTCTCTTATTTTCAGATGGTAGAATCAGGGAATTGTCAAAGTTTTAACTACAATAACCGGGAGAAAAACATTGCTCATTATAACATGGTAAGTGAATGATTTTACGGGGGGTGTTCATATATTTATCATAAATTAAACGAAAATTACCATTGGCTTCAGTTAAGAAATGAAAGATGTTTACTATGTTTGCACAAGCTTTTGCAAACCGAGGAGACCATTGGGAGAACGCCAGAGCAGATAAGTGCAAGGCCGAGACCGAAGGTCGAGTCTTCGCGACTGCTCGAAAGTTCTCACAAACGTCTCCGAGGTTTGCAAAGCCAGTGCTTCTAGCCAAGGTTATGAATAGTGCGCACACCCCCCCTTTTCACTCCTCCCCTAAACCATCATTTGTCCAAAATTAAAGCAGATAAAATGAGTTGTTGGAATTAGCAATCTTATTTATTGAAATCATTGCTACTAGGCGACGGATTGTAATTTCAACATTTTACATTGTGTCCCAGGCTTCTGATATCCACTCGGTTAATTTTCTCATCTAGACCGAGCCACCCATCTACAATATGTCAAATGTTCACATTCCCACGGTTTTATACTACGGTGAACATGATTGGCTGGCTGATCAAACGACGTCCACAAATTGGCTCGTCTTCTTCCGAACTTGCTGTACACCAAAAAAATAGCAAAATGGCAGCATCTTGATTTCCTTTGGGGTTTAGATGCGGCAACTCTCGTTTATAGACCCCTCATAACAGTATTGGAACGATTTGCAAGTCGGTGAAGCACAGCCGATCAGTGTTTAGCAGCAACCGAAAAGAAACGTCATATAATATTAATGAAATGTTTATTCTCTGGGTTGTTCATAATAGCAGTCTTTTCACGACAACTGCTTGGAATGTAATTGTAATTTAGTGCAACATCGTTAAGTGTAGTTGTCGTTTTGAACGGTTTGTTTGAGGTAGCCTTCTTTTCCGCGAATTCAATTTCGTACGAACAAAGAGCAAACATGTTTCAACATGCCATCTTCCGTGCGAATGATAGTGATATGAAATATGATGCAGTATAAGAAAATATGATACAGTATAGGAAAATTTGAATAAATTATTTACATTGAATGGGAGTGTGATCTATTTAAAGAAAGTTTAAAACAAAAATTCAAGAAAAAACACATTCCAAAAAACATCATCTTGTAAATCATCATCATCATTAGCTTGATAATGACTTTGAAATAAAGTCGAAATTTTGCTTCAAATCTTGTCTCTTGCTTTTGTATCTCGAATCGTGAGTTTACAAGATGATATTTTTTGCCATGTGTTTTTTCTTTTATTTTGTGAAATTGTCGGCTGGAAAGAGATTATAAAACAAAAATATGTACATAGATAAGTAAGTATTTACAAAGAAAATGGTGATCAATGAAATTAGACCTAATATAAAGTAAATAATATATTAATATACCTTAGGATTAGGTAATGATCCCACTTTACTATACTTTTGTATTACAAAATCACAGTTTTGGCGTTTTTATTCGTTATACAAACTTTTGATTCGAGCAAAATTTTTGTGAAAGGGGACAGAATAACGGCAAAATATTTAATCCTAAAAAGTTTGTCTTCTTGGCTTTATAATGGCAGAAGTATGAAATGGTACAAGGTCGACCTACATTGTTTTGAAACAAACTGGAGATAATATGATGCTGCTGCTTCTTAAAAAATGTAGAAATATTACAGAATCCTACTACTGCTACCAAAATTTCATCTGCAATGACGTTTATGGAAGATTGCTACAAATTTACACTTTTAACAACACTTTGTTATTCACATCGCAAAGATCATAATAATTTCAAATTACGTCTTTATTATATCAGTGAAGAAACAAAACAAATCGACATAGACAAATAATCAAAAGACAATAGTAAGTTGAAAACATTATCATCAAACTCTACGAGATGTACATCATCAAAATATGCGAAAGTACCTCTCTGTGTTGCATTAAGCGAAGCAAAGTTTTCAACCAGTTCCTATGTGAACAACTTCAATACACATGAATATATTGAAGATATGAATACCTTTGTACGTACTTTGTTGTAATTTAAGTATTCGTCTTCTAAAAATGCCTCGCACGGCTTAAATTGTCCTCGTTACCTTCAACTTTCAAATTTCAAATTTCAATATAACTTGCCATCTTATTTTTCAGTCGTTACAAAGCCAAAAAAACAGAGTTTCAGGGTTAAAACTTTCTACCGGTTTTCCTCTAGATGTCATAAAAAATTTGCCTCAATCAGAAGTTTGTAAAAGGAATAAAAACGCGAATACTGTGATTTTGTAATACAAAAGCATAGTAAAGTGGGACCGATACCCCCCATAAAGCCAGCAGCAAATGATCGATTTTCCGGCTTCAATTTTCGCAAGAGATGCCTTATCCAGTCTAAAGCGCGGGCCACACTATCGTCGAAATGCAACGAATTTCGTGACGAGTCGCTCGTCAACGAGAAAATATGACGATATGGACGAATTCGTCGCCGTTGAGCATGCACACCGAAATCGTCAACGAGTGACGAGTAATTGTTGCATATCTACTCTGATTGGACAAGAAAAATCACATGACTAATGTTTACTTTCACTGTGCTGTGGCAAAATGGCGGTTGGCAAAAATATTAATTGAGCTAGTGAGAGAGAGGCGATGTTTGTGGGACAAATTTCATCCTGACTATAAAGATACACGCAATATAAAGAAAAATAATTGGAAGGATGTTGCTCGGGAACTGAAAGTTGCGACCAATAGAGTTTGACGAAGCTCTTGCAACAACGTGTCATACAAGCCCTTTCTTCTCGCCTTTTATTTATGGGATGTACCCAGAACCTTCTTTTGTATGTACGTCGTTTTGCAGAAATTAGAAGCAGTAGAATTTTCTCTTCAATAATAGAAGTTTCTTTTTGCGCTGATAATCGTCCATGCTTGTACGGAAAATCGTTACAATGTGGCACATGTACTCGTCACGACGGCTCGTTGACCAGCGACTCGTCACGAAATTCGTTGCATTTCGACGATAGTGTGGCTCGCGCTTAATATACATATCAGTGTTCAAAATATGGCACGCTCATTGAGTTCTATAATATTGAGTATTCAATATTCTATAATATTGAGTTATTATAGAACTCAATGGTCCAGGCCCCTTTTCCCCTCTAGGTCTTATAAAACTCAATGGTTATTATAGAACCATTGAGTTCTATAATAACTGGAGCGGCTATCTCAAGCGCGGCCTTAGATATCTGGTGACGCCAAAAAAATGGCGGATTTCGTCCGTTGCCGCTGAGATTTACCGAAATTGACCGCTTTTCCGAAAATTTCACAATTTCCCACTCCCTCCTGAGGAAAGAGTGAAGAAAATCTATGTGTGTATTTGGGATTCGGCAAGCAATTTTTTGATGAAAATCACGATAAAAACCTACAATTCGTAACAGCGAGTCAACATAGCTTTCCAGTTATCGGCTCCTACGAGGATGTATTTATAACTATCGATGAAAGAGCTATATGTCGGCTACACATCTATGAATGCAGATATGCGTCGTTTTCTTACCAGCGTCAAACTTGTTTGATCGATTAAACTCTTTAGTCTATACAAAAAGTATATCATAGTTCATCTCCACAGTGGTTCACGAGAGAAGTTAGCTTATTTTTATCATTGCTATTTTGCTTCTTTTACTTGTTTCTTTAAAAAGTAAATATTAAATCTCTGGATATTTACGTATTTTCTGTAATTGAGTTTCATATTAAATTTCAAAAAGACTCAAGTCTGCATAGGTTTGGTAAATGAAAACAAACAATATTGTATAGAAATTACTTTAAGTAACCTTTTTGTGATGTTCTGAAGTGCAACTGCATCAAATACTTGTAAAGTTGTAGCACATTTTGATTTTGTTGTATTGATATATAAATTGGGCAAAATGCAAATAATCATCAAAACACTTATGCTTCCAATGGTGTTTATAATTCATTTTTAGTTTTAATACTTCTACCCTTATTTTTCACTTTGTTTTGTTTTTCCTATATTTTCAATATAAGTGCACAATTTGAATGATTAAAACAGTTTTCACTTCAATAATAAATTTCATAAGCAGTTGGTAGTGCATTTTGTTCTCTGAGTATCCACATTTGGTGTTTTCTTCATACATGAATGATGAAATGCATATGGATATGTCATAACAAGGCAATAAAACCAAATGAATTAAATACCTATAGTGTACTTTTATGCTAGAAGCTTAACAGCTTTCTAGAAATTATAAAGTTATTGGATTATATTACCTCTATATCATCAATCTCATGAAAAGAAATAAGAAGCAAAATATTTGTAGAAAAGCTTTGAAAAGTGAAAACATTTATTTAAAAAGCAGCAATGATGCATATGATAAATCCCATTCTGTACTCTAATAGGTAAATAAGCTCAAACTGTTTCTTAAAGAAATATAAGAAATATATAAGAAATATACAGTACAGTAAATTTAAAGGTTTCATCACTGAATCTTTAATGCTTCAGTATAGTGCATTAGATATTAGTAACATTTAAACAACACTCAACTAAAATATTTTGATAAAGATATGCCATGATTTAAACATTATGTTATATAAAACCCAATGGCTTATTCAGTTTAATGCTTCACATCTGCATCAAGTCATCATCAATCTCAGTACAAATGTTTACATAGACACAAACTTTATGGCCTTTCCATTTTATATGTTGTGAATTGACATTTAATTAAGCATCAAAAACACACAACCTTCTTGCCATCTTTTTTTGGTTCATGAACTTCAACTTCAAAGCATTCAAGGCATCATTAGTGAATCCATTGTCTCCATCCATAGAATTTGACCATGATCAAATTAAATAACTCTGGATAAGGCAGACAATAAATCAATTATCTTTACAGCATTATCATTTTTAAGACTCTGCCTGATCAATAACATCTTCCAGTCATCTTCTTGGTCTTCCCTGCATGTTGTCAGCAAATACAACATAACAAGCTCTGCTCCAAATCATGGGTACTGTTGGGGCTGATCATTTCTTCTTGATACTTTTCACAGAGCAAAATGTGTGCAGGGTCTTTTTTGCTTTAGGGAAACTATTTTGCAAATAGATAGGTAAATTTACGATTTCATGCATTAACAAATGACAGAAAAGTATGCAGAAATTTATAGACAAAAACAGGAAAACATCAGTATATTTGGCGTTCAAGTCAGTCTTAAAAAATACGATCTTTAATATGTATTTTATGGCTTTTCAAGTGCATGTATAATTGCTTTTCAATCGTTGACGGACTAACAAAACAAACAACTACCTCACCTGTGGGAAGCGATATGTACCTTTTTGTGGAAACTACGACATCCAACAATTGAACGATTGAAGTGTTGGCATTATAAAAGAAATGCCAAAAGAATCGTCACAGAATATGGAACTAACGATATCCATATTCTGTGATATCGTGTTTGTTTTGAAAATTCTTTATAATTTACTATAGACACCAGGGGAGGTCGAGAATATTATTTTTCTGCAAAGCGATCATTTCAGCGGAAATACGTCCGTTGGCCGCCATTTTTTTGGCGACCTCGCCCCAGTAAAGATAGCCGCTCCAGTTATTATAGAACTCAATGTATAGAACTCAACGGGTTCGATTCCCGGATGTTAAGCCGCAAAATCGATTCCCGGATGTTAAGCCACAGTGGCCGACTATGATTTTTCAGTTTTTTGTATATAATATATTATGTGCAAATACCAGTGGTGTAGAAGTGGGGGGCGCTTGAGGGAGGAGCCCCCCTTCTACTTTTGAAATTGGTAATTTTAAAAGGGCACTATTAACAATAACGTCGAGAGCCCCCTCTGATAAATTTAGTTTTATAGCACTGGCAAATAATACTATCACAATCTAATTGTTGAACAATGCTTTCCTTTTTTCGTAATTTTAGATGGTTTAAGCCACTCGTATTTGGCAAAACTTGTTTGTGTTGCTTTTATACTCATTCAGCAAATTAAATAAGTGCTTGATAAGAGCCCTTTTTCGTCTTTAATTCAACCACTAACAGACTTCAAAAAACATATATTGTCATCAATACCGGAATAATGTTAAAAATAACTAAACAATGTGAATATGTAGGTTATAAAAAAGAAAAACAACAAGAAACAACATAAATTTTCATTGCCTATAGTTTAATTAAAAGATGCAAAGCTTATTTAGATTATAAACAACGTACAATCGTAATAACAGCTCGCTTAAGACAATGGCTAACGCTTTAAATTGACAAATTTTCTTGATGTTCGTATGACTTACTACAGTACATTAAAAAAGAATCCAAAACTCGAAGCAGACAGCAAAAACATCATTTGTTTACTTTGTATTTTAATCCGGGACCTAAGTTTGCCCACCAATCACGCGTCGCCTAAATCGTCTTCATTGCCGCCTCTAGTATTATTTATTTGAATTTTTATATGTATTTTGAATTTGGATTTCTCCTAAAAAACGTTTCTATTTGTTACGAAACACGTGCATCATGTCGCTTGACATAAATTCCTGTCTTAAAGCCTTCTCTGTTGCCTTTTCTCAGTACAATGGATCCCCAAACGAACAAACGTTGAAATACGTGGAACGACAGATGGATGTGAGTAATGATGTTTCAACTTTCTGATAATAACAAACTTCTTTGTTGGATTAGTTGGGGTTTGGTAATGACAATTTTTTTTCTGCAAATTGAAATATCGGAAACTTTATCACTGCTATATCGTGCCTTTGAACTTGGACTTGGAAATTTTGAAGTCTTATTTTGACAGAGCCCTTTCTATGTAAGCTGTATTATGTAAGGAATAGGTGAATTGGCAACATAAGATTGCAGCTGTCAACACAGATGCTTCGAATAATCAAGAGAATGCTCATGTTAAGGCTATTGACTACTTTGTTATCTCAAATGTGGTATATTTGTGTTTTCATGGTCAAATGAGGCAAATTTCTAACTAAGACTATATTGACTTCTCTTCATATTATATTTCATTAAGTCACACTGGGTCCGGATGGATGCATGATGGTTTTTGTGTAAGGGGGAGGGGAGGTGTGCTCTAGTTTAAGAGGAGCATCGGACATTTTTTTATGTTCTGTTACCCTATTTATTAAGATTGGGAGATTTGGAAATGTGCACTTTTACGCATCAAATTGCAATTACTTTTTCCAATATTTGGTATCTAAGTAATTTTTTGCTGGAAATTTGTAGCCTTTTACATCCCCTGTGGCCAAGATTTGAAGGGGTGTACACCATTCACTTGAGGGCCACAAGTTTTTCACACTTGTTGTGTCACGTGTTACCCTCTTTTTAATAAAGTTTAATCAATCAATCAATCAAAGCTATCCTTGCCTTGGGTTGTAAAGAAATCATGGTGACTAGCTCTTCGAAAAAAAATTTGTTTAACCACAAATTTCTTATTTCTATAGGTACTTATTGGCATTACTTCCAAAGAGAAATCTCTGGATGGTTTTACGGCAGGAGAACTGTTGCCAACTGAATGCCTCACATCCCTCGTGAGCATGCTAAATGAAGTAAAACACAAACCAAGGTTGATAAGCAAGTGCTTGATGCTGTTATATAACCTAGGTAGGTATTGGCTTTAATAGCAAGTTTACATTGGTGCTTTCAAATGAAAATTTACAATTGCTATGTGAGCAATGTTTTGTACTTTTAAACTGGAGAGATATTGGTAAGCACTTCATGCGACTGTTTCCCAACTTAAGCACCAGAGAAGGTAAAACAGTGAGGTCACTTGAGATCATGGTGGATTTTCATAGGGTGCCATCATGGAATGTACCGATGTAGATTTTATAATTTTGTACATTATGTGTGTGAATTGGTTGAGAAAATAGAATGTGCAATCTTTTCAAGAAAAACATATATCCGAAGAAATCAATATAAGTTTTACATAGCTACATAGAGTCACATTAAAAAGAATGCTTTGTTAAGCTAAATATGATGCAGCAGAAAACGAATATTTTTGAATTGTGTGCTTATTGTACCATGGAGTGTGCTACAATTATAATGTGACAACTTTCTGTTGAATCAAACTATAAAATGTCATATTGATTTCATATTACAAATAGTGGCAAATTGCATGCAGTAATCCAGTGGCGTAACTACTGTGGGCTCAGGGTGGGCGAACCCATGGCCCCAGGACTAAGCGGCCGTTTACTGTGGATTAAAACAAGAAAAACTGCACATCATGAACTTATATACTAAAAATTTTAATTTAAAGGTATAGACAGCGAAATAATATCAGCTGTGGCAGTTATTAAATTTTAATTTGGTTATCAAAGGGGGGCCACTTTTAATATTTTTTCCATGCTACACCATTGCAGTGATTAGTACATAACATTTCCTTTTTTTGCCTATGGTTTAAAAGATGATGCGCAATTTTTATAATTTATTCAAAGCAATATGCTAATTCCACATTGTTCGCTGCTTTGGCGTACACTAAGAGGGGGAGGAGGGGGTTGGGGCGAGGGTGGGCCCAAGGGTTGCTTTGAGATCAGTTCCTGACATCATCCAAGGAAAGTAATTTGTTTAGGGACCTGACGATGTAAAACCTACTAATGTAAGGTTGAACCTTTAAGTTACGCAGAGAGAGTAAACTAATTTCGACAAAGACCTATCTATGCACTTGTGCTTTATTGCTGCGTTTGAAACGTTAAATTGACATCACGAAATAATTCTTGTTTTAATGAGACCAAATTTGCTTTTAGTTTCATGTTTAAACTAAAAACAAGTGTAGCATATCTGAAACAATCACCAAATGAAATGAGAGCAAACTTTAGGAACAAAATGAATTTCAGTGTTAAAATATTCTCCATTTCAGCCAATGACAACGAGACAAGGATAATGCTCAGGGATTCGTATCATCTGACCTCAACATTAACTGGACTATTAATTGGAAACAACTCTGTCCAATCCTCGCATGAAAATATTTTCCTTCAGGTTAGGGATTGTTGGTACATACTGTTTTCTATAAATAATTATATTGTTCACAATACGCTGCCATCGTCCACAAGATACGACTTATTTTTAAACGAAAGCAACCAGAGTGTGGATGACCTGTGCGAGAGTTTCCCGCGTTAAAACTATGTCACTTTTAAGAAATAAAAGATGTTTACTGTGTTTGCCCAGGCTTATGCAAACCGTGGAGACCTTTGAGAGAACCTGAGAGCAGATCAGTGCAAGCCTAAGACTGAAGGTCGATGGTTGCACTGGCTCGAGAGTTCTCCCAAACGTCTTCCTGGAATTCTGAGGAATGTCAAAGAAACCTTGAAGAATGTCAAAGGAACTCAGAAGAACGTCCTAGAACGCTGCAGAACGTCAAAGGATCCCTGCAGAACGTCACGGTAACACCAAGGAACGTCAAAGGAACTCTGAGGAACGTCAAAGAAATACTGAGGAACGTCAAAGGAACTCTGAGAATGTCAAAGAAATACTGAGGAAGGTCAAAGAAATACTGAGGAACATCAAAGGAAGTCTGTGGATTGTAAAAGGCATCCTAAGGAACGTCATAGGAACCCAGTAAGTAAGCTCATGGTCGAACTTACTTACTTAGAAGGATCCGAATATAACAGAGATCTTATATTTTATACGATAAACTACTACGCGATCGGGTCATCCACACTCCAGCTGCATTCAGCTTCAGCCTTTTCACACCGTTTCAAGTGTTCAGTGTGCCTGTGCGCAGGTGTATGCATGACGTGCTTTTGATAACTTTTTAGGATTTTAGATTAGGACAGATATTTCATTTGATTACATTCCAAAAAGAAAAAAATTGCAGTGTCTTTCTTTTATCGTGTGTTTCCATTTCATAGTGTTTTAATATTTCATTGTGTTTCCATTTTATTGTGTTTTTGTTTCATATAGTTTCCATTTTATTGTGTTTTTGTTTCATATAGTTTCCATTTTATTGTGTTTTTGTTTCATATAGTTTCCATTTTATTGTGTTTTTGTTTCATACAGTTTCCATTTTATTGTGTTTTTCATAGTGTTCCATTGCTTGGTGGTTTGTTTCATAGTGTTTCCATTTTTTTGTGTTTTTGTTTCATAGTGTTTCCATTTTATTGTGTTTTTGTTTCATATAGTTTCCATTTTATTGTGTTTTTGTTTCATACAGTTTCCATTTTATTGTGTTTTTCATAGTGTTCCATTGCTTGGTGGTTTGTTTCATAGTGTTTCCATTTTTTTGTGTTTTTGTTTCATAGTGTTTCCATTTTATTGTGTTTTGTTTCATAGAGTTTCATTTTATTGTGTTTTTCTTTCATAGTGTTTCCATTTTATTGTGTTTTTGTTTCATAGAGTTTACATTTTATTGTGTTTTTGTTTCATAGAGTTTACATTTTATTGTGTTTTTGTTTCATAGAGTTTACATTTTATTGTGTTTTTGTTTCATAGAGTTTACATTTTATTGTGTTTTTGTTTCATAGAGTTTACATTTTATTGTGTTTTTGCTTCATAATGTTTCCATTGCTTTGTGCTTTGTTTCATGTTTCTATTTTATTTTGTTTTTGTTTCATTCAGTTTCCATTTTATTGTGTTTTTTATAGTGTTTCCCATTTCATTGTGTTTTTCTTTCATAGTGTTTCCAGTTACTGCAACGCATTACCTACGGTTGTCGATATTCAGTTGCAATGGCTCATGTTGAAGATCTTGTTAAATTTCTTATCAACGAAATGTAAGTTCTTCATGTCTTTGGTTTCGCATTGAAAGCAATTATCTTAACATATCTTTGCTTAGAATTGTGTTGTGGCAGCTCAATATTGGGCTTTAGAAGGGTAAAGTGGTATAGGAAGATGAACAAATGGGAGGCTCCTTTTCATACATTCATAATGCGCAGGGTTAAGCTCTTTCGAAGTCCATTGTTTTCAACGGATTAGAACATGAAATTTATGAATATAAACCACCCCCACCCCCTTCATCGATCTTCCTACGTTCATAATTTGGGGAGTGTTCATCGTTTGTATTCGGGGCTGGACCGTTTGGGTACCGATGAGTGAGAAACTGAAATAAAAAAAAAACAGCCGGCCTCGTGTTCAACCAAATATTTTCCCCATACCCAACCATTCTATTACTTACATTTTCATTTTCCCTTTAAGAGTATAGAAATTATGTTAACTAACCTCGGGCTAATATAGTAACATCATCTGTCCCATTTCTCTTTGGTATCAACCTCTAATGTGGATGTTAAATACTCCCTGACACTTTTATATCCTGTCACACTTATAGATAGTTAGTTGAAAATAAATTCATTATACATATTTTTCATTACATTAAAAGCTAAAAACACCGAAGAAGCCAAGAAAACAGAACGCAACTACTTATAATCCACATTTATTAAAAACAATTACTCAAGAAACTTAATAGACAAAACTATAAACAAAATACAAAAGAAAACACAAACCGACAAAAGCAACAAGAAACCGGACGAAACAGTAAAATTGATCACATTACCATACATAAAAGGAACATCAGAAATGATTGCCAGACTTCTTCGACCATTTAATATTAACGTCGCCCACAAACCTACACAAAAACTCAAATCATGTTTCACCAAACATAAAGACAAAACAACAGTTCATGATACAACTGACGCAATCTACATGATACCATGTAAAGACTGTTCTATTCAATACATAGGACAAACATTAAAGAAAATCGAAACAAGACTCACAGAACACAAAAACGCCATAAAACGACGAGATCCAAACTCACTTCCGGCAGAACATACCCACGGAAACAACTGCACATTCGACTGGACAGAAACTAAAGTATTCGGACGCGCACAGACTAAACACGCACGCGAATTTAAAGAAGCTTGGTACAGTAAAGACAACGACGCAATAAACAGACATATCGACATAGCCATCATATATTCACAACCAAAGAAAAAAGACAAAAGAACTACAAACAACACCAAGACTACAACATCACACTCTAATAATATCAACACCAATGACATCCACAATACACCAAAACCCATGGCAACGCGTTTCACCCCATCCAATCACATTAATCCACCAGCTAATCCAATTAGACGCTCTAAGCGTCTACAAGCTAGAAGCAACTGTAAATAGATAACTTCCTCATTCTGATGAAGGCTCGAAGCAACGAGTCGAAAGCTCAATAATATAATTTTTACAACAATCCGGAGAAATTTTCATTTTTTATATTCCTTTAAGTATTTATACTCGTGAGAAAAGCCATTTGTGTTATCCAGTACATTTATCGATATATTTATCGTATTTTTGTTCTTGTTTCCCAGTCTTTTTCAAATCTCTACGTAGTTTGACTTGTCGGCTTCCTTTGATCTTGTTGGATGAAAATAGAGCAAGTTCTATTTCCATCCAATTTTTGAGACTGACGGATCCGTCTTTCGGAGGCTCACTTTATATGTGTTCACACTATCTGTTTTTTAGGATCCGGGCCTTTATTTATAAACTATCTATTTTAGACAAGGAGGTAAAAGCGAGATGACGATGCCCGCACTTGGTATTTTGACGAATCTTTGTAGAAACAATATAGCCGTACAAGCTCAAGTGAAGGCTTTGGTAGGTAGCCAACTGAAGACTTTTTTTCTGCAGGATGTATTTTGCTGATTTTGTATGGGATTAAGTCAATGATTTAGAACCCAATCTTCTAGATGTCTAGCTACCGCGTCAAGATGATGCAAGGACGCCATCTTGAAAGGTGGCAAAAAGCAAAACTCAAAATGAAAAATAAGTTAAAACAAAGTTTAAAAAACCCATCCTATCAAACATTTTAAAAATCAAACGTGGACTATGAACTTTGCGACTCTATATCAACTCAGCAAAAGCAGATATTAGTCGTAAATATCGTCAGTTTTGCCACCTTTCTAGATGACGGGTTGCCTCACTCATTACTATACAATTTCGGCGGAGTCAAATATCTAGTAGATTGGGTTCTAGGTCATTGGATTGAGTGTTGTTGTAACTCTAATGGCTGGTGTAGTTTTATTTTCAACGACATTTTGACTCTTAAATGTTGAACACTGTAAAAATGAAATTATCAGGCGGTAAACGTTTGTGAACAATAATCCACCGTCTTAAAACTATTATTTTACTACCATGTTTTCAACCAAAATTTAACGTTTATCATATATGCTATGACTAGTCTTTATTTTTGATTTCTTTTCCTAAAGAATATATTTTTTCCATTTCCGACGTGATTTATCTATATTTAATGATATCTTTAGCGTATGGACATTTAAATGGCTCATTAATTTTTTTGTGTATAATGTTCGATCTCCGTTTTTGGTATGATTCCTTTTTATGGTTTAATTTTTCTTCATGGTTTTCTTTCTCTGTATGTTTTTTTTCTCTATGGTTGTATTCCTATATGCTATAATAATCCATGTATGGTTTAATTTCTTTGTCTTGTATCAATGCTCTGTATGGTTTTTTTCTTAATATGGTTTTTTTCTTTATTTGGTATCATTCTTTATGGTTATATTTATCTACACTGCATGGTATAAATTTTTCTGTATGGCTTAATTTCTATGTGTGATTTTATTGCACTGTATGATAATATTTCTGTGTTCGGTATCACTTCTCTGTAAATACCAATGCTAAACATGTTAAACTGTGAACGCGTATTTTTTCCTGATTATGTTCCTTTACGTTTACAGGAGAATATAAAGTACATCTATCGTTGTCTGGTGAAGTTTTTATCACACCATGACTTGACTGTGATTGTTTACGCCTTGTCTCTCATCACGAGTCTTGCTCTGAAAGAACAACTTGGGGAAAAGGTAGACGTTTTTAATGTTTGTAATCGGTTATGTTTCCTGCAATCTTTGCCCAGCTGTTGAAAATCTGTTGGCTTCAGATGATGCACATGGGTAACGTTGGAAACGTTGTTTAGGAATTGTTAATGATTTGTGATGATTAGTGGGAATGTTTTTCCATATCATGACGTAAGGATGAAACATTTTATAGTTTTAGTTTGGCGTTTACGGTTAACAGCAAACTTCAACTACCCGCTTGCCGTTGAGGTTTGCCGTTACGTAAAAAAATTGAATTTAGTTTGGTATTAATGCATTTGCATTTCACCGTTCGCATTGTCCTGAGCTAAATTTGATGTTTTGTTAAAAGTTTGTCAATAAAAAAGGGATATTCATGCTGTATACTCACATAAAAATTATACCTTTGAGCCATAAACGTCGCTTGGTTGTTTTAAAAGAGCTATAAAGCTTGCCGTACATCGCCTACGGTAAGAAGAGCCTCTTGCCGTACATCACCTACCTCAAGAAGGGCCACTTGCCGTTTAAACCTGAACCGTAAACCGCAAAGCCATGATAACGCCAAACTAAAACTCTCTATTATTTGTTTGAATGTTTGTCCTTATTTGGGTGTGAGAATCAAACATTATTTTGTTGAATGTTCATCAATATTAGGGAGTGAGGATGAAACATTATTTGTTTGAATGTTTGTCCTTATTTGGGTGTGAGAATCAAACATTATTTTGTTGAATGTTCATCAATATTAGGGAGTGAGGATGAAACATTATTTTCTTGAATGTTTGTCCATATTAGAGCGTGAGTGAGGGAAACGCTATTTTGTTGAATGTTTATCCATATTTCAGTGTGAGAGTCAAACATTATTTTGTACACACCAAGCAGTACTATTTTATATTCACAAACCATTCCTTCCAATCAAATATTTATTCAATTTCTTATTTTGAATACTTTGGGCTTGCCTACCAAACTACATCTCTCTCCCTTAGCGTAGCAGAAGCAAAAAGTTAGGAAAGGTCTTGTGCTTTCGTGTATCAAGTGAAATTTTGGAGTCCCACCACCACCATCCCACGCGCAATTCAACCATTTTTCATTTCATATTTCGTTTTACAGCTCTTCAATAACAGAAATATCGAACAGACTTTCCAGTTGTTGTTCAACATTCTTGTCAATGGCGATGGAGCATTGGTACGAAAATATGCCGTCGATCTGTTCGTGGACCTTCTACCTATGGACAAAATCAAAAGGTTCTTGATAAGGTAGCTACATTTGCGAATGAAAAAATGTAAAGAAAGGGGGGAGGGAAGAGAGTCGCTCTAAATTATATGGTTCATGAACTTAGCTATATTTCTAAATCTTATACGTAGCTATGATCACCTTACGTTTTATCTGGATCAGTCTTTGAACCTGTTGTTTGATTGCGAACCGGACGAAGCAGAAAAGGTACAAAAAAGTATGTTCAGTGGCGCAGCCAGCCCGCAAGTCTTTGTCCTGTGAAGTTAATTTCAGATCGTTATCATCATTGATTTTTAAGAATATACAGTTTTTGTCAAAACACTAAAAATTTGCTTAGCAGGAACAAATATGCCGGTGGGCTACGTCACTGTGAATCGTAAGGTTTACGTTAGACAATAAAGCAAACGACATGCAGGATTGAATTTTACTACTGGAATTCTTTCTTCGCTTCCTTTCTTGTAAACAAAAAAGCCGTCAATGTTTCTGCGTTCATTTTACTCTAAAGAGTGTCATCACATGCACATGACTTTATGCATCAAGGTTCTCTTGACATTTGTCGTTTGCCTTATGAACGTGAAGTTTTCAGTTTTCTGACGCATGTATCTTGTTTTTAAGGATTTTTTAATTGCATTCTAGATATTTGAGTTTCTTCTGGCAATTTGTTGCGTTTCCGATGTTCGTGCCATGCTATATGAAGTATTCGAAAACAGCGAATCGTCATGCGAGGAAGGCAAAGCTTACTTCGATTGCGTATTGCGTTGGATAAATTGGAAGACAGACAGGACGATCGTTGCCGTAAAAGCTTTAGAATTCTTGAAAGAAATGTACGAGGTAATTGTGCTTCAGGCAGCGTGACCACGTTTGCAATTTTTTTCAAAAGATATGCTCGAATGAGCTTAAACTCTTCTTAAACACTTTGTATGTTGCAAATGTATATGGAAGGTGGAAAGGACTAAGCTCATCAAACCAAATCTAGGGGCTCTTCACATGAGCAAAACTTACAACCTTTTCTTGCGCGTCATTTAAGTCGTAATTTTAAAACCAGGCTAGATTATTTGTTCTCATTTTAAAAGTTTTGTGAATTTGCAAAGTCAAAGCATAGAGAAATTACTCAAATAAGTTTTTTGTTGTGAAGTATTTAATCTTTTCCATTTGCCAAAATGATTTAACGCTTCTCTGAATCCCGGCTACCTGGCTCATGTGAACAGCCCTCAGTAAAAAAATCGAATTTACTTATTGATTCATGTATTTGCGTGTGGCCCACCTGCTCGATGAAGGGGGGGGGGGCTGTGTTCACAAACATGCATGTTTGTATTAAGTTTCTTTGAAATCAATTGTTTTCATAGAAATAGAAATAAAAAATCATTTCGATCCAAACGATTTTCAAAACTTTTACTAATATGACCATATCAAAGGGATTATTCCATTTCTAACGATTGTAAAATAGGTGCGCATTGCGTACACGTTGCGCCGTATTTGCGCTGCATTTGTGCAGTATTTGCGCTGTGTTTGCGCCGAACGTGACTTGATCTCGCCAATAGCATTTCTTCAATTCTATAGATCATGTACGCATCATGATAGTTGCCAAATCACGACTTTTCATTTTTCGAATTGTCGGGGGAAACAAAAACAACTTGTTTACCTGTTAAAAATGAGAATTTTTTTCGACTATCTTACATAAAACAAATGGATTATTTTAACCGTTATTTATGCAGTTAGTTAGACTTAATTGGTGATACGAACAAAAATCGTTTATTTGTTAAATATACGTCTTAATTACAGAACGTCATGAATTATTTGTAAATATGACGTCATGATTACAAATGTCGAGAATTATTTACAGATGCAAAGAGTAAAGTTTATTATGTAATTTTGAATATTCTTTGCCATATAATCAGCGTGCACGTTTCTAGATGTAGATTGTCCAGGTTAGTTTAGTCCTGAGAAGGACTATTGATGTTGATGTTGACTGACGTTTTGACAACCTCAGCGGTAGTTGACTCTAAAGATGACTATCAATGAGGTTGTCAAAATGTCAGTAAACATCAACAGTTCTTCTCAGGACTCTACTAACTCGACAATCTACATCTAAAAACATTTAACGGTACACACTGGTTCAAACCGTTTGCTTCATTGTAATCAGGGTGATCATTTTTTATGTTATGAACACTTGTTTCTTAACAAAATGTTTAAATGTGTGGTTGCAGGAAGGGACTTTGAATAGTGGATCGGACGTTTTAATGTCTCGGATGGAAACATTACTGCCAAACCTTGTTAAAAATCTCGAAACTCCCGCTGACGTTGAAGCTCGTGGAACGAGACGTACATTTGAAAAGGTTTCTCGTGTGCTGGACGTTTTTTCAAGTGAGTCCGTGTTGTATATGTACTTTTAATACAATCCATATTCCATACTTGATGTAACTCGCTTGACGTCAAATTTTGACTCGATAGCAGGATTGAGGCATAGTTGAAATTTCAAATTTTTGCGGGAGATGCACTTCTGAGTTCTAGTTGTATTAATTTTATTGGTTGGTACTGATAGACCTAATGTGACGGAAATTCTCACTTTTCTCGTTGCTTTCCCAATATTTAGTCTTGTGTTCGGAAGAAAGTGTGGTGAAGTATGTCTGTGATTCAATCGAGTGCAGCATTTTCCGGCTTCTCGTGGAACAGCAGTATAGACTGAACGATATCGCAATGAAGGAAAAACTCACATTTACCGCTGACTGGAGGTAGAAAATATGACGTAAATGCTATCGATATTCATTTAGACAGTAAACCGTCGCGAAGCCATCGACAGATATCCTTTGTGTTGACGTCATCAAATGCATGTTCAAAATACCCTTCGCCCTTTCGTCATACCAATAAAGGACATTGGCATCTAGAATTTTTATCGTATGTTTTGAACGTGTTACATTATGTAATAATGAATACGAATATGATATGTCATGTATGTCTTTTCGTCGGGAGTAATGTGCTACTGTACTGGTGCACTGATATATATATTAAACTGGATAACGCATCTCTTGTGAAAAGGGAAGCCGGAAGTTCGATCATTTGCTACTGGCTTCATGGGGGGCATGGTTCCCACTTCACTATATTTTTGTAATACAAAATCACAGTTTTCGCGTTTTTATTCCTTTTAAAAACTTCTGATTAAAGCAAAATTTTTATGACATGTAGAGGAAAACCGGTAGAGAGTTTTAACCCTGAAGCTATGTTTTTTGGCTTTGTAACTACTGAAAAATAAGATGCCAAGTTGTATTTAAATTTGAAAGTTGAAGGTGACGAGGACAATTTCAGCCGTGTATATTGAAGTTGTTCACAAAGGAACTGGTTGAAAACTTTGCTTCGCTTAATGCAACACAGAGAGGTACTTTCGCATATTCTGATGATGTACATCTCGTAGAGTTTGATGATGCCGTTTTCTTTCTATTGTCTTTCTGATTATTTTTCTATGTCGATTTGTTTTGTTTCTTCACTGATATAATAAAGACGTAATTTGAAATTATTATGATCTTTGCGATGTGAATAACAAAGTGTTGTTAAATAAGTAAATTTGTAGCAATCTTCCATAAACGTCATTGCAGATGAAATTTTGGTAGCAGTAGTAGGATTCTGTAATATTTCTACATTTTTTAAGAAGCAGCATCATCATATAATCTTCAGTTTGTTTCAAAACAATGCAGGTCGACCTTGTACCATCTCAATTTTCTGCCATTATAAAGAAGACAAACTTTTTAGGATTAAATATCTTTGCCGGTCGTTCTGTCCCTTTCATAAAAATTTAGCTCGAATCAAAAGTTTGTAGAACGAATAAAAACGCAAAAACTGTGATTTTGTAATACAAAAGTATAGTAAAGTGGGACTGATACCCCCACGAAGGTCATAAGCAAATTAGCCAACTTCCGGCTTCAATTTTCGTATTATATTTTATACATGGATGCGTTATCCAGTGTAATATAAATATCGGTGTACTGGTGACATGTCGGCCATTTTAAATGCATTTTTCAAGTGATTATCCCGCTCTCAAATCAAAAAAATGACGTCATTAGATGGGCTCCAAATAGAGGTAGTTATCCTAGTTGTAATCATTTACGTTAATGATGAAAGATACTCACGAGATCCAGAGAGTGGTGGTATCGCCATACCAAATTACCTTTTTCCAACTCATCTAATGACGTCACAAATGTATGCACACATAAATTGGCATACCGTGTTGCTTACAAAATGGCGACGAATGTTTATCTTTCTCACGATATTTCTCATAACTTAAAGTGATAGGCACATGGAATCATGAAATTAAGCATTCTGAAGGTTGTTTTAAGTTATCTAGAGAATGAAAATTTCGGCTGCCATTGTCCTTTGACATCGAAGAGATACACGGGGATTGTAACTCCATATCTCTTCGTGGTCGAGGCTAATAAACCTTTTTGGGTGGGGATCGTTGTACTGTGACGAACTAATGATGCGACTTCTTCTTTCATTTTCAGCGAGGTCGGTGTGTCTGTAGCATTGAAAACCTTGGACCTCATGAGCCAGTTGATACCATTTGACAAGAATATCAAAGTTAGTAGAGCCAGGGGCGAAAGTAGAACGTTAAGTGTTGGGGCGGTTGAAAATTCATGTGTTCACCTCTGCTTGACTGATTTGGTTTTTTAGCGATTATAATTTCAAAAGAAATTATCAGGGCAGAGCTGATTATATGAATATTCACTCCCCACTCACTTAACATTCTATTTTTGCCCCTAAGTAGAGCTAGAAACTTAGTAGCTACCTCACGCAAAAGGAAGTTTTTATTACGTTGATACTCTTTGGGAATTTTAACTTTCTCATTTGTGTTTATGTGCGTTTTTCTTTATTTTTGTGCAGGAAACGCAAAGCGAACTAATAAAGGTAAAATATTTTTAAAATCATTTGATAATGTCCATCACGAACATTAAGTGCAAAGCTCTTTTTTTTGACAAAACGTTTTCATTCCTACTTTTTCTCACAGGATGATAGACTTTTGTCTTTTCTTGCACACACAATCTCCGAGGGTCAGAAAGATGATGTTCAGGTTGCTCTACGGGTACTACAACAGTCTTGCAAGACGAATGATTTCCACATTGCTTGGTAAGACAAGACATTTTAATAATGCTGCTCACGTGCATTCTAAACACAACACAAAATGAAAGTCCCCACCCGAGTTATGTTACTATAAATTTATAAATGAATGAATCATAGATCATAAAACACAGCACTAATTTAACAGAGATCTGTCGGGATTTTTCATTTGGCACTTATAATAATTTATGTAGTGAGGAGACTTTCTTTTTGTGTGGTGCGTGTTTTTATAGGTGGAATGTTGCTCACCTAGTTTGGCGATTTATTTTGCCACCGCTTAATTGTTTCAATCAATCTTTCGTACTTTCTGTCTATTTTTACTTACCATTGATTGCAGCATATAAATACGCGTGCTTGCAGCAAATGGCGAAACCCCAATGATACGGTAACGCATTACCTCGTATGAAAAGATCTTTTAATGTTTTCGTTGTTGGAATGTGCATGCATTTATGTAAGGCTTGCATTCAGTAGCAAAGCAAGTCCAAACTTTTATTATGCAAATTTTTCAACAAAATAATTATTTGTTTAGAAATCATTTATTCATGTATTTGGAAAATCAATTTCATTAATTGTTTTTTCCAGTTATTGAACACAAAAATGTCGCATGGTAGGTGTAAAAAACATGCTGGCTCCGCGCTACTGCTTGCAACATTTAAATTATATCAGGAGGATGGAGAGAGTATCTCACTTCAGTATACTTGCACATAAAATCATTTGGCCAGAGCTGTATATCTAATATTCCTTGTCGAAAAGTTAAACTGAGTTGCTTTTTTGTGAAGGAAGAAACTCTGCGTGAGACAAGTTGCTATAATAAGAAAGAATTATACTACTAGTTTTTCTCAGAATATTTGTTCAAGTATCGCAGAAGCAAGCGCAAAAATTTCCACTACGACTTATATCCACATTTATCCTTCCACGTCCTCTTCCCACATACCCATGTGGTCAAGTTAATCAACCTTGTAATTAGTCGATAATTCAATTCCTATTTCTAGGCTAGGGGATCTTATCTACTGCAATAATAGGATGAAACAAGATGAACTAAAGGTTTTACGCAAGCGCAATGATGAGCTTAACCTATCTCCGTTATCGCAACCGCGTTTCGACCCTTCCTTGACCTTGCTCTCCGCTGGAGATCGTAAAGTTTCGGCAAGTCGTCGAAACCGGAATAGTCCGAAAACAAGTACATTTATAAACAGTGTTCACGATGAAAGTACCATTGAGAGTTTAATTGATAAGATGAAATCGGGATTAGAGGTAACTATGTCGCACTTTATCGACAATTGACTTTTGCAGCGGCTATTTTGGACACTCATCACAATCCACAACAAATCTGAAGCGTTAATACAGTTCATCAGTGACGTAGTCAACCTCGATAATAGGGTGTGTGTGCAATACTCGTATATTCATTTTGTAAACCATGAAAGACCGGACATATAGTAATTATTATATATAATTATAATGGTAAATGACAACTATGACCTCATGGTAAAATTTTCATAGTTGCTATGGTAAATGACAACTATGACTTCATGGTAGATTTTTCATAGTTCCGTAGTAAATAACAACTATGACCTCATGATAAAGTTTTCATAGTTGCTATGGTAAATGACGACAGTGACTTCATGGTAAAGTTTTCATAGTTGCTATGGTAAATGACGACTGTGACTTCATGGTAAAGTTTTCATTAGTTGCTATGGTAAATGACGACTGTGACTTCATGTAAATTTGTCATAGTTCCCATAGTAAATAACAACTGTGACCTCATGATAAAGTTGTCATTTTTACCATGGTAAATGACAACTGTAACCTTACGGTAAAGTTTTCATAGTTGCCATGGTAAATAAAAATGTGACCTCATGGTAAATTTTTCGTAGTTGCCATGGCAAATGACAACTGTGACCTCATGGTAAAGTTGGCATAGTTACCATGGCAAATGACAACTGTGACCTCATGGTGAATTTATACATGATGTTGATTTTTTTTTACTTTTGCACGGTCGTGAATACAATCTAAAAATTTTTTATTGAAACTTTTCGTTTGCCTGATGACGTTTCTAGTGAGGAGAAGTTCATTTGATCGAAGGAGCTTTCAAATGACAAATGACGGTGCTTCCCCCCCCCCCCCCCTAACGTCCTGCAAGTTCGTCTGTGACGTGCCTCACATTCTTTCGCCCTATTTCTTATTTAATGTGAGTATCGGTGGTTTGCAATTCTCCGCGAACAGAACAACAGTTCCCCTCGAACATATATTGACATATTCAGCGCTTCATATATGACCACGCTTTGTTGCCTGGTGAAGTACAAATAATGGTTATACATCATAATTTTCATCTTTAGATTAAAGATACGAAGGCGTCCGAGATCATGGATGTTTATGAAGCTAAACTTGCTTCATTGCTGGTAAACCGACTAATCATCGTTTAACTTTCATTAAATAGTGTTCGAGCGGCGTAAAGTCCAAGCAGCTAATATTCATAAATAAATGTTCTGAATTTCGTTTTTGCTCAGACAAATGAAGGCTGTTTTCGATTTTAGACAAAAGAAAGTCATCTTCAAGATTTACTCGAAGCAAAGAGTTTGGCTCTTGCCCAATCCGATCGCATGATTTCACAATATCGATGCAGAAGAGCCCAATCAGAGGCCGAGGCTTGTTTTTCACCGTGATTTTGCTTAACATGAAGTCATGATTTAACTTTGCATATTGAATTTTTCGGCTTGACAATTTTTCAATTAAATCAAAATAAAAATCAAGCTTTTCATTACACTCTTTTTTAATAAATTTTAAATAAGAACAAATTGAGGCTGAGGAAAGCATCTAAAAGTAATCTCGATAGGTGTAGTTTTACTTTTCTTAAATTTTAAAAAAAGAATCAAAAAAGAGTGTAGTTTATGAAGCATAAGTTTATCATTGTTTACAAGTCATTTCCATCATATTTTCAATAAAGCTAGCTGATGACGAGCAAATATCTAGCTACAACGCAAATAATCGTTATATGTGAATTTTGATATTTTTCAGTGTACCAAATTACGACAAATGTTGCAGGAAACTGAGAAACGATGCGAATCCCAAAGTGATCTGGTAGTAGAAGAACATTCTTGCTTTTTATGTCCTAAGTAAAAATACTCAAATTTTCCCTTAGTTTCGACTGTGAATCCAAAATTATTCGGCACTTCAAGAAAGACGTACATCACGTCGTAAAATCATCTTACATTTCATGGAAATATACATCACTTTATGGATATCATCTATCACATCATAGAAATATCTATCACTTCATAGAAATCATCTTTGGCTTCATAAAAATCGCCTGTTACTTTTATTACTTGAAACAAAAATTGATAGCATTCGTTTTAGTAGAAAGTTCACCCCCGCAGATAATGTTTGCGAAGAAAATAAAAATTTTCAATGTTAGACTTTGCTGATCTCAGCTAGACAGAGGTCTTCCAATTTGAAAATATCGAGTTCATGAAATATTTGCAGATCAATGGTTATGCTGAATCAAAGAGAGAATCCACTGAGCAGGTAAGCATGAATTTTTTTTTCTGGCTGAACCAACGAATCATTAAGAAAACAAGTTAGAATCTCTCCATTTAAATATTTCTGCATTTCTCTTAGCAGTGTACCCATATATGCAAATTTTTTACCAGGATTCGGACGTGCCTAAACACTCTTCTTGTTCTCAATTTTAAAATATATAAAGCAGGGGGGAGAGTCCAAGCACATCATACCAATCCAGTAAAAATTTTTACTTGTGCGGTAACACTGTCTCTAAGGTCTGCGAGCGTTCCAAGTTCATAAACTACTGGAAATGAGTAAGTTAGTTACTAGTCTACCCTAAATTGGATGATCGTGTCGTCCTTTTGTTCCTCCTTCAATAAAGTCAAAACAATTCAATTATTAAACATGTTCTTAAAGGCCTTGACGTTTGCAGTGATCTTAACGGAAGAAGTCACTCCTCTAATGACAATGTACAGGGGCGAAACGAGGCCGTTAAGTGTGGGGGGACTGGGGAGTGTGAATATTCATATATTCAGCTCTGCTTGACTGATATGGTTCGTTACATCGCGCTCATCCTGGAATGCGACATCCAGGTTGAGGTACAAATCTGCAGGCTGCGTAGTACCCACTAGCTTAGTCTATTTATAATTTCATTTATTTTCATTATAAACGAGTTTTAAAACCATATGCTGAATAAGTGCCTCTCTGTATACGTTACTTAGGTGTCGTCGTTCACATTGATGCATGTGCCCGAGCACCGTACTTGGGTACTACCTATTTTCGTGGTGTTCAGCCTCGGGCACCATCAAAATGTTGTGTTCACATTTGTTCCCGTGGCGGGGCACTCAGTCTGAACGCGCTATTAGAGATCATAATTTCAAAAGAAATTAGCAGGGCAGAGCTGAATATATGAATATTCAACCTCCCCCCCCCTAATTAGTGTTCTAGTTTGGCCGTTGACAGTGTATAGACCTTTTATGAACGCAAAGCAACGATTCTTACTTATCTGCGTTTTGCTATCATTGATTTATCTAGATGGAGAAATTTAAAAGTCAGATCAAGAATCTGCAACAAACGGCCAATGCACATGATCAATTAAAGATAACTTTTGCCGAAGAGTCAAACAGGTATTAAATATACATGTGCGGACATCGATATGTGTATTATATCCTAGGCATAGGCGATTGCTTACGTAGGAGCTGGATTATTTCATCCATTCTATCGTGTTTGTCTATAGTTATTGAACTTTTTAGTCTCGCGTTGAAAGTTCTTCAGTGCGATATCTTCACCGAGTTTGATGTTATGTGTCAATACAACCCTTTGACACTTCGCTCTTTTTCATCGTGACGTAATTTTCGTACTGGAGTCCTTAGAGACCTCGATCTGATACGATTCTTCGAGCATGATTTGATGCTAAATATGGAGGTCTAGTGTACTCCTGTGTTGTGTCGTTTACTTTCAGTCGAATGTCTGTTAGAAGCGATCTGACGTTGGAACCCGAGCTCTTCTACACTCCAATATAATGTCTCTTCAATCTTCTCCTGGAGTGATCTCAAATTGAAAAAATAACATGCACTTTTAAATCATTCGTCAATTTTCTTTAAGATTGAAAACGGTAAAGGAGGCATTGGTAGCCGCACATAAAGAACACGAATCGCTCTCCGAACTGAATGAAATGCTGCGACGCCATAACAATAACCTAAAGGAACAACACGACTGGTATGGCTCTTCTTGCGTGCGCATGCGCTGTATGCACGGTGTGATTTAAAGTTAGATGTTTGTTCTTAAGCTCTACCCGTCAGCTTCGCCAGTTGGAAGAGGAAAGAAAGAACATAATGCTACAGGTTCAGCAAAAAGACATCAAAATCAATGGTACGTGTTCGGCTAAAATCTCAAGACAGCTAGATTAGTTTTCCTGTGATTCGTTGTCATTCTTGCTCACAGTTTTTTTCCGCTAAACTCCCCGATATTCACCGTTATTGATTGTTTTAGCGCCGAAGTGCTTATTAAATTTTCTCAATTCTCAGAGAGGCGCTTATTAAACTATTGTCGAGTAAAGGTTTAAGACAAACTTTTTCACGTGCGCTCTTTGTGGACACGTTTTTTGTGTGAAATCTGTGAAATGTGATACGAACTGGAACCATAACTTTGCATGCCGCCAACTTTGAAGCCATCATGATGGCAGACATGCAGGTCGCCTTTTTTTTGTTTGTAAATAGCTTATGACCTCCGAAACAGCCATTAAAATTGCACGTCTCACCAGGCCTAATCAGTCTAATCATAGAGCATTTGTTTAGAGAGTTCCAGTTGATATTATGGTTCACTGTGTGAAGTTTACAGTTGCATTTGCGCATTATAGAATTAGGTAATTACGCAGCCTCGTTTTGTTCGCCATTATAGAGCTCACGGAAAACGTTAATACGCTAGCTGAGCGTGTGAAAAATACGTCGGAAGATTTGGTAAAAACGGAAAATTCCTACGAGAAATGTAAAACAGAGCTGGTGAAAAAGGAGCACACGATTAAGGAACTTGTCCATAAGGTGTGTTTGGGTTAAAACTTAAGCCTGTGATTTCTTTTGCAAAATAGGGGTTCTAGATGAACTGGATGTTGTTGATGAACACAGTGGAGGGTATATCACAAAATAGACTTCGCACTACTGACTATGACACTGAAGTACAAAGATACATGTTTTAAAACAGATCACTTCTATTGAAAGACTGAAGTTTTTGTATCATAGCATTCTTGATGAAGACACTTTAGACTGGAGTACGTGAGGTCTCAACATCTGTTTCAACATCAGATCACTCCTTACGATGGCACTAGACTGGAGTATGTAAAGACTCACGTTTCTACCTCAAATATCCTTTCTGATAAAAACACGAGACTGTAATACATGACAACTCGGGTTTTAACATTGGATCACTCCTGCATGAAAACACTAGACTGGAGTACATAAGAACTCACATTTCCACATCAAATTACTCATGATGAAGACACTAGAATGTAGTATATACGAACTCTAGTTTCTACATCAGATCACTACTGATGAAGACAGTAGACTGAAGTATACAAGAACTCAAATTTCAATATTAAATCACTCCTGATGAAGACACTAGACTGGAGTATATATGAACTTAAGTTTCATCATCAGATCACTCATGATGAAGACACTAGACTGGAGTATATATGAACTTAAGTTTCAACATCAGATCACTTCTGATGAAGACACTAGACTGGAGTATATATGAACTTAAGTTTCATCATCAGTTCACTCTTGATGAAGACACTAGACTGGAGTATATACGAACTCTAGTTTCAACATCAGATCACTCCTGATGAAGACAGTAGACTGGAGTATATATGAACTTAAGTTTCATCATCAGTTCACTCTTGATGAAGACACTAGACTGGAGTATATATGAACTTAAATTTCATCATCAGTTCACTCTTGATGAAGACAGTAGACTTTAGTATGTAACGACTCAAGTTTCAACGTCAGATTATTTCTGATGAAGACACTAGACTACAGTTTTGTAAAGATTGTGGGCACGAGTTCGCATGCACTCAACTTATACTGCTGAGGAAAAACTATATTGAAAGGAAAAAGTTAAAAAATTTCACAGGTTGCATCTCTGGAGTTGGTGTGTTCACAAAACGAGAAATCAATAAAGGAAAAAGAAGAACAGTTGAGGGAACAACAAAAACGTATCGATAAATACGCTCAATTGTCAGCCATGATCCACAACATGACTGGAAATGACATTCCTGCAGCGAAATTTGACGAGAAACCTGGACGAAGCATGAACTAAACTATCTTCGCCAACGAAAGAAAAGAACTTCGAGTTATACGATTGGACATTATACGAAATCAAACATCGCGGTTAATAACTGCATTATGGGAGGTGTACCTTATTATTCATTTCTTTTTTAAAAATTTACCCTCGACTAGAGCTAACTGTCACAGAAATTATTATTGTCGAGAAAGACCGAACGCAGAAATCTTGTTTGAAAACATCGAAAGCCTCGATTGTCAATAAAAGTGCTTAAGGCTTTTAAATCTTGAAAATGTCAGAGTAACGGTATTTTCAGGAAGGGCATATACCAGTATTTTAATGACACTCAAAAATTCGATACGTCGTAAAAAGTAAACATTTTTATTCTGAACGTTTCCGCAAGTACTACACGTACTTGTCGAAACGTTACAATACGAAATGTTTACAAAGGCAATTTATTAATTTTCAACGTAATAAAATCACACTTTCCAGATATATTAATTCAATATTTTTCCAATTAATGACGAAATGTTTCGTAATAAATAAAGCGAATAATTCTATGGTGTCTTTGCTTTCCAAAATGGCGCGATCGGCCATTCGTATTCGTTCGGTACTGGACCTTTGAACTTGCAGTTGCTTTCGAAAAACCAGAAAAGAGGAAACCAGAATCGAGTTCGAAATTTCTCGCGGCTGTCCATCGTCTGCGCGTTCGCCAGAGCGTGATAATAGAGAAAGATTCGCGAGGATATGTAAAACGCTATAAAAACATCGATGGAATAGTGCTCGTGAGCAGCGAGAATGAAGAAGATGCCAAATACATTGAGTATCCAGCAAAACGTATGAAGAAATGTCCAACGTCTAGGTGTATCTAAAATATCAATGGATTAATGCACGTCATCGGATGTCGTTGCACACGTAAATGGATTTTCTTTTAAGCTCCATTTCATAAAATTTAATTATTGAAAGGCTACTGAGCATGTACAATGGATCTATCTAGCACATTTCCAATGGATGGTAAGATAGAAGCAATGTGACCATATATGCAATTTTTACCAGATTTGTTTGGATGAGCTTAATCACTCCCCCTCTTTTGATCTATGCAACAACAGAAAGCAGATGGGAGGGTCTAAGGTCATGAGGCCAAATATAGTAAAAATTCCATGTTGGAAAACTGGGTAGAAGTTCATTGTCAACAAGAAAAATGAAATCAGTGAAGATCAGTAACTGTATATGTAAATGGCACATGTAGTAATTTTGTGTGGAATGGTGAACTTCAAATATTTCTATGTAAGAAGAAATGTCTCCTTCAAAGTACAAACGATTTCTTTCAAGATTGACCTTCAAATCACCCGATTATTTAGGAAAAAGCAGTTACTTACATTCTGAAACAAAAAAATTCAGCAAGGTGATAGCACAAGTGTGTCCACTGTACATGTAATCACCACAGGAACGGACACCATTCAATGCGAGGCCTCCACCAAAAAAGATCGTAAATGCTCGCCGTAATCGCATTTCCCAGCTGCCGTAGATCTACACAAAGATCACAAATAGCATTGCAACAGATGTACTATCTAATACTTATAGGGAGGCAGCCTTAACTGAAGTGTTCATTAATTTACTGAATTGTTCAATGACTGAAGTGTTCAATGACTGAAGTGTTCATTAATTTTTTCAACTAATTGGCTTTGTCTGCCCAACTGTCTTGGAAGGTTACCACCACCTTCCCCCCCTGCTTGATACACTAGTGAGTATTGCAGTAGGTTTAATGTACATTTACCGATTCTTGATATAAAATGTGTAGAAGCCACAAGATGATTGAAAGTAATCTTGGTGACATGAACATAGTTAAACTGTTGAGATTGAAGAACTATCTCTTTCATTGGTAAATAAATGGCAATTCTAATTCCTGATTGGTCTAATTGGTAAGATATTACCTTTCCAGTACATTCAAGGTGCACACCAGGAACACTCAAAGAAGTTACAAACATTGTAACACATCTAAGTAGGAAAACCGTTCCGGAGATGGCACACACACGGCGAATCACGATCAATCGATGCTTGTGGAAAAAAATGATCAAACAGGCAATAAAGCCCATTAAAGTGGCACATATCTCACACATGTAAAATGCCCATGGTATCAGTGGTATGTTATCCAAAAATATATCGGGAAGAGGCGGATAGCGATTCATGTCTGGCACCTGGTCGTGCACAATCGTCATTGTTAGAGCAGTGATTATAAGTACAACGACACAATAAACAATTGCAGAGACGCTGCGTCCAAAATCGCCGATCCTCGACAGTCGGACAATAATTTCACTTGACTCCGGTTCAGAGTCGGAATCTGAGAAAATGCGGCCGTCCGAAAGGTCCTCCGTTCGCTTCGAGTAAGTGTTGAACCGAAATTGACTTGATGCTCCTTTAATAGACAGTTGGAAAGTCTTGCGTAATTCAACAATTGACAGCCACAACCGTTTCACGTCACCTAAAACTTTGATTTGCATTGGAGCTTCCCGTAGATCTCGTTCCGTTAAATTCAGCAGACACATTCCGTCTATTTTATGCTCCTTGCAAAGCAAATCGACATACCGACTGAAACCATTTTCTACCAGCCAACGCTCGACGTCTTCCACATCCCAAGACGCTACATCGGCCGCCATGTTGACTGGCTGGGATGCACTTTCGACGTGCGCGCAGCACTCCAGTTGTACAAAATACGTTCTTGTCTTTCACGTGCTCTAGAAGGTGCTTACGTATGTGGAAGGTGAGGTAAAGACGGGGGGTTGCGGCCAGTTTGTACTTGACAAACTTGGAGTTCAGGTTCGTAAGTGATCCCAATTATTGAGAGCCTGACCATCCCCGACTATACCTTATCACACCGACTCAAGTTCGGTGGAAGGAAAATAAAAAAAATTGTTCTGTTCTTCACCGCAACCTGTCGAAAATGATGACCTAATGCTATGTCCGTGAATATATCTGCAATATGCAATACTCGCTTCCAGTCCGCGCGCAACGTTCCTACAATGTTAACCTTGGTTACAGCATAACCTCATTTAATATCGGTTGTCACTAAATGTACTTACGTGTGTATAAGGTGAGGCTTAGACGGGGGGGTTGCGGCCAGTTTGTATTTGACAAACTTAGAGTTCAGGTTCGTAAGTGATCCCAATCATTGAGAGCCTGACAACCAAAGTGACATTCCTGAGGAATTTCACCCCTCCAAGTCAAATACTATCTCCCTTCTGCCCTCAGCGAGTGTTACCTGACAATTGTGACCTGTTGTAATGAAGGGTATGGCATTGAATTGTGTTGCTTCAATAAGATAATTCCACTTATCACTGGCTTTACCATGCGATGCTAGCGTTTTCCCGTATGTGGTATCCGTATAACGGAATGAGCTATGAGATTTTTTGCGCGTTACTGTGCCGTTACAGTATCGTAATGTTTGTGTTTGACAGCATGCAATGCATTGGGCAAATTTGCCAAGATACCATAGCAGGACGTACACAAATCTAACATTATCGCCGTATTAGCGTTGGGTTCGGTTGTTACAGTAGCGTAATGAGTGCGATCACTGGTCAAACGACGACTTTTGCGAGATTATGTTGGTACTGTAGCGTAGTGCGTACGAGTAGCCTTGAATGACGACTAGCGTTGGCTTGTGTTGTTACTGTAGCTTAATGAGTACGATCAGTGAGTGAGAGACGGCTTTTGCAAGATTATGCTGGTACTGTAGCGTAGTGCTTATGAGCCGCCCTTGAATGACGACTAGCGTTGGCTCGCGTTGTTATAATGGCGTAATGCGTTCAATCTTTGCGCAGCTCAAGACTACTTTGTCGACTGTATCGAGGGTAGCATATGACGAGCACGAGAAGCTAATCGCCTGAATAACATTATTTTTTCTTTTCATAATGCTTTAACTTTACAAATAAGATAAAGTGTATGAAATAGCTGGAATGTCTGCAGTCTAAATACTTAAACGAAAATCATTACTATTTTATCTCGTTAGCAGTGGCAATTGCGTGACGATGCGCTTTGGCACAGTCTCTATCATAGATGTCGGTGTGCGAATATACGTTGCTAAACCTACGTCTCATAGTTTTTACTAAATGATCTGGTATGCCAGCTGCTGCCGCCCCAATACGAAAGCTGTGGTACGAATAGTTGTCGAGCAAACCAACTCGCTCTACTGCACTACGTATAACCACGATGTTAAAGGAGACCTGGTCAATGATGTCATCTTGCTTTCAAAAAAGTGGTTTATTCTTCCCACCACAAATCTGCAGGAATCGCATTAATGCGCGAACAGCACATATTGCCTACCCCGATGCTCCCAAACAAACCGTGAACCCAACCCAAAATGGGTCTGTCTTTGAAAATTTCACCTGTAAGTATACCATACTTACAGGTGGTAATGGTATATTGGGGAACCGTCGGGATTCGCACATTGCGACCAATAGCAAAACGGCAGAAAGCGACGTTGAGCTGAATCGTAGCTGCGCCGAGTAGCTTGAGAAATCCCCTGAAACATCAACGATTGAGCCCGTTGCCTCAAATCATTGAGCTCAGTCGCATTAGCAACGCTGGTGGGACCAGCACTGGTTGTGGATGCGCTTGTGGTACCAAGTCGAAGAAAACCTGCATATGAAATCGAGAGAGAGCATCAGTGACGCCCATATTCTTACCTGGAACATGCTTTGAAGTGACAATAAAATTGAACTGCGCTGCACATAGAAAAAGTTCCCGTAGCAGTTGCATAAGCTATAGTCGTCCTTGGAAGTGCCAGACGTAATCACCGCCACCACACTCTGGCTATCGCAACAAAACTGAATGAGGCGATTGCGTAATTTATTATCCCATACATGACATGCAACAACGACACGGAAAAGTTCTTTGTAAGAAGTGCCTAAGAATAGTTGAGCTGGGACCATTTCCCGTTAAACACTGGCCGTTGAGGAATGCTCCATAACCTATACCACCAGATGCATCAGTTGATAGGAAGAAGTCGGATACCTCCGCCCATTCTAGCAAGTCAAGCAAATTAAACGCCATCCCATGAAGGCAACAGGGCACGTCACCAGGCTATATCGAGTTTGCATTGCTTGTTCAAACGAATAAAGCGCGATCTTTTGCTCAAATGATCTTTAAATTAGTCTAGAAGACGTCGGATAAAGTTTCTTCCATGAGGGACTACAGAGCATGCGTGATTAAGCTTCCTAACGAATGATTGCAGTTCGTTTATACCAACAAACCATTTTTGGGCCCAATAATCTAGTAAGTGAACAATTTCTTCGCATTTTTATGATGGAAGCCGTGCGGTCATAAGAACAGAATCAAGTTCAATGCTCAAATATGTTAAACAGGTTGCTGGTCTCATGCATTATTCTGGCGAAGGTGGGATGCCAATTTGCAAAGCCGCACAATGAATCGCTCTTAAGCGAACGGAACATACGTCAGTCTCGGGTGGTCCCAAAGTAAAATAATCGTCCAAATAATGAAGCAAATCACTCACATTCCAATTGTGAACAAGACACCAATGAAATAGGTCGGCCACCGAATCAAATATAGCGCAAAAAGGTAAAGTCAAATCAACATAATAATTATTACGACCTCACAGGGCGAAAATACCGAAAATATTTAAAATGAACTAAATTTTTCATCACTTGACATGCATTAAAAGCAAATTTTGCAGTTGCAACATATCTACTCCAGTTAACATCAAGATCAGAGGTTACGAATGCTGTCATGGTAACAACGCTCAAAACAAGAACATGGATAAAGTTTGTTCAACGTAAATCGGTATCAGCGTAGATAAAAGTCTCTCTTTGGAAGTATGTACGACAGAGCTAGCAGAAATTTAAGCCAACCTTTAGCTATGACGGAGGTGTCTGTTGGACCCGGCAGCTATGAATTGGCGAGTTTCCTGAAAGGAAAAGTAAAAAATTCGGGTGAGTTACTGAGTTTATAACTTTATAGTTTAAAGTGTTTTTTTTACGGACACACTGTAGCTCCTGGAAATGGAGCGATTGCAGAATACCCATCCGCTTCTACGCATATAATATATATTTGCCATATAATATATGAGTGGACGGGTATTCTGCAATTTAGCCCCTGGAAACCATTGATTTGAATACACTATGGTCATATGAACATGCACATATGATCATTGTCCCATGCCCCTGATTATTTAACTGTCTATGTCACTATGTAATCCTATATCTTGAAGGTGACATGATGGAATATCTTTAAGTTGTGTTAGGGTTCAATTTTCATTGTTTGCATTGTATTCAAAATGAGGACAGGCTCTTGGTTTTACTTCATGTTATGCATCTGTCATTTTGTTTTGTCAGTTGGTTATGCACCATTTGGCTCAATGACTAGTCGAGAAACATTTGTTGATGTTCCTGACCAGACGATTGCAGCTCCAGGACCTGGACAGTATGATTTAAAGTTGAGAAATGCTAATCACATTGTAGGCGGACAGTCTTTATCAAACACAGTAAGGGTCGAATTATTCTTTCACTACATACATGTGAATGCATGCCTTTTTGTTTGGGACTCTAGCCCACTAGTTATGTTTTATCATTGCAGTCCAAAAGATTTGAAGATTTGACAGAAGCAATTCCAGGTCCTGGTACCTATAATTTATCGAAGCACTCTGACTGGATCAAACAGCTTCCACAGAAGCAACTATATGAGGAAGAGGTGAGGAAAAAGAATGACTAGTACAGACCATTTCACCTCGAGATCTAGAAAAAATTTCATTCTCATTTTATGATATAAATACATGGAAACAGTTGTGAATTGTTGCATGATGTTCTTTTACAAGTTTAAGCTACACTTCTTCTCTTTGCATTGTTTCACATTGGCTACTTTCATGGTAAAGTTGTCATAGATAGTATTTTCAGAGATGTTTCTCCTCTTGTCTGTTGTTTAAGCTCCTATCATTTAGAAGATAGGGCTATTCTTTTTGTGTGGTTATAAATGCACTCCATTACTCTAATCCACCCCTTGAATAAAACATGTGCTAAAATAGGTTTGTTAGCTTTTTCGCATGGGCTAATACATGAGAAGACTTGTATACGAGAGTTGGGGGTCTGGGAATGTTAGAGTTAGTTACTGTAGCTTGTAGCAGTAGCTAGTGCCAGTACTGATGTTGATAATGAAACCATCTTGCTCCAAGTCCTGGGATTTTCGCAGGTGTATGGCTGAGCTAATGCAGGACTGAGCTTCTCTGTGGAGTATATTCAGTGTGATGATACTGGTGTGCTTATGAACGGGGAAGAGCAGATTATAGGCAGGGCCGTTGCTTGAAGGTTAATTAGGAGAGTGCATATTCAAATATTCAGTTGTGGCCAACTGACTTCTTTTGAAAGTGATTTGGCTTTCTTAAGAAATTAGTCGGGAACAACTGAAGATATGAAAATACCCCACCCACCCCCAACCCAATTGGCTACGGCACTGATTACAGGTGGGAATATACGGTACATCATTTCACAGATTAACTCGATCAATGAAATGCTTTTTTTCCATCATAGAGTGAACCCAGACGACGTATCATATTATTGCGGAAAACTGATCCACCATCGATACCTTCACCTGGAAAATCGTATGGTTATGAAGAGGCCACCGATGGTTCTCTCAAACCACAAGTCATGCCAGAGAGAGATGAATCCATGGGTCCTGCATATTATAACGTTGATCATGTGAGTTGCACGTTTTGTTTTTTGTTCTTTGTGAGGAGTGAGCATGCTTGAAGGAATGTGAATGTTTGTCGTAGAATTATATATATATATATGTTTAATTAAAGGCATCCTAAGCCGGTTTCAAACTACTAAAACCAATACGAACGTAAAGAATCTTTTTTCTATTGCTCAGAGGTTTACAAAGACAAAAATATCGCTATTTTTTTTAATCTTCTTTTGTTTTTCTCTTAGCTTTTGCTTGACTTTTCTCCTTGCCTTTTGTCTTTGTTTTATCTTTTGTCAACGCTTGTGTTCATGCTTATTTCATTCGTGTGATCCTAGCTTTAAAGGGCTTTCACACTGTGAGTTACATTATATATGGAGCCGTCCATCGCTATAACTCTAGCTCCTTGAAAACAAAAACTGAAATGTATTGTAATTTTTGTTGAGTTTATTTTTTGAAAACCTCGCCTTTCCGTGGTGAATTTTTCCACATGGTCATTTTTCGAGGTGTTTTTTGATATATAACTAGTTAGCTTTTAAAATCGAATCTGTTTTATGCACTTCCCAATCTGATGAAAAATTCTACCAAAAATTTAGCTTTCGAATCATTTTCCGAGGTCCATCCCTGCCCGAGGCAATGAATTTATAAAGGTACCTATTTTATCCTGACTTTTCCTCCCTTAGAGAGAAACACAGACTACGAGAAATTATAAAGGTGTTTTCTTTGGAGGAAAAGATTCCAAGCGACTTAGTTTTAAAGGTACGTATAAAGGCCACCACAAATCAAAAATTGCAACTTCCGTAAGGGAACTCGAAAAACTCTTCTTTTAGAATTGCGAAGGATTGGTTAAATATACAGTTAGTTTTAGTTGCTGTTTTATGATACAGCAGTTTTTGTAACTGTATTTCGCGTTTGTAGATGTAGCTCATTCTAGTTTGTGGAATCCTGAAGACTGTTGGTGTTGATGTTGACTGTACCTAAGCGGTTGTTATGTTCATAGTCAAAGTTTAGCGGTATTGATCTTCATAGTGAAGATTAGCGGTAGTCGTCTTCATAGTGAAGATTAGCTGTAGTCGTCTTCATAGTGAAGATTAGCTGTAGTCGTCTTCATAGTGAAGATTAGCTGTAGTCGTCTTCATAGTGAAGATTAGCTGTAGTCGTCTTCATAGTGAAGATTAGCTGTAGTCGTCTTCATAGTGAAGATTAGCTGTAGTCGTCTATAAAGTCAAGATTAGCTGTAGTCGTCATTAGAGTCAAGATTAGCTGTAGTCGTCTTTAGATTCAAGATTAGCTGTAGTCGCATTAGAGTCAGGATTAGCTGTAGTCGTCTTTAGAGTCAAGATTAGCTGTAGTCGTCATTAGAGTCAAGATTAGCTGCAGTCGTGTTTAGAGTCAAGATTAGCCTTAGTCGTCATTAGAGTCAAGATTAGCCTTAGTCGTCATTAGAGTCAAGATTAGCTGTTGTCGTCTTTAGAGTCAAGATTAGCTGTAGTCGTCATTGGAGTCAAGATTAGCTGCAGTCGTGTTTAGAGTCAAGATTAGCCTTAGTCGTCATTAGAGTCAAGATTAGCTGTAGTCGTCTTTAGAGTCAAGATTAGCTAAAGTCGTCTTTAGAGTCAAAGATTTCGAAACGTCCGTTGAAGCACTAACATGAACATTCCTTATCAGAACTGCACTAACATTGACGATCTACATCTACAAACGTGTAAAAATATTCCCAGTTTCTAACCATCCACGTGATTTTATCATACATATTATTATTTTACGACATGTCAGTGTATGAAAATATTTTAATACGAAACATCAGGACTACTAGTTGATGACACAAACGTTTTGTTAGTCTCCACCATTTTTTTTTCAAAGGCAGCTAAGCTGTAGAATTATTCTGAGTATATTAATTAAGACCTTTATAAAACGGATTTATGAAAAACTTTCATCCTGTCACGTTAGAGCCAGGACACACCACTGAAGAATATTTTCCAGAAGATGTTTTGTAAAACTCCGAAACTTTAAACTTTCCTTTATTTACTAACGCGCATTATTGAAATTAGAGTTCTTGGATTACTATCCTGATCGACACAGTGACTTAGTCAACCGTTAATTTTTTCGTGTTATGTATGTTTCAGAACTTTTTTCTAGAAATTCATTGTTGTTCAGTGAGTGCATGAGCATCAAAGTAGTTTGCTACATAGCATTTCAATACTTGCTAACTGTTTACGCGCAGGACCGGCATCGTTTTCTTCTTCCTACGTCAATTACATTCACTAATGCCCATTATCTTTCCTCTCAAACGGTTGGAATTTTTTCCACTCTATTGGAGAAAATGACATTTCGTTTTGACATGGCCGCGAAAGAAAGCAATTCTTACCTATTTTGCTGTCATTTTGAGTCATCGTTTTCTGAGCACTCGTCATTGGATTCCTTTAAATACAGGTAGCAATCAAGTGCCAGGTCCTGGAGCCTACGATCCTTACGAGCCGCCTGAAAATAAAATGCCGATTGATCTGGTATTGAATTTCAATTAATGCATGTTTGTTCAAACTGTTTAATTTTCTTACCGATTCAAGTTTGCACATTTTCCTCGTAGATTATAGAAGAACAGCAGAAACGCTTCTACGAGGCCAAGGTGTGTAGTCAAATAACAATTTTTAAAACAATGTATTTATACATGAAACGATGTAAACCTTTACACGATGCGATTACTGTTTAAAGTGCAACAATCAGCGGACGCGTTTTGTTGTTCTTATTTTATAAAGTGTGTTGTCAATTGGGCTCAAAAGTCACTCAGAAACTGTCTATTAAGTCTTACGTCCAAATTATAAACACTCAGTGAGATGCGTTTCGAAATTGCCTCAACTGCAAGGCGGCACTTCCCCTTCATTGATTACTTGATTTTAAATATTTTAGCTAAAATCATGCCCTTCACAGAGAAAGGACTTTCTTGTTGATTAGTGGTAGTGCGATTTTTATGTCGTACTCTGTGAGTTTGTATGAATTTTTGGAATAGGTGATCGAAATGATCTAAATTCTTCTCTCCACAAACGCCTCGTATATACTAGATACCCCCATCCTCTCCCCTTTTACCGCTATAATTTGATTAGAAAGATTATCTTGGTGATCGGAGTCTCGAAACAAGAATTTTGAATTATCCTCGAAAGCTGTCGCTATCTAGCAATGACTTTTACACAGACTGTACAAACTTCAATGGTCAACAGTGATCCCTAAAACTCTATGAAACTCTAAAATATCATCACACAGATTATATATTTCAATATGTATGATGTTCAAACCATTTTATTATGGGTTGTTTACTTTTTGATGTTTTAAGATTCCGCGGTACCACGAACTAGTTCCTAAAGATGAAGAGAGAAAGGTATACTTGTCGTAGTCACGACATTGCTAGACAATTTAATTACGTGCCATTTTAGGGAAAACGTGTTGTCTTTTGCTCTTTGCGTACATTAGGACAAGCTTTGTGTCCTAAACAAGTGCAGGCTGTGCAACCTTAAACAAAGAGTGCAATTTGTACTTATTTGTGCCAATTAAAGCCACCGGCCTCTTTTTGCTCCCCTTTCTAATAATCCCCCACATGAAAGGTAACTGTCTTTGTCTCTGATATTGTTTTTGAAAATTTTTCTTATTCATCACCTAATTTACAGCCTGTTTTTACAACATTGAATATTTTACTGTGTTAATTCCTATTTAGGGTGTACCCGCGCCTGGTCATTATGAAATCAAAAGTCAATTCGAAAATCTTCGTCAGGATCCTGAGTTCGATATCACGGCTCTTGTGGCACCCTTTGGTTCGCAATCCAAGGTAAGTTATATCAATATTTATTAACCATATTAACAATTTCGATTTTATTAGTTAGCCACTTGCAAAATCGAATCTTGAAAATAGACTTAGTAATACAACTTAACTTAATTAAGTAAACAGTTTGATAACTTGATGAAAGAACAGGGAAACAATTCGCTATAGTTATGTGTTGCGATGCTCTTTTACTATTTTAGGAAAGGTTCAAATGACCCATTGTTTAAAAACAATCTTTGCTTTTTGTATCTAGAGATTTGAGGGTCGAACGAAAACGTGTCCTGCACCTGGAAGTTACGATGATCCGAGGACGGCCTTTGAAACTTTAAAAAGGTAAACTTGTGTAACAATTAACTTTCTGGGACTGATTATTGACATAACAATATTCAGGATTTTCACATGTGTTTTCTTCCTGCTCGACTGCCAGTCAATCATAGATGAGGCGTGCTATTAATTTGATAAAGGAAGAGTATAATGAGTTTACGTGGCTTTATGGCTATCTTTTTGTGTTTTTGTTAGAGTTAAAGGCGTGAAATCTTCACCGTTTGGTCAAACTTCCATTCGGTTTTGCGATAACAAGTGCAGCAAAAGTATTCCAGGTAATAATGATAAATTTTCCATTTAACTTATAAACTAAAATGATAATTTTGACTGTCGCGTTTTTCACAGAGTCAGTCAGTATAAATGCTTGTAATAAGACCATCTATTACTGTTAGTAAACCTTTCCATTTTCACTGCATTGCGATGTTGACGTAGCTATCGTTCTTTTCATAAAAGCGTTTCAGGAACTAGAATATGTATGCGTTAAAAACGAGAGATATTGAAAATCAAAACGATATAGCTGTTTTTCATGTCGGAATGTCTTTGTTACATAAGCCTTACGAATTAATGCATAAAACTTTAAAATATATGCGAAAGTAAAAAGCTATTTATTTTTCTCAAGTTTAACTTGAACTTGTTGTTGTTACATTTAAATGTTTACAATTTATTCCGAGTTTTTTTATTTTTACTATAACATCATTTTTTTATCCTGTTGTATTAAGATGTAGAAAATTGGGCGTTTTGTGTATTGGCTCAATTGAGCTTGGGCATCGACTGTTACCGAGTGCTCACGAGTTAATTGACTTCCATTTTAATACAGTCCAACCTGTAATAAGCCGTCAGCCTCGAGGAACGGACTAGTGTCCGCTTCATGGAGGTGTTCGCTTGATAGAGGTTTTATTACAAATTAGCAACATGAGATGAAATTTGCAACTTTACCATGTGTTCGTTTAATGTCCATTTATTACATGGACGCTTAATACAGGTTTCACTGCATGCCGACTTGCTGACGTTAGACATAATTCCATTGTCCTTTAGGTCCTGGATCCTATAATGTTCCCGATCAAGTTAGTGATGTTATAAAAAAGAATTTGTAAGTTGTTTTGAAATATTTGTCAGGGATAACGCTGTTGCTTTAGATTGCATTAGGGATAGCTGGGTGTACGACAGTAGCTATGTCCATCAAATATCATTGCAAACCCTCTTTGCACCTCAGGTGATTTTATTTTTGCTATAAGGCAGGCGTAGTACTGGTGAAGACTGTTTTTGATTAACAGTTTTGAACGCTCAATGTATGAAGTTTCTGAGAGTAATCGAAATATATTCTATCGATTAAAAAACACAACACAATGAAGCATCTAAGGCACTTCTGATGAAATAAAATACCACGCAAACAAACCCTAGGTTGATTATCGTCAGTGCTAGATGAATGAATTCCCGGTCAGTCTGTCGTATCCTGTTTTAATGCAATAAACTGGTCATTCTTCTAACTGCTTTACATGATGACGGTTACAACAAATAAGGTTGCTGAATGGTTTGTTTATATATTGGTAGCTACCACTTTTTAATTGCTAATTTTGAAATTAGATTTTTTCAAATTAAAGAGACGTTCCCTCCTTCAATAAGCCAGTTCTCGTTCGTCGTAAAGCATCGCCAGAATTGGCGACGTTTTATCGCCAATGGTGGGTGATGGCCAGTGCACGAAAGGTTCTTATAAATTGGCGATGATATATAAGCCGATTTAATCTAAAGTTGATGATTTCTGTGCAGCTTCAATTGTTTAATTTGCCCGACTCAACTAATTTTCGTTCTAAAAGATTTTTTAAGCAAGCAGCACTCACCAATGATCGGCGATGATCGCAAGAAACAAACTGTTTTATTTCTTGCGATGGCAGCCCCGATGTTCGGCGACCGTCACAAAAGATCAGCAATACTTTATTATAACTAATCGTAAGCGCTCGCCGATGTTGTAAAAGCTCTATCGCTTTCGTTCTGCGATAAATGAGAACTACGCTTTTATGCACAAGTGATACCATTCTTCACGTGACGGTTAGCAGGTTGCAGTAATTATCGCTGTGTTTGATTCACTTGGATTCATTCATTTAGAATTCATAGCAATTTATCTCGGCGGGGGGTATGGGGCGAAACTCACTATTTGTGTGGAGTATAGATCATGTCCATGCATCTGTGGGATTGTGAACTCATTGGATCTTGATAACATGATTGTTTATTGAATTTTATATTTATATGAAAAACCAGTGGTTTCAAACAGTAATGTTGCCTCAACATTGCCATTTCAAATTGTAGCCGTGATATTTGATCGTCTTGTTTTATAGGTCTATGGAATTCCTCTTTTTATTGTTACACGCAACATGTGATTTAAGAGAAAAGATTTCATCTTGTAAAATTTAACAAGGCAACATTCTATATTACGCATATTTTTCACAGGATGGTTAAAAAGAAAAACGTGGCGTTCGGCAGCTCTTCGATGCGCACATTCCCCATAACAAGGACGCGTAAAGATTCGTCTCCAGGTCCTGCGCATTACATCAACATGGATAACAAAGTCGTGAACAACGTCGGGCAACTGTCGTCGACCTTCGCCTCGATAACAAACCGACTTCTTTCCCCTCCACCCATCGTGAAAGTAAGTTTTCATCCAAAATATTACCCGTCAAAGTTGTACAAAAAATAACCATTTTCTTCAGGGAGGCTTGTTGCAAATAAACCTGATTGAATTTAACTTTGAGTGTTCACCACAAACCTTAAGCACACATCGATCGACTGACGAAAAAACTGCAATCGACTTTGACTTGTTGTGATGACCACTGGGCTAGCCGGCCTGCTTTGTAAATGTTACTCTGTTCCTTAACAAAAGACTTCTAAAGGAATGGATGATAGCTGAAATTTACATAGCAGAACTAAAATTTGCAGCTGGCTACTCCACCGTTGATGACCATAAAACAATGATCAAATTCGACCAATAGTTACAACCTCACGTCATCAGTTGATTTACACTGATTGTGAATGCTAGTGTAGGGTATACGTATGATTAAATGCACTAACTCGGGACTTGTGAAATTCTTTTATTTGCTGTTTTTCCAATTCAGGAAAACCTACATCTTATGGTTTGCGTTCATAGATAACTTAAATACAATGGTGTTTTAATTGTAGGACATTCCACCGCCTGGTTCCTATGAAGTTCGTCAATCGTATGATAAAACGCAAGGTAATTAAATTGCCCTCCAAATATAATAAAAGATTGTCGTACTGTTGCATGATGTCATTTCAAGAGAACATTACATGATTTAATAGCTATGGTGCATGTGTTTTTGATTGCATTGTTGTTGACTGACGTTTCGACAACCTTAGCGGTAGTCATCTTCAGAGTCAAAAAAACATATTTTTTTTTTGACTCTGAAGATGACTACCGCTAAGGTTGTCGAAACGTCAGTCAACAACAACAAAAACAGTCCTTCTCAGGACTTTATTAACCTGGACGATCATCATTTACAAACATATAACGATACTCCCGGGTTCAAACCATTTACTTTAATGCAAACAACATTAATTATTGTGCAATGATGGTACAATCTCGATTTTGATTGGTTAAGGGACTACAAATCTCAATGTTTTGCCTCCTACAAACCATTTAAAACTATCTTTAGTGTAGTAATTTGTGACAACTGACAGTATAATGGCGGAATCTTACTCAAGATTTGCAAGCGTATTACGAGCTAAGACCAAAAAAAAACGCGAAAAGGGTTAAACTGTCGGCGAGGAGAGTTTTCATTCAGTAGTTGCTAGAAAAAGACTAAAACGAATCTCTAAAATTATTTCATAATGAAGCAGGAAAAATTTCATGGCTTCCGCACAAAATAGTTGTTTTATCTGTATGATAAAACAACTGTCGAATTCGGCTTTCGCACGATATCAAGAATTATTCAGACCTCGGTCAACGATATCGGGCTCCGATCCGCTTCGGACTGAACAATTCTTGATATCATGCTCAAACCTCAGCTAATAATTGTTAATTGTCCATTTAAGGTCGAGTACTCTATCCTGGCTCTCAAAAGACGAGTCGCAACTCTAAGAAGAAAGGAGGATTTCTGTCCTCCACATCCCGCTTCAAGAACGGTATTCATACAACGTATAGCGCGCTGAGTCCGGGGCCCGGAAAGTACGACGTGCCCACGACGCAGACGAAGCAAGGCGGTCTGATGGTTACAAAGGACACTCGTTTTAAGTTCAAAAAGAGCGAGGTCCCCGGACCAGGAAAATACCAGGTAGGAATTTTACCCATCATCGGAAATTTTTCCCAAAATGGCTTTTGACGTTGCTTTTGAATTGATTCGTATCTTTCGGAATGGCTGACATTTTTATGAGGAAATGTACGAGGGAAGTACCTATAAAATACCACTAAATATTGCCGACCTTTTAATCAAATCAACAAATCCTTAGTATCATTTTGATGAATAATTAGCCAAATCGAATATGCGCTTAATTTGAAGTTTATGAAAACAGATTTTGCCTCTTTAGTTAGTTATTGATAAATTAACCTGCAAATTCAGACGGCATTTTGTCACAAAATTATGGTAATGAAGTTATGTGCCCCAGTTTAACCACAGTGTAGAGAACATACAGTAGAGCCACTCCACTGAAAGTGCACAGTATGGAGAATATACAGTAGAGCCACTTCATTGAAAGTGCACAGTATAGAGAACATACAGTAGAGCCACTCCATTGAAAGTGCACAGTATAGAGAACATACAGTAGAGCCACTCCATTGAAAGTGCACAGTATAGAGAACGTACAGTAGAGTCACTCCATTGAAAGTGCACAGTATAGAGAACATACAGTAGAGCCACTTCATTGAAAGTGCACAGTATAGAGAACATACAGTAGAGCCACTCCATTGAAAGTGCACAGTATAGAGAACATACAGTAGAGCCACTTCATTGAAAGTGCACAGTATAGAGAACATACAGTAGAGCCACTCCATTGAAAGTGCACAGTATAGAGAACATACAGTAGAGCCACTCCAGGGAAAGTGCACAGTATAGAGAACATACAGTAGAGCCACTCCACTGAAAGTGCACAGTAAAGAGAACATATAGTAGAGCCACTCCATTGAAAGTGCACAGTATAGAGAACATACAGTAGAGCCACTTCATTGAAAGTGCACAGTATAGAGAACATACAGTAGAGCCACTCCATTGAAAGTGCACAGTATAGAGAACATACAGTAGAGCCACTCCATTGAAAGTGCACAGTATAGAGAACATACAGTAGAGCCACTCCATTGAAAGTGCACAGTATAGAGAACGTACAGTAGAGTCACTCCATTGAAAGTGCACAGTATAGAGAACATACAGTAGAGCCACTTCATTGAAAGTGCACAGTATAGAGAACATACAGTAGAGCCACTCCATTGAAAGTGCACAGTATAGAGAACATACAGTAGAGCCACTCCATTGAAAGTGCACAGTATAGAGAACATACAGTAGAGCCACTCCAGGAAAGTGCACAGTATAGAGAACATACAGTAGAGCCACTCCACTGAAAGTGCACAGTAAAGAGAACATACAGTAGAGCCACTCCATTGAAAGTGCACAGTATAGAGAACATACAGTAGAGCCACTCCAGGGAAAGTGCACAGTATAGAGAACATACAGTAGAGCCACTCCATTGAAACTGCACAGTATAGAGAACATACAGTAGACGTTTTTTTTTGTATTTTTTTCATCCGACCATACCTCGTGTAAATACCCAACTAATACAGCACTATTTCTTTATTTTCAGTTAAGCCCACAAATTGCTCATTCTGTTCTGAAGGGAACGTTCAATGCCACACTTAATAACCCATTGTCGAAATCAAAGCACCACGATTTGAACGAAAAATCTTCAAACCGACAAAATGATATACTTCTTACATGACGTATGCGGAAGTTAAGAAATTTGTAAATTTTTACTGGCGTTTTCTTTATTTTATTATGCAATACGTATGAGATAGGATCTGCTGGGGTTGAAAGCAAAGCTCTGTGACGCAGGCAATTCTTTACGATGCTTTTGCAAAACTCCCTAAAAGTTTGAAAATATTTATTCGAGGCTTGAACATTAAGCTAAGTATATAACTGGGATGCTACTTTTACATATACCAGCATATACTTCCACGAAGACAAATTTTACTCCACCCCATCCCACCCCACACAAGATTGTCTGATTGTCAAATCCTGCTTTCAAATTTATCGTCGTAAGTTGGCCGGGCGTGAAAAGATTAATAGCTAATATTTTGGCGGGCGGTAGGAAGTAGCCTTTCACTTTCCATTTATACTATTCAGTTCAATGGGCTTGAAAGTGCTACACTTTCACCGCTTTTGGAGAAACGTTGAAGATCATATATGCATATACCAAAGATTATTTTGCACTTGTGGTGAACTAGAAAAGACAAACCAGACAGTGTTTTTAAATGACGTATACCTGTTGCGAGGAAATTGGTTGGCTGATTTTACTTGATGTTTGAGTACTTTCGTTATCGAATATTAAGTAACTTTGTGTAACTCAGTTTGCATTATTCACAATTCGAAACGTTTTTATTGCAACATTGTTGAGCAAACATCTGCTCATTATGATTAGGAATTTTTTCTCGCATGTTTCATCCAAAACCCGTTTTTGACTAAAGCTCGACTAAAACAATTTATTTTATTCAAAATTAAGCTATATGCAATGTTGAGTTAAAATGTTTAAATCTCTTTCCTGAGTAAGCAATTGTTTAACTTATAAGAGTCGGCATACGTTCTCACTTATCAATAACTTACTGGTAACGTATTCAGCAAAATAATCATGATGATGTAACATAATATTAAATCATACAGCAAGAACCTTCAAACTTTTTTCTACCTTTTTCGACACAAATAGAAGGTATTTGCCTTGCTCATTATTTGCCGTGAGATGATCTGGTCTGCCTGCTTCATACATCCAATGTTCACAGAATCACAGAAGTGATAATTTGTTTTCTTGCATCCCGAAAGTAGTACTGTGAGCAGAGAGCAGAGAAAAATTCGCTTGCAATCGATACAAAATCAAGTATTTTCTTTAGAATGTGTCTTATAGTTTGTGAGGGCGCAGCTTTGTCCATGTACTTCGTAGGCACTAAGTAACTGTAAATGTCAAGTTTTTGGTACCTACTTAACATGATAAATTCTATATCAACCGTCGCATGGTCAAGATGAAGATAGTTGTATTTCGATTTTGTATGTCGTATGTCCTTCTGTCTGCTACTGAGCTAAAACAGTACATCGTGATGTAGGTGCTTTGCGATTTATAATATTGAAATATATACATAAATTCATTTTATGTTCAATTGACGTAAAGGCAAACAAGTTGAAATCATAATTCAACTTGGACAAAACAACATTTCACAGTTTGAATGCAAAGTTCATACGCATATGTTGATGAAATTGACTAATACGCAGGAGCATTATTTCTTCGGTCCAACACATACTGGGCATCGTATCTGTTAATCAGATATTGAGGTACTCCAAGATATCTCATTTTCTCTGAATTGAACCTTTTTCCTAGGGGTACTGCATCACACAGAGCCTGCCAGCTGAGTTTCTCCAGTGTCGGTATGGTAAGCCACATTTTTAGAACGTCGTTCGTTCGTTCGTTTTCTCTTCCCCCTCTCCACTTAATGCCACCAAATATGTACAAGCAACCATCTCTAGTGACAGCTGCTGCATGAAAGTATGTTGGATATGGCAGCGTCTAAACAAGATAAAACATCGTTGAAAGGCACATTTCCTTAAGAATTGAATAATTTTACCACTTTTTACCCCAATAATGATACTGACTCCTTTAAAACCATAATCTAAACTTGAAGATCAGAATCCTTGAAGCTGAATTCCCATCCAGAAGCTATAGGGTCATGAGAAATTCTCATTTCAAAACTTTGTGGTAATCAATTCTGGCCACTCTAGAAAACATGGACCCGAAAAACCTCTCTCTATGGGGGGACAATTGACGAAATTTTGGTGGAATACCCATGTCCTCCCCAAGTGTCTGCCGCTGCCTCTCCCTTCCAGTTTGATAACAAAAATCAATACATATGCTTTAATACTCCGTAGACTCTCACACAAACATCCGAGAAGGCAATCAGAATGAAACCTTCCCAGTGTACATCCTTAGGACTTACCTGATGCATCATAGACCAGGTAAATGTATCCAAGTCTAATTTCCATATATCATTAAAAATTTGATCGGATGATTCCTCCTGGAAACCTCCTGTCACGTAAACATTGTTATCAAACCTGTTGCATGTGTGTGCACGTCTTGCTGGTGGGAAACCATTAGTGGGGTCTCGTTGACATTGGATCTCTTGCCATGACAAAGTTGAGAAGTGGTATCTATGTACTTTATCCAGTGGGCATGCTCCATCATCACCATACCCACCTACCACAAGAAAACCATCTTTGACATTTACCATTTCATGTCTGTATCTTGGGGATGGTGGGTTTTTACATCTGCATTGCACCCATTTGTACGTACGCATATTAAACATGTGGAGATTGTCATTGTATATACTTCCTTTGGTACCACCAAAAATGTACATTTTATCATCCGGACTGATAATACAACCTTGACCATATCCAGGTGTGGGTGCATATGATCTTGAAAAATTCCCAGTAATAATATGCCATATTTGATCTTTTGGTTTACATAAGAACATCTCGTTGCTATTGGCTGTTCCAAATGGGTGACCAGATCCACCGAACATGATCAACTGATCTTTGTACAGCAGCATTGTACTGGAGGTCACGCATTTTGGTACCTTACCCGAACTGTCTCCATAAGTCGACAGTCTTAGCCATTTTTTTGAATTCAAATGGAAACACCATAAGTATTTGCTGAAGAGTTTATCGTGTACCTTTAGCGGATTGAACCCGCCAAAAGAGTAAAGAAAAACGCCGTCGGTGACGCATCGATGACCACTTCGACCCATTGGTATGGGCTCGCAAGCTTCATTTCGAGTTACTTCCAATTGTACTTGATATTTTGCCATCATGTGTCAGACGATCGAAGTGTCTCTAATTTCTATTTCACAGGAAGTTGTTGCACAAAGCAGGAAGAACCATGCTCTCTTTACAGCAAAGTGTCATCTTTTCATTTAATGTTTGTCATCCTATCGGACTTTCAGCCATAAATTTTAATTTACAAAAATTTAGTAGCAGCTGTCATCGTTGCAGGTCATCTGAAAAAACAGGGGACATCCGAGGTAACGTGATGTACATTTCGGTGTCCTTTGGGAACTTTATAGTATAAAGAGTACAAACTATTCTATGCAAATTTTCAAATTCAACATGGTAGGTACAGATAAAGAAACTAAATTGTATTTCAGTTTTGTTGACAAGTTTTTACGTGCATCGTGGAAAAAATGGAAATGTATGTTTTTGATGTTTTAGTCCGTCACGATTTCTACTGATTTTGGAGATATTAAAATTGAGTTGTTTTGTGATGAAGTGCCCAGAACTTGTGAGGTAAGCTGAATGCATAATAACAAACGAGAAAATATTTAAAATATGTATTATTCTCACTGAAGTAGGACAGCATTGAAGATGATTTTAAAAGTTTCATTTCTACTTTGTTGAACATAAATTGCCAACTTCACCCAATTGATGTTGTCAATTTCTTTTAAATATTATTCAATCAAGTTGGAAAACGTACATTGTATCCAGCCTAATAAGCTGTAAATGGTGTGTGGAAGTGAAATATGATGTCAAAACCACCTTATTCTCATTTTGTGAGTTAGATTTGAATTATTCCTTTGAAGACAAAGTATCTCCAACCAATTTGCACTTTAGATCAATTGATAAAGTATGCTGACATCCTTTTTGTAGAAAAGTATGAAACTGTGTCCTACTGCTGTCTCCTATTGCTGTCATTTCCTGCAATCTTTGTAGTTTGTGGGCCCCAAAAATTTCTTCCAAACTTTGGTGGTGTTGCTACCTGCCTTATCCCCCAGCCAATGTGCACATGTTTGTTTAATTGCTGTGAATCGTAACTTTTATTTGATTTTTAGAACTTTCTTGCCTTGTGTGCTAGCGGATATTATAACAATTGCATCTTCCACAGGTAGAAATCAACAAATTAAAGCAAAATTTTCCTCATTTCCATTCACTTATTCTTTGATGTTTTTCCACATTCAATTTGTGTCATGAAAACAACCAATGACACCAGTTTACAGTTTTGTGTGAAAATCCTTGTGCTTTGTAATGCTGTAGCACATTATCAAATTGTCAACAGCAAAGCTGTGCTGTTCTTGGTCTCAATTTCAATTTTTTTGAAAGAAACCTTGGTTTGTTTTTGGTAGTTTTTTTTTGGAAAAATTAGTCAAAACACAAATGAACATAGTGATGAGATGCCATTAACTTGCACAGCTCAACATAAGCCAACCCCTTCCAACATATGCTTGCTTGGTATGTGTTTTTGCAGATTTATGGTATTACCTTACTCTGCACGGATTGCTGAATGGAGAGGAGTTTGAAACTAACTCTTCATTGCTCTAAAAGTTTTTTGTGCTTAAAAAAGGACAAAAGAACCGAATTTATTGGTTAACTGAACAGCTCTACGCAATGAATTCTTTTAATTGCCAAGGACCGGTTGCACATTTTCCAGTGCTATTTATATAGAAAGTGTAAATGGAAGAATGTGGTGCATGCTTATACTCAAATGACTGCTTAGTGCTACTTCATTCTGTAGAAATATAAAGGGCTTTATGGTACAAACTGGTGATCCAACAGGCACTGGTAAAGGTGGCAAGAGCATTTGGGGTAAAAAGTTCAATGATGAAATTGTTCCATCATTAAAGGTAAGCTATATTCAGCCTGATTCCTATATAGTTGTAATTGCTGTAATTTAAAGGCAGACAAATCCAGAACTCTTGTACGCAGAAAGTTCAATCTGTTTCATTTTCTCTATTCTCTACTCTCATCTTTTTAAAGACTCACGACTAGCTTATAAGAGTTTTTAAAAGGCTTTGTTGAATCTGGAGCGTCGTGAGAAAATTCGCTAATCCTAATCCCCATTGATTGATCTATTATAATCACTTTGTGATTTTCAGCACAATGTCCGTGGCATAGTTTCCATGGCAAATAGTGGACCAAACACGAACGGATCTCAGTTCTTTATTACTTATGCCAGACAACCTCACTTGGACATGAAATATACAGTGTTTGGCAAGTAAGTTTAGTTGCTGGCTTTTTGGTTTTTACGTAGGAAATTTATTTGTTTTTATTTGGATGATGAAGTCCAAACGAGATATCCGAAAAATCCTTTTTATTTTGACTTACGGAATCCACAATCTGAGTTATGAAATCCGCTTGTTGGGATTACGTCATTAATGATTGTAAACCAAAGTGCGGAAATACGAAATCTCAACTGCTTTGGATTGTTCATGTATTTGGATTCTTTTCCTGTTGATCTTCGCAGAGTTATTGACGGCGGTGAAACTCTCGATGATTTGGAGAAGATTCCGGTGAACGAAAAGACTTACAAACCGCTTCGCGATGTGCGCATTCAGAACATTAAAATTCATGCAAATCCCATCGCAGACATGCAGAGTTAACGTCTTTTTCGTGTTTTCCTTATTCCATGGGTTGAGTGAGAAAAGCGACAAGCGAAAATAAACTTTTCTGGACTCTGGTTACTTTGAAAACTATGGAAGTCTTATGAAAAACTTCGAGGAAAACGTGAGAAGCAAACAAAATTATAGATAGTCCGGCTATGATGTTTTCCCCTCTCTTATTCAGCCGAAGATTTATGTATTGCTATGGGAGGCTATCAATTCCATTTTTAGTAAAGTGAACGTCGTCGTCCTTTATATTGTACGTCTATTTTGATGAACACAACCTCTTTGTGTGTTCACATTTCTCTCTCGTTATCTGACCTTTTTTGAATCTAGATTTGCCTTTGCTTAGTTCTTTGCAAACAGTTGTGTTCACTTGAGCCAGGAAGCTGACAATTTTACAAAGTTTACTCGTAGCTAGAAGAAAAGGGTTGTAGTCAGTAGAATAGTTTCATAATGATAAGGGGGTGTTTACATGAGTTCGGCGGAATGACTTTCAATCCGGAATGAACTCATTCCATTTTAAAAGAAATCCTTTTGCATGTTTACATGACTCCGGAATGAGCTACAACTTGATCGGGATCGAGTTCATTCCTATTTTCATTTCGCATTAAATTTCATTCCGGATCGAAATTTGGTTTTAACCTCATGTAAACGCGAACTGAGTTTCATTCTGGAATGAGATTGTGATTGACGAAGCACGCATGTACCATTCGAGTGTCTCCTGGGAGATTGAAGCTCGTAAGCAAAAGCTCGTGAGGCGGCTAAATGGGCTAAAATGAGTACGAAAGAAAAGCAAAAATTAGTTTCATGCAAGTGTTAAGCTATATTAACGCAGAAACAATAGATTAGAAAAGCGATGTTATAATGTTTATGTTCGTTATCTTCAAAATTCAAAATTCCTGCGAAATGTCAATCCTTGTGTTGATTTCCCATGTAAACGCAGATTGACATCACGTTTCGATCGGGATTGAAAGTCATCCGGAATAATGTAAACACCCCCTAGCACGTGGCAGTAATATAGTTTTATAGTTGGTGGGAAAATTTTACTATGGTAACTCGTGGCCTGTATCCATTGATATGGTGCAAATCCTTCTTGAGATATTATTGTTTGGGTGTAAGTAGTACTAACAATCGCAAAGTTTGATAAAAAAGCAAAATTTCATGACATCAATTTCTGACATTCAAACAAGCATTGCTTTATTTTAATTTGACGCAGTTAAATTATTTTAGTTTAACTCTTAGAATTTGATATATACTGAGTCTATCCTGTATTGATACACCCACTCCCCCGTTTCTTATAGACGTCTTCCCTACATGCTATTATAATGATTTTTGTATGTTGTAGAGTCGGAAACCGTTTATTAGTTTTCTTTTTTTCTCTTTTTGTTCACACTTTAATGATAGAAAATGATATAAACTCCTCGTATCTATTTAATTCCCTACAATGGAAGGGCTAGAAGGGCTAGAATTTATCAAACGCTGCGGGCGCTCATTATATCATTGACGTACGTACATTGAACTAAATTACATCAGATGTATTTTTATATATCAAATAGATGTATTTTAGTTCAATGCGTACTTATAAACCCTTCAGTTGTTTTAGAGATCAGAATTCCTGTGGAGCTACGCGCATGCGCTAGTGCGACGTGTCCAAAACTTCGTCTGTCTGGGAATAGTGCATGGCCTATTTGTTCAACAAAATATATTTATTTGTTGTGATTGACGAGTAAAAAATCGATTTTGAGATCACATACTGCTACCGCAAGTAGAGTTTCATTCTTTAGTGAAGAATGTTGACTAAATTTGAGACGAAGTCGGCTCGTGTTAAAGGTATGTATGTCAACATTTTGTTAGTGAAGAAGAGTGTAGAGACGTCTTCTACATCAGAATAAATAAACAGACTACAAAATGACTAGTTTTTAAGAATAAAATGCTTTTAAAAGTTTGCTATAAGCGTTTTTTTCAAATTTAACAATGCTCCTATTAATTTGTTTTTTTAATATATCACATGTTTTAACGATTGCAAGCGTAAGCCAGTTAAGTCAAACAAACTTTCATCTATATATGTCAAGACCAATTGAAGGTATTATATGAAAGGGTAGAGCAAGCTCTTGCTCTGCATTTCTCATCAATTGATTCAATTTTAACCAGACATCCAGAAGAACCAATGGTGTAGCAAACCAGTTATTAACTAAGATGGTGTGTGTGTGGGGAGCAAAATTCATTTATGCATGTTTGAATCTGTTAAGAGAACATTTATTTTACAGAAATTAAGAAAGGAGAACATGCCTTTATGAATATATGCCCCTCAATTATCGAGTTAGTAATGCCACTACCAAAAATCTGTTGGCTTATTGAGTCAATCTCTAAATCAGTAGAAGGGACATCCTCAGCAAACATAATGTTATATATAGCTTGTATGTTGTAATACTAGATAACTGTGTGGTAGGTGAGTGCATATGATATTTATGCACAAGTTGAGAAGGTAATCTTTTCATCATATAAGTATTGAAATTTAGATTATAGGAAAATTTTTTCGGAAGAGATAGCATAATTTCAAAGGCTTCAAAACAATCTCTTAATTTGCATAAAAAAATACAATAACACAAATAAATTGTTCATTGAGAATAACTAGTTTTTCTGCTGTTTCTGTCTTAACATTATGAAAGGCAATTCCTTTCTTATGAAGGAACTACGTAGGTTTGTTGTGTACATTATTTTTTCTTTCAAAGGGAATTGTAATAAACTTGCTTTGATATTTAGTAAGTTGCTTGATGGGAATATTGTCCATACATGGAAAGTTGTGTTTCAATGTTGAAAATTACTGAAGAAATCCAATGTCCTGCTGTTTGTATTGTTTTCCTTACATTTATATTGAATTTGCTTACAGATAGTGTCTTGGCAAATTGAAAAGTTGTTGATAAATGAAATTAAAATGATTGTTTTTGTCTTCTTTAATTTTAATGCTGTTCACCATTCATGGTAAAACTTGATGTGCATTTTGTCACTCTTGAAAAAAAAGATATTTCCAATCAGAATGCGGATACGACGCTTTTCACTAGTGAAGAAAATGATATATCCAATCAGATGCTTAGAAATTTTAGGCATTTTAGGATTTTTATTTCACTGTTTTGTTGCGGATAAATTTCAATACTCGTATGATAATATAAGTTTCATGATGACCATCAAGTGCATTTCTTGTTAGGTATAACTTTCCATCCCAAACGACCATGGATTTTGGCTAGTCTTCACAATGGTGTTATTCAACTGTGGGATTATCGAATGTGTACATTACTAGAGCGTTTTGATGAGCATGATGGTAAACAAACCCAGTACACCTATGTTGTATTTTTACTATAAATGTAATAGGCTTATCTTTGAAATGTTTTTTTTATGTTGAAGGACAGAATTTCAAATTTTTTAATGGAATGTGAAAGTTTTGTAAGGGTGAAAAAGGTCACGAGGTTGTCTTTCCTTAGAGGTTCTGTCCTTGATGATCTTGTTTCGCTCTGAATCCGTGATTTATTCTAATCTAACTCTCCATCTGTAGCTTCATTCTTTTCTTTAAAAAGTACCTTAATGCTCTCCTGTGTCTTCCTTTGTGCTCTCTTGTCCACATGCTTCCTCCATGCTCTCTTGTCCACATGCTTCCTTCATGCTCTCTTGTCCACATGCTTCCTCCATGCTCTCTTGTCCACATGCTTCCTTCATGCTCTCTTATCCACATGCTTCCTTGCTCTCCTGTCCACATGCTTCCTTCATGCCCTCCTGTCCACATGCTTCCTTCATGCCCTCGTATCCACATGCTTCCTTCATGCCCTCATATCCACATGCTTCCTTCATGCCTTTTTGAGCTGTACTTTTTTCTTTATAATTTGTTAAAAGCACTTTCTTAAAACTTTGAGAATTTTACACAAATCTAACAAACTGTTCCTTTTATTATATTCGGCAATGTTAAATAATCACTTTCGATTTTTTGTGCTCAACTGAAACTTCACTGAAGCATAAAGAGTCATAATACCTGCCATGATCAAAGAATTTATTTAGATACTTGATTTGGGTAAAACATAGGAAACAATTGACAGAATGATGTTTGTTTACAATCAATCATAATATGTGTTAGGTCCTGTTCGAGGCATTGATTTCCATAGCAACCAACCATTATTTGTTTCCGGTGGTGACGATTATAAGATCAAAGTTTGGAATTACAAGCAGAAGAAATGTTTGTTTACTTTGCTTGGACATTTGGATTATATAAGAACAACATTCTTTCATCATGTAAGTTTTTATTATTGTCTACTTTATGAATCATAATTTCTAACTTGTCATGTATACAAATTTGCCAGGAGTATCCATGGATTGTGAGCTGTTCTGATGATCAGACAATAAGAATCTGGAACTGGCAATCAAGAACCTGTATTTGGTGAGCTTTGTTTAGATATTTGCTATATTCAGATACAATCAATCTATGTAATTATCAAACGGAAACATCACAAAGACCCTGAAACCTTTTCTATTATGTGTTAAAAGTGCCTAATTGTCGACAACTGTTAAGCCCTTGATGACTGATACATTACTTATTTCAGTTGTATGATAAATTTCATGTATGAAATAAAAGATGTTTACTGTGTTTGCATAGGCTTATGCAAACCAATCAGACGTTTGGGAGAACTCAAGAGCTGATTAGTGCAAGACCGAAGGTCGCGGGTCGCACCTGCTGGAGAGTTCTCACAAATGTCTCCAAGATTTGCAAAAGCTAGTGCAAACTCAGTAAACACGTATTTTTTTAAAAAAATAACAATAGTGCAAAAAACAAATCTGAAACAAATGTTTTAATTTTACCTCTAAAATGCATTCATGATCGATTTGCCATTTCTCTTTGAATGATTGACTGTTTTAGTTGATTGAGCTCAGATCTGTTTTGTCCAGTCTAATTCAACCGCTATAGACCAACCAGCGCTCACGCTTTATTGTTTTTATTTCATAATTTGCAATAGAAGTCATTAAACACAGCTGTGATGTATTTGGTTCTCGTGGGACATTATTGTCATTATTACTGTGAATGTCTGTACTAATCAATTTATTCTGATCTTTCTATTCTCCATCCAGCGTTCTCACAGGTCACAATCATTACGTCATGTGTGCTCGTTTTCATCCCAACGAGGATCTCGTGGCATCGGCATCTTTGGATCAAACGGTACGTGTGTGGGATATCTCGGGCCTTCGTAAGAAGACTGTTGCTCCTGGATCGCAAGGGATCGAAGAGAGGCTCAGGAGTGTTCATCAAACTGAACTGTTTGGTCAGTCAGACTCCATTGTGAAGCATGTACTAGAGGTTTGTAATATTTTTTATATTTACTGCAACTAAATGATGTATGGAAAAATTATTTTGTGTTGAAATAGGTTTTGGAAAATACAAAAGAGTGTATCGCTTCATTTTTGAGAAATTGCGAAATAAATCCTTTAAAGAATGTGTTTCAACCAAGATGCATTGTGCGCTTGTTTATGTTTACATCGCTATTTTTTGAGCCTGCAGCGCACTGAATTAAATTTTGTCACTACGTCGTCTAATCTATCTGAAGGTTAAGTTGCATGGACTACAATAACAAAATCCGCCATTTTCTCGACGCGCAAAAAAGCCGCCACCCTGTGACTAACGCGCATTGCATCTTGGTCGACAAACATTCTTCAGGTCCGTTGTCTGTGTAAGTTAGATGCATACATAGATTAGCAGATAGATAGGTTGTAAGAATGTAACAAGAAATCAATCAACCTGCGTTTCGTAGACTAAAATATCTCCCGCAATCTTAGAAGCTAAGTACGTAGTCTTTACCATCGTTATTGACTTTTATTGCAATGTCTCTATGTAGATGGCTTGATAGGAAATGATTGTTCAACCAAAATTACTCATTGTGGAAGTCCTTGCTAATACAGCGAATAACTGCACTCGTTCGTTATCAGCCGACAATTTTATGAAGTTATTATTGTAGCACAAGTTTTAAATTATGATTTTCCAAAGCAGAAAATATGACCCATCATTGGGTTGTTTTAATTTATTTTACCTATCTCTAGTTTCGTCACTATGTCATTACCCTCGCTCATCTACTGTCTACTACCCCCACCCCGAGTTCTGGTCTTTAACAGCTTTGTCTGATTAGTAGTTAATATGATAAAAGATGTCATCTGTGCGATAACAATGTATTTTTATTTAATGCGTTTTTTCAGGGTCATGATCGCGGTGTGAACTGGGTTTCTTTTCATCCTACAATGCCTTTACTTGTTTCTGCTGCTGATGACCGACAGGTGAAGCTATGGAGGATGAACGGTAGGTATTTGCACGCTTATAGTTTTAATAAAGTGAATGTCTTTAGCATCAGAGTATCGTTACATGTTTTTAGATGTAGATCGTTGATGCAGTGCCGAAAAGGACTGTTGGTGTTGATGTTGACTGACGTTTGGACAGCCTTAGTAAAGTTAACACCAACGATCCTTCGCGGGACAGTAACACTGATAAACTACATCGACAAACATGTATACTTGTAGTCTGCCCATCAAGATCTTGTTTACATATCTGCAGCAATGATGATAGTCTGTGTAAGACTTTTGCAATCACGTGGTTAATATATTAATACGCTATACTGAGCTGCTATTGAATAGTAAAAGATGGCATGTCTTCCTCATATCTTGTGGTCGTACGAAGTTGATCTTTTTTATTTTTCAACTATTTTTATCTGTTTTCATCAGATTCCAAAGCCTGGGAGGTCGATACTTGTCGTGGTCATTACAATAACGTTTCCTGTACGCTGTTTCATCCACGACAGGAACTCATTTTGAGTAATTCTGAAGACAAAAGTATCCGAGTTTGGGATATGTCAAAAAGGTAAGATATTCCTTGTTGATTGTTTGTTGTTACGAGTGACTAACGGTAACCATGCATGTGCCATGGTGGTGAGCATTGGTGACCAGACGTGTGGGTAACCATTGGAGACCATGTGTCTGGCATGGAGGTGACCATGTGTAACCACACATGCACGATTAGTGGTGACGTAGCCAGTCGGTATTTTGTCCTACTACGCAATTTTTCTCAGTTCATTGTCTGTGAAAATTAAACAGATGTCAAGGGCCTCGGGATTCAATGAAGCGTTAAATCATGTCGGCAAATGGAAAAGATTAAATACTTCACAGCAAAAAACTTATTTGAACAAGTTCTCTATACTCTGACTTTGCAAATTCACAAAACCTTTAAAATGAAAACAAATGATTTAGCCTGATTTGAAAATTACGACTAAAATGACATATGACGCTTGTAAAAAAAGGTTGTAAGTTTTGCGCTTGAAGTTTTTAATCCTTTCAATGACTCAAAGTCATTTCACGTCTCGCTGAATCTCGGCTACTGGGCTCATGTAAACAGCCCCTATAAAAAATAGATCATGATGATCATCAGAAATTAACATAGCGTGACTAAAATCATAGGGTCGGCTGTGCTACTGGTCAAAATCACTGGAAAAAAATCGTTATTGGTCTTTGACATTCCCAATATAATGAGTTCATTCACTTCTGTGATGAGTAAAGTTAATGTAGTATAATAACTATAATTTAAGCTCTAATCTTTTGCTAATGTTTAATATATAGTGGATCAAACGGTCTTGAAAATCATTCATTCATGATGAATAAAGTAGATTTGTATGAAGTATTTATTTATGTTTAGAGCACAATAAATTAAACTATAGCGAACATCCATCTTTCGTTTCTTTGATGAATAGAGTAAATTTAAGTTAAAGTCGATCTCTAAATATTTAATACACAGTGAATCAAACTATAGCGAACATCTTTCCATTCATTTCCATGGTGAATGAATAACATAAATTGAAGTGAAAGTTCATCTACAAGTGTCTCAAACATATAGGCATCATCATCCATTCATTTCTATGATGAGTAAGAACATTTTTAAGTTGACGTTGAAGTGTTTACTTATGTTCAATGATGAACATCATTCATCTATTAAAATTGATTCAAACAAAAGACGTAGTGAATGCTCCTTTTATAATTGCGATGTACAAAACTCAAAACAATGAAAGACGACATTGACCCAATGAAAGAAAATCGATTGAAGTGTTGAAGCGTTGGCAATCCAATATCAGTCTTTCGTTTTTGTTTTTTAGGACAGGAGTTCAAACATTTCGTCGCGAGCATGATAGATTTTGGGTCATGGCAGCACATCCATCCTTAAATCTTTTTGCTGCAGGTAAGTTGCTCACTTTTCACTGTCTGCTCAATGGAAATACGTTGGGTACAGTAGAAACTTAGCGAGCATGGACCGTCAGTCAAATGCAATCAAAAGGTCTTCACTCGTCGCATGTTATTCTTAGATTTAACTGTGGCTTTGTTGGCTTATTGCCCACTGTTTACTATCGTGGTGTGTTGGGTATTAGAGCAATGACTTAGAACTCAATCTACTGATACATGACTCCGCCAAATATAATTACTAGTGAGGCAAGCCGCTATCTTTAAAAGTGGCGAAACTAACGATATTTACGTCTAAAATCCGCTCTTGCAGAGTTGGTATTCCGGGTTTAACTTTTAAAATGTTTGACAAGATTGGTTTTTAATTTATTTTTGTTTCGACTGAGAGTTTTGCTTTTTGCCCCCTTTCAAGATGGCGTCTTTGTCTCATCTTTACAATGTCCTTAGACATCTTGTGATTGGGTTCTACGTTACATTGAGGTAGAGAAAGTTGCTGGATTATATATACATGTTGTATTGTTTATATTATAATTGATTATTTGTCTCCTTTTCGTAGGTCACGACAGTGGTATGCTCGTCTTTAAATTAGAAAGAGAACGACCTCCATATGCTGTCCATGGCAACACACTTTATTACGTTAAGGTCTGGTTGATTCCACCCAGGAACAGAAATATTCTTTCGAACTGGAGTACTTCATCCCCTACGCTGAAATAGTCTGTACTACTCTATCCCCTTTTGTACTCCTACGCTGAAGTAGTCTGTAGTACTCCATCCCCAATGCTTGAACTGCAAAGCAAACAAAATGAAGCAATTTTGTCAAGTGATATACTTTTGCATCGGGTCCCTTTCCTCATTTTTTCGTGATTTTCAACTAAACAATCTTATTTTACGTACGTGTAATTTGGGACTCATTCAAAATTAAAACAAGTTTTTTCTCTCGTCTTTTAAGGAACGATACCTAAGGATGTATGAATTTGGTACATCTAAAGACGTCGCCGTAATGCAGTTGAAAAGGTACGACAAAAAAGACGGATAGTCTCCGAGAACGAGTTTTTACGTTTTATTCTTTTCGCCAGGGTGATGTTGTCATTGAGTGATGGGTAAAGTCATCATTTGAGTGATGCGTAATGTCGTCATATGAGTGATGCGTAATATCGTCATTTGAGTGATGGGTGATGTCGTCATTTGAGTGGTAGGTGATGTCGTCATTTGAGTGATGGGTAAAGTCATCATTTGAGTGATGGGTGATGTCGTCATTTGAGTGGTAGGTGATGTCGTCATTTGAGTGATGGGTAAAGTCATCATTTGAGTGATGGGTGATGTCGTCATTTGAGTGGTAGGTGATGTCGTCATTTGAGTGATGGGTAAAGTCATCATTTGAGTGATGGGGGATTTCGTCATTCGAGTGATGGGTGATGTCGTCATTTGAGTGATGTGTGATGTCGTCATTCAAGTGACGGGTGATGTCGTCATTTAAGTGATGAGTGGTGTCGTCATTTGAGTGATGGGTGATGTCGTCATTTAAGTGACGGGTGATGTCGTCATTTGAGTGGTAGCTGATGTCGTCATTTGAGTGATGGGTAAAGTCATCATTTGAGTGATGAGTGATGTCGTCATTTGAGTGATGGGTGATGTCGTCATTTAAGTGATGAGTGGTGTCGTCATTTGAGTGGTGGGTGATGTCGTCATTTGAGTGATGGATGAGTCTTCATTTGACAACCAATCATTTAGCAAGTCTTGCATGCGGAAAATTCCTCTCAATTCGTAAAGATGCGAATGTATGACGCCATCGTGGTTGAAATCCGCCTCTTTATTATCCCACCACCAAACAAGCTCTTAACCACTAATGGGTCTATTTCCATATCCACAATGAATCCTACGATTGGCAATCTTGTATTAACCCTAATTCTCCCATTCAACACCTTTCAAAATGCCGAAAAAATTTTTCTTGAGTATTTAGATGGATGATATTTGTGTTTATAGAAGCCCGTCTAGAACACCGTATTTTGGTCTGTCTTATAATCCGGCTGAAAATTGCATCTTACTCGTGCAGGTACGATATGTTTGTATGTTCTTTATAAATAAATGGCGTTGTGTTCTCACGGTTGAGTAGCGCATTTAGTGACTGGAAACTGCATGTACAAATATTGACTTTTAGTTTATGAGTTCTAACCCGATATCTGTTTAAATTCGAAGCCTTTGTTCCATTCGTAAACAGAGTGCAGAAAGCAACTGCCGCTTATCAAATTTTCAGAGATTGTTCATTGCTCTGAAAAGGCCGACAGTATGCTAAAGAAAGAGTCCAATATTACTCACCGTTCAGACTTTAAAATGTCTTGAACGGTCTTTCTATCTGGAACATTTTTTTAAAAATGGAAGGAAATTTGATTAAGATATCGTTCAATATAGCCGGCATTGCCAATTTTATTGTTGGTTTTTCTGTGTGTGTGCGTGTGAAGACAATTCTACAGCGAATGTATATAAACACTTGAAGCTAGAATTTATTGCAGGGTGGGGTGTACATTTGTTTTTTGCAATCAGAACAATTTCATTTCCCATTGCTATAACTGTAATCTTTTAGCGGTAAATTTCCCATCATTGGTAGTGTAATACAACTTTGTGAATGAATGAATGAATGAATGAATGAATGAATGAATGAATGAATGAATGAATGAATGAATGAATGAATGAATGAATGAATGAATGAATGAATGAATGAATGAATGAATGAATGAATGAATGAATGAATGAATGAATGAATGAATGAATGAATGAATGAATGAATGAATGAAAATCTTTATTTTGACACGCTGGCTTCGTCAACTGGGGTTGATTTCCACGTGGGGCGTGCTTTTGTTCAAAAGCGATTACAAAATTTATTAAGAATTAAAATAACTATAGAAGAAAAAGATAAGTTTAAATATTTACAGAGTTTAGTTTATTCAATTAGTTACATGTTAAGCTAAATCATAGAATGCAAGCAGCAATTTTCTTTTGAAAAAGTGACACGCTTTTGCTGTTTCTGATTTCTGCTAGAATTGAATTCCAAACAGAAGCCCCATCATACGCAAAGCTTTTCTTCAAGGAGTTAGTACTAGGCATAGGAACATTCAGACAACTTGTAATATTGCGTAGATTGTAATTAGTGATGCCTTTTCTATAGGTAAACAATCTGGTATATGAATTTGGTCGTGCATTTTTTAATAATTTAAACATTTGCTTTAGCTTTTTTTTAAGTATTTCAAGAGGTTCCCACTTCAGTTCTTGTAATGCGTTACAATGTTCGACATCATTGCCCATGCTTATGATAATTTTTGCAGCTCTATTTTGAAGCTTTTGTAGTCTTTTAGACTGAATTTCCCCCAATACACCCCAAACTTCACAGCAATATGTGAAGTAAGGATGTACCAGGGCATTATAAATAGAGATAAGTGTTTGTGTGTTTTTGTTAAGCAGAGCTCGACATCGGCGACAGACAATAGTGCATACGAACTTCATGCTGTACCCAAAGACTTCGACAGTAGTAACCCTGATGGTAAGATGGACTTTAGTTTTATTGACGTCACACATGTGAAGTCACACACGTGACAATGAAAAACTATGACTACATCTAATTACAGATACAGCTACCCCTTAAGCCCGCCGCAGCACACTGGTGAACTTGCCGCGCGTTTGATATTTGACTCAACTGTCACGAATGACAAATGTTGTTCAGAACTTCCGCGCACACTAGGAGATTTTGTCGATCGCACTTGTCACGAGTAATAAGTACGCGCGGCAAGTTCACCAGTGTGTGGTGGGCTTAACTTGTTGAAGGTCTTTTAATTATTGTTCCCTCGTTGAGGCAGGAATTGTAACAGAAAGGCATTGTGAATGTTACACTCGTGATTTGAGAATTGCTCATCATTGCGTTTACTACCCTCAACATAATACTCAGTTAAAACTTTATTTTGTTAAATACATCACAAAAGAGGGCGTCTTTCTTCTCCCCCATTTAGTTTCAGATGGCAAGCGCTCGCCAGGTATTACGGCGGTTTGGGTGGCTAGGAATAGATTTGCTGTCCTTGATAAAACCCACACGGTAAGCTACACTTCAGCGTCTTCTCTTTGTTAAGTGATAACTTCTTCGCTGAGGTATTTAACTTGATTCATTATGGAAATAACAATCATCGTGACCAGGGTATCACTTTACTTTAGCACATTTTATAGAGCATTGTTTATCACCATGTTTAAAACATTGTATTCGTATATTTACAATTTGATGAATACATGTGTATATAATTTGAATATTTCAGCTGTCGAAGATTTGTTTTTTAAAAATATTTATGCAATGTAACATCATGGTGCTAATATTTGCATAATGAACACATTAAATCTAGCTATATTTCTAGAAAGATATAAGCTAATACAATGTAAAGCGTTTTGTGTCACCGACACTTTAGCAAGATTTGCTTGAACTAGTTTTAACATTTCTTACATTTTGTACGTTAACACATGTATTTTTGGCCAATTTTCTCTTGAAACCAGCTGCTCATAAAAAATCTGAAAAATGAAGTGACCAAGAAGATACCGACGCCACCTTGTGATACTATATTCTATGCTGGTACCGGAAGCTTGTTGTTGAGAGATCCAGAGTCTGTGACTCTTTTTGATGTCCAACAAAAACGGTGAGCATGTATTATAGTTGGTTACTGTTTGTGTTTGTCAGTTTGTAAATGTTTGTTGGTGTCTGTCGATAAATATCTGTTTGTTTATTTATGTCTGTTCATTAACATTTGCTGGTGCCGTATTTGCTGGTTTATGTTTATTGGTTAGTGTCTCCCCGTTATATCTGTTTTTGGTGTCTGTAGATTCATATCTGTTTGTTTATTTTTGTTAGTTTATAATTGTTGGTGGTATTGTTGTTTGTTAGTAATTGTTTTTGATGTATTTGGCTGGTTAATAATTGTTTGTGATGTATTTTGTTGGTTAATAATTGTTGATGATGTATTTGGTTGGTTAACAATTGTTGATGATGTATTTGGTTGGTTAATAATTGTTGATGATGTATTTGGTTGGTTAATAATTGTTGATGATGTATTTGGTTGGTTAATAATTGTTGATGGTGTATTTGGTTGGTTAATAATTGTTGATGGTGTATTTGGTTGGTTAATAATTGTTGATGGTGTATTTGGTTGGTTAATAATTGTTGATGGGGTATTTGGTTGGTTAATAATTGTTGATGATATATTTGGTTGGTTAAACTATAATGAACTTAAGCTAGCAACGTTTTTGTCAACATGAACGTCATGAGTTACGTTGGGGAACTGGATCTAAAACGGCGGTTTTGATGTAAAGATATTCATTAAGCTGACCCAAAATGTAAGCTAAGCTTTCTTTTGCCTTTTATTGAAATGTAGCATTTTTATTTTATTAATATGTCAACATAACACATTTTTATTTCAAAAAAACCCCAACAAAACAACAAAATAGATTACGTTTACCTGTCACGTTTCTGTTAAAAAGCAAGAACTAGTGATGAGCCGAATATCGGAAATTGGTCGGTAAAAGCCGATAATCGGCCATTTTTATGCAGATCGGTTATCGGCGGATCTTATTGATGTAAATCGGCGTCCGATAGATATAGTTAAAGCTGTGAAAACTGGTTTTAAAAACTTGTAAGTGTTTGTTTTCAATAATCAAGAGAAGAATGATATTTTTCAGAGAGATTCTCGTCTTCAAAAGTATAAAATTTACTATCTAATCAACGTAATTTTACACAATTTGGCCAATCAGGTTTAACCAAAGTGTCAAACTTACGTGATAATACGCCATGTTCTAATTGCTTTTGTGTATATTATACTACCCGAAAGTAATCTAAACTGTGTTTGCAAATCTATTAAATTATATTCAATGCATAATACGACATGAATTTATGAATTTGGTAAGTTGTTTTTTATTTCTAGAAACTTATAGAAATTTTTTTGGGGAGGGGGGTTATTTACGAGACATATAAACAACTAAATATATCCTTGACTATTATATTGACATTTTTTGCAAGCCTAATTTTTTGCTTAAATTTAAAGATTTGAGAATTTCTTGTTTTTCAATTATCGGTTGCTACCGATAAATCGGCTGATATGCCTTTATATCGGATCGGCAAATGCGATTTTTCCTCGATCGACTCATCACTAGTAAAAACGCCAAAACAACCAATATGCCGTCTTTGACTTCGACTCAATGACGGCCACGTCATCAAAATTGCTAAAGTGACTTCCGCTTGACGCTACAGATTTCAAAACATAGGAAGCTTAAGCTCTCTATTGTTTGTGATGTATTTGGTTGGTTAGAAATTTTTGGTGGTGTATTTGCTGGTTCCTGAATGTTTGAGGGGATTTGCTTGTTGATAATGGCCGGTTAATGTCTGTTGGTTGCTATCTGCTTGTTAATGTCTGTTGTGTCTTGTTGCTTCACTTTGTTTGGTTAATGTTTTCTGATTTTTAGTTACTTCATTATCAAACTCTAAATTCCGGAAGTTCTTATCTGTATCAGCAAATTGTTACACTTATTCAAATTTTCAGAGATTGTTCATTTTAAATGTCCAACTTTACTCACCATTCAGACATTTTAATGTCTTTCACGTTCTTTCTATGTGGAACATTAATTTGAAAAAACAATGACATGTCAATTTTCGAAGTTATTTATACTTTTTGTTGCCTAGTTTTTAACGTGTTTTTTATATTCATTCGCGCTTCTCATAACAATGTCTGAAATTAAAATAATATGTGTTTCTGGTTACTATATAATGTTTTCATTTGTTCAGATCGATGGGTGTTGCCAAAGTTGCGAAAGTGAAATATGTTATTTGGTCAGCGGATATGGCCTACGTTGCCCTTTTGAGCAAACACAGTACGTTATTTTGTTCTTGGAGAGAGGGAGAGGGTAGATTTTGTATGTGAGATGAGTTTCTGTATGGTATGTAGATGTGAATTTTTTTTGTTGACTACGTATATACTACAAAGCGAACCTAATTTTAAAGTGGGAAATTTCCTTTTTTCTACGCAGACAGTAATTTAATGCTTGTAATTTAACAATACTTAGTCTTTCATATGTAAATTTTCTTTTCAGTTGTTTCTATTTGTAACCGCAAGCTGGAATCTTTGAGCACTATTCATGAAAACATTCGGGTGAAAAGCGGAGCATGGGACGAAAATGGCGTCTTTATTTACACGACATGTAACCACATCAAATACGCTTTGCTGAACGGGTAAGGTTCAACTTCCATTTATCTATTTATGTAATACAAGGAGTGTGTACTTGATACGAAAACAAGTAATCCAAAGTTCATCCAAAATATGGCACTCCCCCACTGCCCGCAAAAACCATCCTGGATCCTTCGCTGATTTCCATCCATACGAGTCAAAAGTTGTTTTTTTTGATACACCAAATTAACAAGATAGAGATGCAACATTTTTCTTTTTGAATAAAGAGTATATCTTCCTTTTCGATGTTAGAGTCCTCAACTTATTTTCATCTACTGTTATAAAATAATTAAAGTTGACTTATGTTAGAAAATACTTAATTAAGTCGACATTTTTCCGTGTCAATGGGCTTTGTGAAAATCTCATATGCTTCATGGGCTGTAATCTTGAGTTTGTCAAGGTTCAATGGTCTTTGAGAAAGCAAGCTCTTTGATGAAAGCTAAGTCGTTGTTAGTGATGGAAAAGGGAGTAGAAATCTCTCTAGAAGAAAAGTGTTTTTTGCAATCAATGAGAGGATACCTCCTCAAACGCGTATAACTTATGTGCGTGTGTTGTATGTGGTGCTAAAACATATTTTCTTCTTTCTATAGTGACCATGGTATCATTCGCACACTTGATCTGCCAATCTACATCACCAAAATAAAGGTAAAACGTGACCGCCTTGTTTAATTCAAATTTTTAGTTTGTTTTAATATGCGTCGCGTGACTATTTTCAGGGAAGCAACGTCTATTGTCTCGATCGAGAATGCAAGACAAGAATGCTGGGCATCGATCCGACCGAATACAAGTTCAAATTAGCTTTGGTCAATCGCAAGTACGACGAGGTATGTTACATAAAATAGATACCTTTCAGAGACCAGTTTGATTCGCTTATTGTGCGTGATTGGAGCTCTTCCTCGAATTTTGAGTTTTTATTATAATTTGTTAGTTGTTTGTTGTGATCGGCAGGTTCTATGAGCAATTGAGATATGTTTATCACTTCGTAAATCACGTTCACTCTAGTAAAAATTATAAACGAATGGAAGGCTAACTCCAATGCCAGTACAATCGAACCATTTGAAGCATGCTAAGACGCATTTATATCTGAGTTTTTCGGTCTATTCCGAGCTCATGTAGTAAAATCTAGAATTAAAATTCGTGAAACTGTATTTTATGCACATGGTTATTAATATCTTTAAAAAATATCCTTGAAACAGTATCGGATCAATTTTAAATTCAAAGTATTTCAGAAAAAACAGTATTGGTTTTGAATTGGTAAGGAAAATAATTTTACCAATGAACTTGTCTCCAATATGTGCTGCAGTAATTTATTTCGTCGTACCCTAGATCTGTCACTGTATGAAAGTTCTTAAAATTTAGAAAGACCAGCTTTAATTTCTGTTTCAAAGATAGCAGCAGCTAGGCCAGCGTTAGATTTCATAGTACAGTTCAACGGTTAAATCAATCGTGCAAGCGAAATGGTCATATTTTCAGAGATTTCTATTGTCTCTGGAAATATAAATGGTTTGCTGAAACAACGATCAATATAACTACACATTTTGACTATTTTGTAATGTCTTGATTGGTCTTTGTATCTGTAAAAGGTTTTTAAAGTCAACTTTTGATTGATTATTATATGGGCTATCCTAAAATTTAAAGCCAGCATCATATTGAACAATCCCACACAAATTAAAATTTTTGTCTAAAGAAGTAATATTTACAACATTTGTGATGAAGCTCGAAGTGCATTGGAAGAAGAACACTACTCTTAAGTCCTAAACACGAACCATAGATCTTTAAAGACAATAGTCAAACAAGCACAGTCTTAAACAAGCTCATTTTGAACAACACAGAAAATGTTTCCTATATACTTATGGCCTAGTGCAGTTAATACGTAACAGTTCTGTTAAAGCATTATAGCGAAGCATCTCCGCTAAATTTTCCACGACAATCAACCGTCGGAAACTGTTCAATGTGGCGGCCTATAGCCTTCTCCAGCTTTAAATTTTGGGATGGGTGATCTATGTGATATGCACCCATCAATGATGTCAACTTGATTGTGTATGATGCTAATGTTGTATTTAAAGGTGTTGCACATGGTTAGAAATGCAAAGTTGGTTGGACAGTCAATTATAGCCTACCTACAACAGAAAGGTTATCCTGAAGTAAGTTGGTCTTGTACAATTATTCAAACATGCTTAATGTCAATGATTAATTAATCTTCCGTTGATATTAATTCGATTTCCGGCTGTTGAAAAGGTGCAGATCGTAGTATTATATGTGATTTTTTCGTAGGTCGCTCTACATTTCGTTAAAGATGAACGAACAAGATTCGGTCTCGCCCTCGAATGTGGAAATATCGAAGTAAGTTCGAGAATCCTCCTTCCACAGCTGTGTTCGCTGCCTTACTTTTCCTTTTTATCAATTGCATATTGCTATTTTCCTAAATATTAGTATACGAAGCGATCAAGCAAAAAAAATAATGAACTTTACACTTCCAAAAAATATCTCTCAACCACGGTATAAGCGAAATAAAGTTTTACTAAGCAAGGAATGGCCAGTGGGGTAGTCAGCCCGGAAATTTGGGCGTGCTATGTACATTTCAGATCATTAGCATTATTCTTCAAAAACTTAATCTAGCTAGAAAACACCCCTCATTATCTCCAAAACGAAATCATCCTTCATCTATCTCTGCATTCAGACCGTACACGTTTTTACGTCCTTAACAAAAACACTAATTATGGCGGTACATGGTAACGTCTTTAGTGCTGGGAATATCAATCACGAGAATTTGATAACACTGTGAATGTTATCCTCTTGGCAAAATCATAATTTAATACGTATCCTCCTTCTAAACCCCCCTCGGCTATTAATCAACATTTATCATTTCTATTCAGGCTGCTTTAGAAGCTGCCCGAAGCCTGGATGACAAGACGTGCTGGGAAAAATTGGGTGCTGTTGCCTTGCGTCAAGGAAATCATCAGGTGTGTGCTTTGAACATTTAAGAAAGTCATCATTTACGACAGCAAGTTACGTAAAATTAGTGACTTTAGGAAATCATCACATGTGTGCATTGAACCATTGAAGAATTCATCATTTACGACAGTAAGCTAATATAAGTGACTCGACAGGCAAAGCCACGGTCACTCAAGCAATCAGCCTGTAACGGTGTTAGTATATATGAAAAAAAAAAGAAAAAAAGTGAGTTTTTATCCGGAAAAATTGGAAGCACTAGATCCTTTTAATTGAAATTCATTCGCGAATTCATGTTCAAAGTTGGCCTTCCAGTTTATACTACAGGTGAACGGTTGATTCAAACGTGCAAACTAAATGGTCTTATTTTCAGAGGTTTCCTTATTCTCTGGAAATATAAATGGTTTGCTAAAACAACGACCAATATAACTACCCATTCTGACGATTTTGAAAGGTCACGAGTGGTCTTTGTATCTGGAACAGGTCTTCCCTTGATCTTCAGCTTCCTGGTTGTTACAGGGGATTTTGGGTGGTAATCTGGGATTGAGAATGTAATGCATTGTTTTCCCGCCGTTTTTAATAAGATGATGGCTATACTTGAATGAAGAAAGTTTTTTGAACGTTTGACGGCTTTTTACAAGGCTAGATTTTCCACTAACTCAGAAATACGTTAAGCCACCTTTTAACCGTCACTTGTCTGCTACAAAACTAACTGGGAAATATTGGTCTGAGCTTATTGTTCTTCATCCGTAGAGCTCATGAACTTTTGCATCCTGTTGTAGATTGTGGAGATGGCCTACCAACGAACGAAGAATTTCGAGAAATTGTCTTTCTTGTATCTTATTACCGGAAATGTGGAAAAACTTAGAAAGATGATGAAGATATGTAAGTGTTTATATATAAGGTGTAGTTACAATGGTGAAATTGATGTAGTGTGTTTGTATGGTACTAGTGGTTCTAGTGTGTGATTTGATTGTTGTATTTTTTTGTTTTTAACCCAATGTTTGTCACTTGGTCATTGGCTCATTAAAAATGATACGTAAACCAAAGTCCAGCTTTTGTGAAATACAGGCAATCTCTCATTCAGCTTATTTCTTTATAAAATATTTACAGCTGAAATTCGTAAGGATGTCAGTGGTCAATACCACAATGCATTGTTCGCCGGAGATGTCGAAGAACGCGTGAAACTTTTAAAGTCGTTAGGCCAAGGTGAGTTGTGCATAGTTTATCGTTTATGCCATTTTGTACCAAGGTGAGTCATGAAATTTATACTGTTATCTTGGGAGTTGCTTTTTTAAATCGAAATTGTAATAAATTTTTCTTAATGCCATCTTATCACCGAGTTTGCAGTTTTATGGTTTTGTATCAATGTTTTTTTCACGATATTTCAGGTTCTTTGGCTTACCTTACTGCCGCTACTCATGGTTTGCAAGAGGAAAGTGAAACCATCAAGACCGAATTCAATTTGGACTCTGCAAAGGTGCGCGACGCATAGTTTGTTTAGCCGTGTTCGATTAAGATATAATCGCCGTTCAGCTGGCTACCATGTTGAAGTTAGCATCAGACCATGTTAATGTATGTCTTTTATTTGAAAAGCGTTCGATGTTGATTGCCAGAAGTGTCTGTATTTACGAATAATATTACCGTGAAATGTAGTAAAAATAAAACGAATAAAATGTTGAGAAATAGCAGAGAGAGATATAACTGTACATATATCGGATCACTCAATCAAGTAAAACGCTCATTGTCTCTAGATTTAAGTGAATTCAAGCGGTGATTTTATTTTTAAAGCATGAAAGAGTTTATTCCCACTTTCCAGCGTGAGAGAACTGCTAGCATAAGCCCCATCAAGCATCATGTCCACTTTGCTATGCTCTGCAAATTGAGACCTATGTATTTCTTATAACGTCATAGGTACCTGCAGTGAATCCGAATGCCCGCCTCTTGCGGCCCGCAGTTCCTGTTTTACCAAACGAAGGAAACTGGCCTCTTTTGACTGTGTCGAAGAGCGTATTTGAGGGAGCTATTGGAAAAGGTACATGTTCTTTTTTTCTCTCCATTGTTGTTTTGTGTTGGTCTACTTCAATTTGCAGAATTTTGATAACTAAGCACTGTTTATATGTCTTGCATATTCAGTGCAGCAAGGTCTGTGAATACTACTCATCACTGCTTGTGTTTGCATTCCTGCGACGTTGCTCTTAATAAAAAGATTTGGTTTGAGGCCAGAAATATCGTTGAATATTTGTAGAGGTAGATATTCAAGGCTAGTGCAGTCCTGAGAGGGGCTGCAAGTGTTTATATTCTACACTTGACTGTAAAGTTGACTGCTGTCAAGTTAACATTTACACCAACAGCCCAGACTCCTTCTCGGGACTCTACTAACATGACGATCTACATCAACCCATAGAGATTATAAATAGGACTAGAGGTGGCATTGTAATATAATCTATAGTTCAAAATATGGTACGCGTTATTTTTTTGGGGAGGTGGGGGGGAGGGGGCAAAATCGATTCTCGGATGTTAAGCTACCATGGAAGACTATGATTTTTTCACTATCACAATCTAATTGTTGAACAATTTTTTTGTCGTAATTTTAGATGGTTTAAGCCACTCGTATTATGCAAAACTTGTTTGTGTTGCTTTTATAGTTATTCAGTAAATTATAAGTCCGTGATTCATTGCTTGATAAGAAGCCCTTTTTTGTCTTTAATTCAACCACTAACAGACTTCAAAAAACATATATTTGTCATCCACACCGGAAAAAATATCAAAAACGGTTAAACTATGTGAATATATGGGTTGTAAAAACAGAAAAACAAGAAATAACATAAGTTTTCATTGTGTATAGTTTAAATAAAACATACAAAGCCTACGGACATTATAAGCAACGTACAATCATAATAACAGCTCGCTAAAAACAATTACTAACGCTTTAAAATGACAAATTCTCTTTATGCTCGTATGAAAGAGAAAAAAACTTACTAAATGTATTAAAAAAGAATCCAAAACTAGAAGCAGCCGGCAAAAACATCATTTGTTTACTTCGTGTTTTAATCCGAGACCTAAATTTGCCCCCCAAATCACGATTTCCCTAGAAACGTCATCGATGCCGCCTCTAGTTTTATTTATAATCTCTGTGCATCTACCAACATGTACCGCTAAGATTGTCAAAACATCAGTCAATACTAACATCAACAGAAATTCTCATGACTTCACTAACATGGACGATCAATATCTACAAAACTGCTTTTTTCACAATTGCTTAGGAAAGGTTTTATAAGTGTTGAAGTTTTGCTATCAGTTAACATACATTTTTGGAGATGATTCTTCATGAGACATGTGCATTGTTGGCGTGTCGATGAATTATTGTATTTAACAAGCGTTCATTATACGTATCATGGGTTTATTTGAATTGCCTCGCCCATCTAGATCTGGTGTGTGTTTTAAAACTGATTTTATGGGTAAACACAATTAAAATGAAATTTTTACGGTTTTTGAAGCAACTTGTTATTGTTCTCGTGACAACCAGGTTCCGCCACAGCGATGGACACAGATAACGTCCTGGATGATGGTAATGAAGGATGGGGATCTGACGCTGACCTAGACGACGAGGGTAAGATTTCTGTTCTTTTTGGTCCCTACATGCTATCTCTTCTCTCATTGGTCCCTTCACCACTTATCGTTACGTCATTTTGTTATGTTTAGATGACGAGTTCAAGGAACCTCGTGGTGATGATGATATAGTTGGGGACGATGATGGACCGGGTTGGGATGTTGACGATGAAGATCTTGATCTACCTGATTTGGTGAGTGAATGCAACGTGTCACGTGATGTTGTTATCAAACTTAATTTACTTAGCTTTTCTTATAATTTCTTTGCCCTTGTGTCATTAAACATTTTTGTTGTTTGACCACTTTCTGATGTTGAACTTTTTGGGTGGTTTTATGTTTCGTTGTTGGAAATATTTTTCCTGTAGCCCTTTGCGGCGTTACTCACTCACTGTCAATAGCAATCAGGAAAGTTATTTTTGGCAAACGGCTATGTGCACGTGAAAAGCATGTGACCATAATTTCGTAAAAGCACTATTGCTAATGCGCATTTAATATACACGACGACTTTTTTTTAGAATAGACATGTTTCGAGATCTCATGATGCCATCTTCAGTATGAGTGACATAATAAGTGATACAAGGTTTATATACAAGTAATGTCATACAGAAATTACAACAACAAAAAGGACATAAGATAAATTAATGGAGAGCGTCCGAGCGTATTATAAATAAATGCGCAAAAGCATGTGACTTTGACGAGATTCGAACTCACACCTTCGGGCTCTATTTTCCAGTCAACTCGCTAAGCCAACAGGGATTGGAGATTGAAGTCAAATGTCTTATACTGTAATTTTATGTACTTTAGTATATTCTTTGACTTTGTCTTGGCGACAAATCTAAATATTGCCTTGAAAAGTGCCATTGCCTTGGAGAATGGCGAAAAAAATCTCCCAAAAGTTCTTAAAACTTTAATAGTAACTTAAGTTGGGTTTCTACTAGTTTTAAGAACCCTTCGGAACTCTATAATAATTATTCGCCATATTTAGAACGTACCGTAATTATCATTGGGAGAGGAACTTTTATTGAAATTCGGTTTTCCTTTTAGGAAGGAGGTCCGGTTGAGACTGAAGGTGGCGAAGGTTATTTCATCCCGCCCAACAAAGGAATTAGTCAGGGACAGGTGAGCATGACAGAGTATGAAATTGTAAAAACAATCGGAAATTTTAAACTCGCTTGAGAAATTTCTTTTTTTCAATCTTATTCAGTTATTCTTCAATCCTTGCTTTTATACTCTTGGAAATGTTTTAATTGTTACGGTATCCCATGTTTATCACGTGTTTTATTCCGTGTAGATTTGGTGTAATAATTCCCAACTTCCTGTTGATCACATAATGGGCGGATCTTTTGAAAGTGCAATGAGGGTAGGTTACTTTGTGGCTTTATGACTGACTGTTTTTTTTTTGACATAATTCTCTAATATGTTGTAATCCTTTGTCATGGCTGTTTTGTTATGAATTGTCACGAAAAACAAAAGGATATTTTATAAATTGGATTTTGATCTCAGATTGTGCGTAAGAAGAAAGCAACAAATCATGACAGAGGAATTATGACGATTTATGTCATATATATAAACATCCTCTAGGGACTGTTCACATGAGTCCAATAACCGGGATTCAACGAGGCGTAAAATTAACTTGAGTCATTGAAAGGAGTAAAAATTTTAAGCGCAAAACTTACAACCTTTTCTTACAAGCGTCATAAGTCATTTTAGTCGTAATTTTCAAATCAGGCTAAATTAATTGTTTTCATTTTAAAGGTTTTGTGAATTTGCAAAGTCAGAGCATAAGAAATTGTTCAAATAAGTTTTTCGTTGTGAAGCATTAAATCTTTTCCATTTGCTAAAATGATTTAATACTTCGCTAAATCCCGGCTACCCTTTTTATGTGAACAGTCCCTTAGCGATACTGAATGTAGAGGAATGAGCAATTGCCTTTTTAATAATGGTTGTCGATGGATGTATTATTCTCGGGTTTTTTTCTCTATCCCTACTTAAACCTACTTATACCTACTTATCCCTACTTAAACCTTACATTTAGCATTGTTATCAGTGGTGAAGCCAGCCCGATCTTTTACTGCTCGTTTCTTTGGAAAAGTAATTCCATTTATTGTTTTTCCAACGAATGATCACAAAAAATATTTGCATTGTTGGAGTAACAAAACAAGGACTGGCTTTGTTACTGAGTGTTATATGTATATGTAATAGCATGGTTTCGAGTGCAATTTGGGAAAAATATGCACGAGTGAGTTTTTCTTCGTTTCCAAATTGCGGTGAACGTTGCCGTTGTAATTGCTTTGTTTACTATATTTAAACTTTCCCGCTTTTGAAATGTTTTAATTTGATTGGCTCTTACATCATTTCTTTGTTTGACTAACCAATCAGAAACGCATTTTTCAAAAAGAAATTGCACTGTATTTCCTTTTTTGCACTGTGTTTCACATTTTTGCTTTGGTATTTACGATAAATTGTACTGCTCTCAAACAATCAGAATTGAGAATTTTTTTATGTATATTATGTAATACATGAACTGTCACGAATATTATATTATTGTCCTTATATTTTATTGTATTTTGTACTTTCTAGTTGTTACACAACCAGTTGGGTGTCGTAGATTTTGCACCTTATAAATCATTGTTTCTCTCAACGTTCTCTCGGTCACGTGTGGCTTTCACTGCAATGCCTGGAATGCCGACGATGTTTGCTTTTCCACATAGAAATTGGTGAGAAATCATGAGAAATCTTGTTTCTGTCTCAGGTTTATATATCTGCTGCATTTAGTAGCGAAACTAGACCGCAAGTCTTAGTCCTGCTATGTAAATTTAAGATCATTGTCCTTCATTGTTTTCACAAATATACATAGCAGGTCCACTGTCTACAGGACCGCTCGCGTATTTCTTAACATACGCTACACGTATGATACGCGTATGATACTTGGGTTAGATAGTTTTGCGGTTACTTAATCTGGTTTCTTAAGAGATTTAACTGTACGTAACTTGAGTTTACCAGCTCAGTAAGAAAAGAAAGTTTTATATTAAAGTCGTTGATATGGACAGATGATAGTTAAAGACAATAATGGACTGCATCAACGTTTAAATGAGCATATTTGTCTTTTGAGCAAATTATCTCACGTTTGTCTAGACTGTTAAAAACATTTTGGCTATGATTACTTTTTTACAGTGGCGTGGTCAGCCCACAAATTTTGTCATTCTATGTAAATTTTTCATCATTATCATTATTCATTTGAGTGAAAAAAACTTTACATAGCGTGAGCAAACCTGCGGGCTGGCTACGCCTTTGCTTCTTAACAACATCAAAGCATTCAATATCTTTACAGTTGTAAAATCCCTTTTCAAAACTTTGCCGCTTTTTTGATGATTTCCGAGCTTTACGACGGGTACTTTCACTTTTACCGCCGAATTTTTTTAAATGTGCGTGAAGCGTTACCTTTAACATGGTTTTTTGGTAACCCAATTTGGCTAACCAAAATCTAATTCAAGCCAAAGCACACACACACCCCTATCCCCCCCCTTGAATGGATATATGTATTTGAACAATTGCGATTCTTATTTTTTGGACAGGAAGGAAGCTGGAGCCCGCAATGGTCTTCCTGCTGTTGGTGTAAAGCTGAGCACGCTTGTACAGCGGTTGCAGACTGCCTATCAACTCACGACCGGAGGAAAATTCCAAGAAGCCGCTGAGAAGTTCCACGAGATCTTACTTCATGTCACTCTTCTTGTAGTGGACTCCAAGCAGGAAATTAGCGAGGTGTGCTACTGATTTGTGCTTAATTTCATGAATACTTAGTATGTCGTAAAAGATCTTTTGTTGATGAGCTGTTAGAACAAATAGACACAACACAAATAGAAAGTTTTCTTTGAGGTATAATGTTATAAATTTTAAATGAATGAATTTCTTGATAATTACACTCAGCACTATTTCGACTCACATTCGGTAATTTACTGACTGCCATGTAAAAAATTGGATCAATCTTGCTTCAAAAAAAGTTGTATCTTCTCTTGAATTGAAAAAAAACCTCATTCAAAAATTAGCATTAAAACATGGTATCATCAGTTTCACTCGCTATTCAGCAACATTATTCGTTGTCAACCGTCATTGTGTGAAGCTGTATACGTAGTGATTTCCTAGATTATTGTATCAAACAGGGAGGATGGGATTTATTCATGTAGCATTTATGTAAGAATTTCTCTATGCGGGAACTTTTATTTTGTGCGGTCAGTTTATGACGTCACCTTAAGTTGCCCAGTGTTTTATAGCTTGGAAAGAGTGAGAAAACAAATATCTTCGAGCGTTATAATTGATGGCGGCACACTGTTTTTGCTTCCGTGGCTAATCACTGTAACGTTTTTCTTTAGGCTCAGCAACTTTTGAACATCTGTAGCGAATACATCCTAGGATTGCAAATGGAAATCAAACGTAAAAGTCTGCCGAAGGTGAGGTCTTATTCCCTGTTTTTTTCAAGCAGCCCATTAAATTATTGTTGTTTGTTACGTAGAATTGAGAAAATTCTAAAACAATTGCGAAATAGTCTTGGTACTGACCACATGCATAGAAAATTACACCAAGAAAGATTAAAATTTACTTGAGATTAGGCAGCAAACGAATAATGGAAAAATATACATACAAATTAAGACATGTCCCTAGTTTTAGTCGACTAATTGCAATTACATGGAGTATTATACGACACATGTCTAAACACGTTGCTTTCAATTTCCTTATTTTCAAAATTTGCGTTATAACTTAGTGTGGCATTATTTTTTCCATCAGGGAACTTTAGAAGAGCAGAAAAGACATTGTGAAATGGCGGCGTATTTTACGCACTGTAATCTTCAACCTGTACATCAGATCTTAACATTGAGAACAGCTTTGAATCTTTTCTTCAAAGTAAGTTGTGTCTCGTGTTGATACATCTCCTTCCTTCAAAGTATCGCATTGATATTTGTACAATGAAAGCTTCGCAAGTCGAAAAACTGATTTTTTGTAATATGCAGTTAAATGCTAAAGAAATTCCATGTCATTGCAAGGACGTATGCATTTGCTTTTAGTTGAAGAACTATAAGACAGCGTCCACTTTCGCCCGGCGTTTATTAGAACTGGGACCTCGTCCTGACGTTGCTACACAGGTAGGGTTTAAATGAAAGTTGGTAATTTAATAACTGTAACAAAATATGGGACAAATGCTATTTGCAGTCTTTGAAATTTTTTACGTAGGAGATAAATTATAAAAAAAGTGTTTGCAATGATTTTATGTTGCGTTATAATTGCACTAATCAAAGCGATGAAGAATAGAAACATAAGCGCTCCTTTGTGGCAAAAGCAGTATTAATAGCATGTATAAATTACATCCATTGCATTAAATAAATGTTTTTCTATTATCATTACATGTATAAACAACTGAATTCAAAAGGTAGAGATCGCTGTCTACTCGTGAATAAGAAAACACAACAGAAAATTTGTCTTTCCACCATTTATGCTCCATATTTGCTGGCTTTTGAACAAAAATGGCGGGCGCTAGGCAATTTTACTTCCGGTATCCCAACTCTTTCGTATGTAGGGCTCTGCAGGGAACTTCTTTCTATCATCACAATGTAACGTTTTCCGCGAATTATGTTATATTTTGTCATTTTTTGACACAGCACAAGAAAAGTTTTCATCAAGCATTTTTGCAAAATCGTTGCTTTCACGATTTAATGTAGCTATCGGTATAGAAGGTCTATTAGGTTATAAATTTTATCGTATTGCGAATTTAGACTCGCAAAATTCTTCAAGCATGCGACAAGAACCCTACGGATACACACGAACTCCTTTATGATCCTCAAAATCCATTCACAATCTGTGGGGCGACCTACAAACCAATATACAGGTAGGTTTTCATCTTGCAAGGTGAATTATGTGGGAATACGAAGAAGCTTTTTTCCCTTCAGTTTATGTTTATGTAGCACTTATTTGTTGATAATAATACAAACAATCTGTTCAGTTGTTTGAATATTTTTGTGTCTACGGCATTTATTTATTTTCATATAGAAGTCTTCTAATTGTATTTCACGCTGAGTCGGATAATTTCGCAATTCTTGAAAAAGATATTAAAATAACTGTAGAATCTAATACATCTACTACTTATTACATTAAAAATTAATAATTCATTAAGAATTACAGCGATGACAAAGGATTGAATCTTAAATAAACTTTCCACACAATATAATTTCGTCATTCAAAAATCGTCAATTGCGTGCTCAATGGGTGATGATTGATACTCGCTCTTGAATTAGTTATGGAAGTTAGTCTTATCCTTTTTGGCAATATTCTACCGTGAAAAACAGACGTTGTAGTTCATCTGTACTATTTTAGGGGCAAGCCACAAGAGAAGTCTCCTCTTTGTCAGACGTCGTACTTTCCTGAATACAAAGGAAAGGTTTGCAAGATCAGCAAGGTTAGTGTTGATGTACATGTAGTGGCAGCTTTTGGTGACGAAGTACCTTACACCACATTGAGTGTCATATATAGTTTATAGTGTTGATGTATGTTAGAGAATGTTTGCGAGAAAATTCTTGACACAATATTATATGACTGCAACAAATAGTGTGTGACACTTGACCTTTGATGTTAAGTTTGTTCAGTGAAAATCAGTAGAGAACTGTAATATGTAGCCATAAAAATTGTATCATCTTGTAGGCTCAAGATTTGAGTTATATTAACAAGAATTTCGAAAGCATTGTTTGATTTACAAAATTTGAAAGTCATTATGAAGATCTTGTCTCTTGTTCACATAACTCTTAAATTTGCTTAAACTGTAGGCTAGAAAAGGTTTAATATGTGCTTATGAAACTTTTAGGTTGCTGAAATTGGAAAGGATTCGATTGGCTTGAGGATTAGCACGTCTCAATTCCGTTGAAAAACTTAATGAAATTTCCTTTCAGACTACCAAAATGTCTAGATTTTGAAAGCTAAAATTTTTATGATTCTATGAACCATTACTTATGAAGTTCCCTATAGTTTCCATGGTGTACACCGTAAATAAAAATATATTAGTTCCATTGTATACTGTTATGTAACATTGTGTAATGTGCAGTGAGCCAGATGTTGAACTTGCATGACGTTGTGCATGGAAGGAATTGATTTTCAAAGCTTAAGCGTACGATGTATTGAACGATCACGAACGACATTTCAAAAAGAGGACCCGAACAACATATAAAAAAGACCACACGAACGACATATAAAAAAGACCACATGAACGACTTATAAAAAAGACCACACGAACGACATATAAAAAAGACCACATGAACAACATATAAAAAAGACCACATGAACGACTTATAAAAAAACCACACGAATGAAGAAGAGACGGCATGTACCACATATTAAAAGTTGTTATTTCATAACAGACAACAATTAAGTCGTCATTTCATAGGAATGAGTAAATTTTTTCAAGGTTCTTTTTTTACCTTTGTGTCTATTTTTTACCTATCTTTATGTCCACCTTAATATCTACCTGTATGTTTACCTTTATGTCTACCTTTATGTCTACCTTTGTGTCTACCTTTGTGTCTACCTTTACGTCCACCTTTAAGTTTACCTTTATGTTTACCTTATGCCTACCTTTATGTTTACCTTTATATCTACCTTTTTTTCCACCTTTATGTCTACCTATATGTTTACCGTTATGTCTACCTTTATGTCTACCTTAGTGTCTATCTTTGTGTCTATCTTTATGTCTACCTTTATGTCTACGTTTTTGTCTACGTTTTTGTCTACTTAAATGTCTACCTTAATGTCTACTTTTATGTCTTTCTAAGTAACAATATCATGCTTCTTCATGTCTTTATGTCGTCTCTCGTCTCATTAAATAGCACATAGTACAGGACAATAGATGATTTAGGTTGTTCACAGGTGAAGATAGTACGTATCAGTTAAGAAGATGACTATAGATTATGGTTGATGAAAGTAGGTTACACAGGGTAAAGTGATACAACACAATACAATGTTCAATGAATTCTATCTCTTATTTTAAAATTCAATATTCAGAAGTAGAATGTTGTCGTTGATCACATAATGTCATTCACATTCACTAGTCGCTTTTTAACTGCATGAATCACAATCAATTGCATGATTACAGTTTAATCGATTATACGATTACACATTATTTTTGTCTTTGCTTGAAAATTGTGAAATTGTGTGAAAATGGATAAAAATGCATGAATTATAGTCTTTGTGTGAAAATGGATAAAAATGCATGAATTTTTGGTTTTTCATGAAAATGTGTGAAAACGCGTAAAATTATAGCCTTTGGGTGAAAATACGTACAAATATGTGAAAATGCGTGAATTATAGTCTTAGTGTTAAAATGTGTGAAAATAAGTAAAAATGCATGAATCATAGTGTTTGCATGAAAATGCGTGAATTATAGTCTTTGCATGAAAATGTGTGAAAGTAGTGCCAAGACTAACAGTAGCACAAACACATTGACTACGACTTTGACTGATACAATGGTCCTACTCCGAAGAAACACATTTCTAACTATTCAATATCTTAATTCTTTAGCCTAATAACCTTATTGCTAACCACAACCTCCTATTTTCAAATAAAGTGCACCATATTTATAAATTGTGTAACCATAAACGAAATTGTAATCCTAGTTAAGTCAACGTTGCTGCCAAGTGCACCCTGTTCATAAAAAAGCCGTTTATATTTCAATTGAATAACTGTTTATTTTTTTAAAAAAATTCAATGCTAAACACTAAGTTCATCCTTATCACAAGAAAGTACACTTAACACCTTTCTTCCTAGTCATTGATAACGTCTTTTGACTGCTTAGCCACACAAGCAGTCAAGAAAAGGAGAGAACAGGAGAGAGTATACTCCTTCCCACCAACATCAATGTCATAAAGAAAACAGTGACATCATCACTACTCTTTCCCCTCGTTATCAAAATAAAATGTAAAATCAATAAACTGTTGCACAAACAACTAAGACTAACACAAAGAACAACAGTTACTCCAACACCCAAAATAGAGCTAACACCAGCAACATTCACCAAGACTAACACCAAGACCAAGTCTATAACCATGTCACCATACTACACTATTACCAACTCTACAACAACAATAACACAGCTAGGCAGAAATAACGTTCGGTGAGTTACGATCACGTTCGGTGATCTAGACCAAAGCACTGCACCTCACGGTGAAATACGAAAAATGCTTTGAGGCCCAAAAAGTAGAGGAAAGTTAAATTTTTATCTTATAAAATATATTGCAAATGTTCTTAAATCGTCTATTCTGTCTAATTAGATTATTTCACTGAGGGTGATATAGACACTTAATTACTCTTAGAATATCGCATTAAATGCTCATTAAAGCAAGATGGCTGAGTTTGCCGTGATTCATTGTTCTACGTAGTCTGTTTTTTATAAACTGAAATTCACCTAACGAGTAAACAAAATATTTTTCCTTGTTCTGTGAAGCAACAATGTTTGATTTTTCTTGAATAATGTAAGAGGCCTTTGTTTGCGGAGGCCACTGGGCAGCTAGCCAGTCTTGCGCTTTGGTTATAATCCGGCCCTGACAAGCTGTCTACTGCTCATGGCATCGTCGTTCAACCTAAAAATAAATCTACCATTACAAGTTCAAAGGGGGATGAGTGACAGGTGGAATCTATATTAGCATAAACACGAGCTTCACTCGCACATTTTTGTGACGTCAGAACAGCCATTTTTTGAGTTACTAGAATGGTTACCAGCCTGTCCACATAGTTATTTAAATAGTTCGGAGTTCAACACATTAGGAACGTTAAATTTCTAGATAATTGATATTAAATTTATGACTAAATTCGTCGTATAATTATTTTCCCGGTCTACATATTTTATGTTGGTTATAAAACCAAATCAATGAATGATAAATAAGATTACCTCAGCTGACAGTAAATGGTTTATTAACACAAATAGTTCGTATCCTCTTTAAAAGGTGACCACCATCGTTGCAAAGGTCATGCCAAGACAAGTATGCTTTTAGTCTTTTAGCAGTCGGTGTGAGAAACAGTACTAAAGGTTTAGTAAACAGACATGAATTGAGTTTCTGATCACGTGAGATGAATGTTTGAGTACGTGTTGTTAAACGATGTTCGAGGCTGCAAGTGCTTAAATTAGCAATAACTAGTATCGCCTGTTAGTGCTTCAGTAAAATAATTGGTATTAAAATCATGTTTAAACGGCTTTGTGTTTTGGTCACAATAAGTTCGTTAAAAATATTTTCAAGCCAAAAAGAAACGTGTTGTTAAAACGAAATCAGCACGCGAATATGACAGTTTATACAAAAAGTGTTGACACAAGATTTATTTATGCCACCCATAGACGGTAGCGTGCATTTGTATGCTCTTCTAACTAGTTCTTTTAAATGCACCAGAAATTCACTTTAATGTTTGAAAAGTTGTGGGTCCCAACAGCTTCTATAAATTTGCTAAATTGGGCGTGCTATTTATTATTCAGCTTATCCGCTGAAGAGGATTATTTTGCCTTATCTATTTATTCTTACATGCGACGAAGCCACAATACCACGGGAGGTCCCGCCATTTTTGAAGTATCTACTACTGTGGCATAAAACCAATTGTCTAGTACCCAATCTGCCATATACCTGACTCTGTAAAAATTTATTACGAGTGATAGTTACGAGCACTGGTTGCGAGTTGGAGTTAGGCATGCCGCCATTTTGAAAAGTGGCAAAACCGACAATAAATACGAATAAAATGGATATGGTTTCCTTACGTTGATATATAGTTGCAAAGTTGTTACTCTTGGTTTGGTTTTTAAATGTTTGATAAGATTGGCTTTTTAAACTTTCTTCTTGACTAACTTTTTTGAGTCTCGTTTTTTGCCACCTTTTTCAATTGAATGAAGTCCTTGATTCACCTTAAAAACGTTTTAAAGTAAATGGTTTGAACCCGGGAGTATCGTTACATGTTTGTAAATGTCAAAACTCTTTGACTCTGAAGATGACTACCGCTAAGGTTGTCGAAACGTCAGTCAACAACAACAAAAACAGTCCTTCTCAGGACTATACCAACCTGGACGATCGACATTTACAGACATGTAACGATACTCTCGGGTTCAAACCATTTACTTTATTACGATTAAAAACGTTTGTTAGACCCCTAATTAATTGGGCTCTGTAAAATCATTGCACGAAACAAAATACGTTAAAAATTATGATAAGAACGTCATATGTTAATTGTTTCAACTTTCATAAAATAAAGTCATCGAGGCGGTCGAGCAATGTAAAATAAAACTTAGTATTTCTCAACTTTAATTTACGTCCATTACTTTTGTGACATTGTCACAAAGTTGCGACATAACTACTCATTGAATATTACGCTATTTTGGTGGCTTAATGCTTGTCACAAAGAATCTTATACATTTGGACGACTCTCAAGGACCGTGGAAGATCGGTAATAGGGACTGGGGGGGGGGGAAACTAAATTGATATACTCATAGTGTTTGATCAGTAATCAAAATGGTTTTCAATAAAAACTAATAAAGTAAAATATGCGTATGTGAATATTAGCCACCCGCTTAACTATCAATTTTCTGCCGCCCTTGTCGACTCGATTTTGTGAAAAATATTTAAAATACTTTGTGCGTCATTGCAATCACTCAAGAGCAATTTCAACATGACAATTGACCTCATGTTTTCAACTGCTTTTTATTGGTGCTGTATATTTTTGAGTTATTGGGGGCGGTATTAATCATCCAGACGACCTGCGTCACCAAAAAGATGTGGAAGATTATCTGACAAGAACCAGTCAGAAAAAGTTCTGAGTTTCAACTTAGATATATAGAGCAGCAGGCTCCATTGGCATTGATAATGTTTACGTCGTTATGACGTGCTTATTATAGAGTATGAAACTAGAAACTTTACTGACAACCGTTCGTGATGATGTTTTGTATGCGTGATATTCCTAGTGGTATTTGACCAATCACGATTGCTCAATCTCTCAACGGCTTTCCCTCCTTCCGTCCTTCAACGGCTTCAACGGCTTCCCGTCCTTCTTCTTTCGTGGCTGCAATTCCTTTTCTGTTGGACTGACCAATAACAACGCGTGCCAGTGGATGAACTAAAGTGATTAAATATCATCGATTGTGTTTATTAAGTTCATTAGGCACAGACATCATTGGTGCAGTTGGCCGTCGAAATAGTCGCCGTCAACGTCATTATCTTGAATCGAACTAAAATACAGCTGAGACAACCCTTTATGAGTAAGTAATATATAATAATTGTTGTCATTGCCTATATGTTTCTATAGATAAGATTATCACGATGAATTATTTATATGTTGTGTGCGCGCAAATTATTTCATGTTCTGTTAAGTTGCTACTTACGAGCTGCGATGAAAGTACTCTTGTTACTATTAGAAAATTCATCGTAGGATCTTTAGCGCATTGTGTTAATTAGTTTTACGCGAATTTGTGTTTGATTGACCTCATGAATACTAGCTGGTGCAATTGAAGAAATACTTCAAGGTCGCGTGCGTACAAACACTGGAACGCAAGACTTATAAAGCATTAAGATGAAGTATATCTTTCAACTGAGTGCTGTTATTTATTTTAACGACACAGTCAAATAGAAACTTCATTTTGCGCGAACATCCAACATTTACAAAGAAACGCGAACATTACGGCTAAGTACTTTAGTGGCATTTACTAATGACTTTGAGCAAATAATAAACGATATGCTATCTCCGAATCTCATATTTATATAATCAACATAAAGCTTTGTATTACTTAGCCGATCATAATTAAGTCAAAAACATTTCTTTCACAAGTGGCAATTTTACGTGAGAGAGGTTTTGACCCTCTTCTCGAACTTCGTCTTTGGAATGGATCGAATTTTTTTGACATCCCATCTCACGTTGTGGCAAATTAATCTCATGCGGTTATTCAAAACAACTTAGTAACTTAGGTCAATATTTATCAGGAAGTGATGATTTATGAAACAGGATAATCGGTAATATTTTGAATGACCTTTATGCAAATAGTCATACTAACGCAACGAAAGACAGATGTTTTAAAAGTACTGTTCTACACGCCATTTAGTTCAATTCCAAATAAGTTCAATTTTTCGACAGTGTGTGCTCTAAGATTTGTTTGCAATATCATATGCGAGTCCGAGATTTGAGTAATTAATTCCTTAAAACTTTACTTGAGATGACTAGAGGAATGCAGTTAATGTCTGGTTTAAATGAAATACCTCGTACGGATATTTCTCACGATGCATCTCGCGTTGGTTAAGTGCTCATTATTATAGTTTGAATTAAAACACAAAGTAGTTTTTGTCCGTTTGTGCAGACCAGCGGGGTCTATTTCAAATATATTACATGAAGTGAATATTAAATTCGTCAGATGATAAATATTGGATTGTTTTAACTTGCCAAAATCATTAAATCATGCAATGAGCTTCGCTTCGAATTCCTGCCAGCCAGGCTCGTATTACAATTTCTCGCTAAAGATTTGTCAGTCTCATCTTATTTTGTCAAAATCTAGTTGCTAGATGTAATCCAGTACAGTTCATTGGGCAAATGGAGAAGTTTGCATTTTCAAGACACGGATATGATTCAAAAATAAAATGCTAGTTTTCATAAAATTTTGCTATATTCAAATGATTTTTGCCATATATTGCTGTATGCACTATTGAACTTGTGAACAAGGATAGTTTGCTCATAGTGCTTAAGCAACAGCAAGGTGCATGGTATGTTCTTGGGTAGTATATAAGGCAAAAGATGATTTAAAACAAAGGATATGGTTAACTTGTGGTGCTCAAGAAACAGCAAGACATTTTCGGATGGTACATAGGACTAGACAGCTGTTTTGCCAAAATAGTCCTTTCACCTTCGTACAGATTGCAAAAGCAAAATTTATCTCCATGGTATTGCAAGAAGCAAGTAACAAAGCGAAGATCATTTTTTTGTAATAAATGCACAACTCTGTGCTCCAGATTTACTGATGTTAGTTACATATGCTTTGCAAGATGTACAACAAGCTATTATCGGCTCTACATGTAAGAACTGTGACTTGCTCTACATTGAAGAACCAGACGGAGCTCTACATGAAGGAACTTTAACAAGATCTACATGGATGTAATAATCTTCGGATCAATAATTGTTTCCTTTTTCCTCGGCATACCCGAAGATGATTTCATTGTTCTTCTGAGACGGAAAAATAATGTTTACATCACGCGATGAAGTCCTTAAATCAATGTTATTTTTACGTTTTTTAATTCTCAACAAATAACAAGAGCTAATTGAAAATACCCAATCACAGAATTTTATTCAGCACAAGTCATTGTTGTGTTGTTAGCAACTAGCATCATTGTCTCAATTGTTTATACATTTATTAAACATTGTATAATTGCTTTCATTTTTATTTTTTCCACCATTGCATTCGTTGTAATTCCCTAAAGTTGTAGTTCCCTGCAGGTAGCTATCTTTTTGCTTACGCTATTTTGCTTCAATCGGGAAAATAGTTCAGTGGTTCAATAATCAGTTTAAGACAAATAGTTAACAGGTTTTTTGTCTATTGATCACATCTAACTTTTGTTTTTTTTTGGTTTTTTGCAGCATTACGATTGAAAATGGCCGTTCATAATATCATGATAATTTTGTTGTCGCTATTTGTTGTCTGTAAGTTTGTTCTTTGACTTTTTTATATGAAAAAATAGTTTAAGTAGACTTTGTAGACTATATACTACATTACAAATACAATCTACAACACCAACACAGTGTACATTATCAACGCAGTCTACATCGCTAATACAGTAGACATCACAAGGAAAGTCCACATTACCAACACATTTACGTCATCAACACAGTCTACATCACCAACACAGTTTACGTCATCAACACAGTCTACATTACCAACACAGTCTACATCAACAACCCCGTCTACATCATATATATATATGTATATGTTTACTCTATTTGATTACCAATGCTGTTTAAGTAATAAATTTTTTTTCTGTATCTGTTTCGTATAGCTAAGGCGATAAATATCTGTCCAACTCGAACGGTAACATTGTCTTCCGGACAAGTCACGTCACCCAAGTATCCCAGAAGGTACCCACCAAATACAGATTGTAGATTAACAATTAAGGCGCCATCGAGGACAAATTTCACCATCACCTTTTCAAAAATGGACATCGAAGGCGACGAGGATGGTAAACATATTTAAAATGGCTTTTCTCGACGAATTTGATGCACCTTATTTACATTTGAAATATCAAATTCAACACTTGAACAAGTAAAATTTCGACCGACGCAGTAATTTCACGAGATTTTGAAGACGGGAAAGTTAATCATACATTAACCTTGTTTTTCTTTTTTCCCACCTTTGTATAAGATTTTTGTAATAGTTTCGATTGTGAATTTCATTTAGATTTGTCTTCATCTTGTTTTGACTGGTTGACAATTTATGGTGTTACGAAAAAAACGTTTTGTAGCACGAAGACTCCTGCTTCATATACATCCCCCTGGAAAGTTCTTGTCCTGCACATGAAATCGGATGGCAGTGTTTCAAAGACTGGATTTGACCTTTCTTTTTCTACTGTAGCAGGTACGAATTGACATAACGTTCATGTCTTGTTGTATGTTCGTATTTCGCTTGCTTGTCCTGAATTTCATTGAAGTAGCTATGCAAAATAACATGTCACGCAAAGGTGTATATGAAATCTTTTACGAAGATAGCCACTCAAAAAAGTAGTGCTGGACAAATAATTTATTGCAATTAATAGAATTTCACACACCAACTTATTCATTTTAACCTTTGAAGATCTCCGAGCCATTGTAAATGGCAACATAGACATGTTTGCTCTAAAAAGGAACCGTATTAAAACAAAAACCCTGAATAAACAAGACACAAAGACAAAGTTAAAGGGACACAAAGGGACACAAAGACAAAGTTAAAAGCAGTACGAGTAACAAATAAACTGTTTGATTTCATCATATGAATTTAGGGAGACGAACAGAGGCGGATTCCTGGGGGGAGGGGTTGTGCACCTCTAGGTTCTCTAGCATCCCTAAGAAAAATTCTAAATGGTATAACGTACAGTAGACTATTGTTATGATGGTATTACAGACAGGAAATTGTATAGTAAGAAGCAAAAGTTGAAACTTATCATTGAGTTACTACCATGCACGTTTTTATTGAAACATTAAAAATTGAAATAAATTACTAAACGTGAAGTAACCTGTTACTATGTCATGTCAACTCTGTTCGCTTTTTATTTTCTTCTCGTGTTTCACTCGTCGTTTGCAATATTTTGATACATAGTTGTGAAGCTTTGTTGATTAATTATGGAAGAGCTGTAAAGCTATACAACTAGGACGCATAACATAAACAATTCTTAAAAAGCTGTTAACACGTTTATTACACAATGTTCGCTCATATTTAAGCCTATAAATCTACAATAGCGCTAGGCCCTGGCATCTGCAGCTATAAGACAATCACAATGATGTATTTCCCTGTAAAACATGCTCTTCATGCTTAAGATTTTGAAATGTAATAAACCTGTGGTATTGTATTACGTATTACTTCAATTGGATAGTAAATAAAATCAGCAAAAGTTAATTCTTGCAAATTTCTTGTGTGTTTTTCATGCTAAATCGTTTAAACAAAGGAGAACACTATGTATAATCACAAATTTCATCCTATAGTACTGGCATTCGTGAAATATTGTTCTTGGTTCTTAACTAACCATCCAATGAGCTTTTCTGTGGTCTCATACAGTGTCGAGACAGCGTAATGTTTGATTTTTATTTGCTGTGATCGCTCAGAATGAAATGTTTTTAAAAAAGATCGAAAAGTTTTATGTTCAAAACACATCTCATCCATGTTTCATTTTTCCTTTATTGTGTTTTGTTTTTGTGTTCTTTCTTTTATAGATCAAAATCCTACTCCAACAGCCTCCGTGTGCCCAACGAGAACTATTACCCCAAGTAATTTTGGTTATATCTCAACTACTGACTACCCCATGCCGTACAGCAACAATCTAAACTGTAAACTCACTTTGGACGTTCCGTCAAACAAGGAATTCAGCATGACTTTCTTGAATCGCGATATTGAATGTAGGCATCACTTTGCTTTAATTTAAAGTTTTGAACATCTTGCTGCATCCTCTATAGCTCGTGAAGTATCATGGTACTGTTTTTGATGGCGTCAGTTTGCATTTTACAGTTTATTATTGTAGTATGAAAAATGTCTGAAATAAGAAAAAACATCAAATTGCAAATAAGTCAAAGATGTTTTCAACCGAAATAAATTCAAAATAATCCATTAAAAAACAGCTTTTTTGCCTTACTTAAACGTACTGTTTGTTACTTTGTTTGTAGCTAATTAAAGCATTTGTTTATATATTTATGTCATAAATTATGCGTCCTCCCAAACAGTACTACAATCCTTCACGAGCTTAATTTATCTCCAGACTCACTGAAGTTTTCCAAGTGACTAATTTAGTAAATTGAGCTAAATTTTTGCGCTGATTCAAAAATCACAAAAACGCCTCAACTGCTTATATTTATATGTGAGGGTTTGTGGAACTTCAGGCTCCTGTTTCTCTTAATTTCTTTTTTAAAATGTTAATGATATCCGGTAAAACTCTGTTCCACATTTAATCACATTGAACGAGCTTTTTGTTTGCTAAAGATGATGTGAAATTTAAGCTTTGTAAACATTTTTGTGTCCATTGACCACGAGAACAATAGATTTATAAAAAAATGAATAGAGGTAATCCTTCAGAATTTAATTTTAGGAGGCAAATCTGCAGACTGGCTAAGCTAGCGAAAAGAAACATTTTCACATCTGGACTAAATTTGCTTCGGCCTATTTGTATGTCACTGCAGGTGAAAAATTGTCAGGCACGATTAATCATGTATTTTGTTTGGAATTTGCAGACTCTTCTGGTTGCAGCAAAGACAAGCTCGCTTACTCTGATACCAGGTCAACTTTTTCTGTTTGTGGAACATCTTCGGATGCAGATCAAAGAAATTTTACAGACGGTGATGTCTCGTTTCATCTTACCACTGACGCCAGCACAACTGCAGCGGGCTTCCTTATTTCATACAAACTTATTGATAAACCTGTGTCAAGTAAGTAAATGTGGGGTACAGTTTATAAGATGCGCAAGAAATTAAAGATGCGATGTTCACTTTTCGATTGTATTAACACTATTGAATGTGGCATTCTTGGTGTTCACGCTGATATGTATGTTTTGTATGCGGACTGTCGTCATTGTGCAACTCAGCAGCAATCACGTGAACAACAAGTTATATAAAAGGTTTTCGTTTGCATGGTTACAGACTCCTTGGTGTTTTATAATGATCATTGGTGAGGTTATAATGATCCCGTTGAGTCACCTGAATTTTTCAGATTCATGAGACAATTGCTTAAATTGTCCAGCAAGGTGCGAAGATCATATCTTCATTTAATGACCATTGGTACTTGTAACTTAGTTCTTCAGAATCGCATGAACGAACATTGGATAGGTAGGATAAAAATTATATTTCAACTAGATCCTATCATTTAAATTTAACAACACAGTAAAATAGAAACTTCATTTTGCGCAAACATCCAACGTCATAAGAAAATAATGTGAGCAATATACGGAGCACTATACGGCTAACAACTTTAATGACATTTAACAATGCCAAATCAGCAATGTTATCACAACTCACAACTAATTTGGAAGCCTTGAATTGCATAGGTGACCACTATCAAAAACATAACTTAAACTTCTGGTGATTTTTCTCAAATAACTTTCGGATTGAAAGATCATTGATACAGTTGAGTTTTTTGTGTTTTTAAGCATATTTCTTTTCCCTCCTGTATTTCTTAATCGTCTGTCATGGTTCGAAAGTCATATTCCTAATATATTAACGTGCTTGGACACAACTTTGACATGAGAATACTCCCTAGAACTAGACTTGTTTTTCTAATGAAATACTCTTTTTGAAAATATATTGTTGATTTTAATCATTTCTACGTATACTTAATTGTTGGTTCATAATGTTGCTCTTGTCCTTAACTGAACACCAAATTTTATTTAGCTTGACGTTTTGACCTAACTATAGCGGCTTAATAAATCACTTAGCTAGCTAAATACTTTAAACAAACGATAACTCTCCACATTCTATCGTAACAGACCGTGCGCCGCAAACTTTGTATCTATATTATATATCTATTATTAATTGTATCTATATTATATATTTGTTTTATATTTATATTTTTATTATTTGGTAAATATTCAACAAATAGGAACATTTAACCGGTGTCTATACAGTTATAGATACACGGGTATGACAAATCTTGTCTGGTAATACTTCTCTTTGTAATTTGTGCTACTGCATTTTATGTACATCGTTATTGATTTTATAAAATCCTATCATGGAACTTCTAAAAATTCCAAAAAAGAAGCTCCTTTTTCGACTCGCTGCGTTATGTTAGCGTTCCAGTTGATATTGCAGTTCACTGGTTTGCATTCGAGATACAGAATAGATATCTTAACAGAAGGTCCACTCGTTTCGGAACCTTAGATGTTCGTGTCCCCCACTTTTCTGAAGCAAATTCCAAACAGACACGCCTTCCAGCAAGATACTTCAACAAGGTCGCATTTGAAAATATAGATGTTTTTACAAATATGTCGTTTTGTGTTACAAGAGTTTGGTGTACCTTATCTCTTTCCAAGATGACCACTCTTTGTAAAAATTTCGGCAAACGTTTGCTTTAAACGTGAATTATTAGTAAAATAACATTCTCGTGTAGTACTATTCCATATTGACTTGGTTAGAGTATCATTCTGGAAAGTCATGAATGTGAAGTGAAAAAATACTCCATGATTTTAGCCGAGTGGGCCTTCTGTTAGATGTCTATTCTGTGCTCGAGATCTTTTATAAATACGTACATATTCTTTTCCAGAGTGCAGTTGCCCAAGTGGAAGCTCATATATCAAACGTCCCATTACGAAAAACAACGTCATCAAGCGAATTTCCGATGACATCAGCCTGGAATTCAAAACGACGAGTGCCAACGGACTGTTCTTGTTTGCCAAGGGTGGGCTCCGGGACTTCATTCTTTTGAAACTACAAAACGGAATCGTTATTTTCGAAATCGATCTTGGAACAGGTGCGTCGTTGTCGAGCGTGGGCGATCAGATAGTTTTACTTTTACGGATTGAGTTCTAGAACAAACGTTTGGTGTATATATACAATGATAACAATAAGGTGTAACGAAAGTTGTTGCTAGAAAATGCTTTTTACATAGCCATACACAGACTTCTAAAGATTTACAAGTTGAAACTCAGTTCAATTTTACGACTCCTTGAGAATCAATTACTGCCAAACAAGTAAACTGTAAATGTCGGCTGATTTCAAAGATGTGCATTGACATCCTGCAGAACAAAACAAACTCTAAATATCTGGAATCTTGGGCTTACAAGATGCTTATGTTTTAAGTATTTTTGCTCCAACTGCAATTTTTAGAGATGATTGAAAACTTTCACACGTTAACCATATTCATTACATTGACAGGCAATCTTACGGTGACAGTTCCGTCAGTAAGTCTTAATGACAACAATTGGCATAAAGTGGTCGTTTCCAGGCAAAGAAAGAATGTCCAAGTCACTGTGAATGATCTGTTTTCAGGTAGGTACGACTAAGAGTCATTGGGGTATTTTCATCAGTCGCCATGTTGGAGGGAAATCCCATATAGTGAAATGAATTTATGTTAATTTCATTCTTTGTTGAACATCGGTACTTTGATATAACCAACCAACATGGCTAATTTGACGTCACATGAAAACATTGTATAGAATGCGCCTACAATAGCAACGAAATAATGACATTTCACCTCCAGACTATACTCATATTTACCAAAAGTTAGCCTTCCAATGTACAGTCAAGCATCTACTTATGCCTACCTCTCGTTAGGGAGGACATTGCTTTTGAATCTTTACCAATATACATCGTTACAAATGACCCACAACCCAATCTACTAGATATCTGACTCCATCGAAATTCTTTGGTAACGGGTGAATCTAGCCGCCATCTTGAAAGGTGACAAAACTGACGATATTTACGACTAATATCTGTTTTTTCTTGAATTGAAATACAGTTGCATAGTCCATGTTTCATTTTTCTCATTTCAAAAGTTTTTCATTTTGAGTTTTGCTTTTTGCCATCTTTGAAGATGGCGTCCTTCCCTCATCCTGAACAGTAGTTAGACGTTTAGGAGATTTTGATTGTAAATCATCGGTTATTTTCTCTCACGTGAGCACCAGAATATCGATAATGGAGGGGTTGCTCATGTTAATAGCTACATGCATTATATAAAGTGCTAAATTCATTTAAAATTCATTTTTTAAATCCAACGCATTATAACATACTTATATGAATAGTAGCCACCCCAAAATTATTGATCATCCTATGAATTCTCATTACATTACAAAAGTGCACATCTTCTGTATGTGGATGATCATCTTGCAGAGATTGGATGCACTGTAAAAGAGAAATGAGTAAACATATTTCTTAAACGAGAAATACGACAAGTCATAAGAATAGTAAATAATACAAAAATGTTTGACCAATCAACCCTCATTTGCTTGCATGAATTATCCGTAATGTTCCTAGGTTAAAATTACGTATTAAAAGTTGATTTTAACTAAAATATTTATCGTACCATACAAAACATTGCCTTAGCTCGTTCCTTCATCATGTGTTTTTGTTTAGTGAGGGCGAGTACCCCAGGAACTTTTAACTCGCTTGATATTAAGCCTTTCAACGGGCAAGATGCTGCCATGTACGTCCTCGGAGGACCCTCGGGTATCCGTTACAATACCAACTTCAATGGTTGCATTCGTAACTTCGTCATCGATGGCATGAAACCTGTAGAAGCGTATTTATCAAACGACCCCCAGTACACAATGTATGGCACTACAACATTGGGTGATTGTTAGAAGTTACCATCAACTGCATGTTTGATCTTTCTTATTCATATTTTTGTATTTTTTGTCATATGGACCAGGTGGTGTTGTAAAATGTTAACTGTCCATATATTTAGCTCTGTAAAGATCAGAAAACACTTATGTATAAACACTGGTAAAATTAATAACTTGTTATTTGAACTATGAACGTGAATAAAATTTTTTAGTCTTATTAATTGCCTTCAAGTACTCGGTCTCTTATACGTTGATATTTGAATTGTTTATTTAGCAAGGTAGTCTGTTCATATTTCATGAGGGTGGTAGTGGAGGTCACAATCTAGATTTTTCACCTTGTTTATAGGTTCAAATGAGTTTTTACTCCAAATTTTAAGAACTTGCTATTTGAACTGCGTTTAAAAACTTTAGGTCTTAAACAGTTAAAACCTGCGTTGAACACTAATTTATGAGCTTGCGTGATGCACATCTTATTAAGTATCAACTTGTACAGCGAAGTGAGAATATGTATTTATTCCTTATACTGCATTTATAATAACAATATGGTGTCTCAGGCTCTCCGCACTGGATCTAAACTGAGAAGACCTTGCAACTCATGCCTCATCTTATACCTGCAATAGATGGAGATTAATATGGAGTTGATGTTGGAAATTGTTTGTTATTTACTTCAATGCAATCTATGAACACTTCCAGGCAAGTACCTCGTCATCTTATGCATTCTTTAAGAACTAAAAGATGTTTACTGTTTTTGCACAGGCCTATGCACCTTTGGGAGATCTCGAAAGCTGATCAGTGCAAGCCCGAAACCGAACGTCGAGGAATGCACCTGCTCAAGAGTTCTCACAAACGTCTCTGAGGTTTGCATTAGCCAGTGCAAGAAATCGACGTCTCTGAGGTTTGCGGTGTCAAGAAATCGACTTTTTGATCCAGAATGCCTTGCGCTTTCACAATATCGCGATTGCAAGGAGTGTAAAAAAATAAAATTCTTCGCCATTACAAGCATTGAACATATCCTTTTTCAATTACTACGAAGGATGCGAATAAATACGCACAAAAGAGAAATCTACACCATAACATAATGCATGGTGCGATATATACTTTTAAATTCCTATATGAAAGCAAGAGATATCATCGTTATTTTGACTTTGTTGTTTACAAATTTGTATAGCTTCCTTTGCTTGAGAGATTATAGTACTGCAACTTGTCATTTAAGAGGATTTGGCATTCATACTTTTGCTTATAGTACTTTAAAGCTACTATCTTGTTGGTATTTAATATCACTACTAAATGTTTCTCAGATGTGTGATCACTTAAATGGCCGGTGGCCCGATCTAAACACATGGGAATATTGCTCGAATTGTGAAACCGTAGAAACCACTCGCCCTCGGCATATTTTTTCCCACACTCTTTCATTTCTTGACTGCGATAGATTATATGATTATTGAAGGGAGTACTAAAACGCTTTTTAGCAAAAACTAAGGAAACAACCAGGCAAGACAAAACGAGGAATCAATGTTCAAAGACATTGTCATTGCACATTGTACGAAGATTCACTTCATGCATCTTACACTACTTATGAATAGATGTTTTTTATGAAGTTGCATCGACTTATATATCGATTTGAAATGTTGTAGTACCAATATAAGATTATATCATCTCCTACTTTTTTCTCTCCTTTGAAGTTCAAAGTTGTTCTCCCGAGTCAGGTGCTGCAGAAATGTGTTATTTTGCCAATGCGCGATACTTGCATTTATACCTATTTTTTACTTTGATCCATACCGAACATGTTGCCTATTAGGCTATAGTACAAAAAATTTTTTTATGTATTATCTGTCGGATTTCCGTTTGTCATTTAATCCTTATGATAAACTTGATATAAGAAAAAGAAATGTTTGTCAAAAACAATTTAAATTATTTGATTTGCAAACAGACAATTACATGTTGGACGCTCAATTTTCAGTTGGGGGTTATCTGCTAGAATATTTGCAACGAAAGCGTTTTTCGATAACATTCCCAACTATTACATGTAGGCGCCATGTATGACAATACGCAATTGACACCCACACATTTCCTGTACACACAATGGCTGATTAATTATGTTGAAAGTTTGTTATCGAAGACGAAGTACAAATTAATGTTTGAAAACCGGGTTTTTTCTTTGCTTTTTGCTCAAATACGTTAACTGCCTCAACTAGGTCCTTGTGAATATCTTTATTTTCCCATTCAGGGAGGTATTGCGATGAATTTTCAAATATATCCACCATTTGTTTGTTTTTATGAACATAAATGTTTTGTTAAGTCAATTCCGTTCGTATGTCCTCTTATAGATCAAAGCTCTCGACCAATGAAGTTGCTCAAACTCTTTTGGTTATTATATAAATTTATATAGTGCATGTTATGTTGTCATAATACAGACTACACCGTTCGCGTACGGTGTAAAGTTATCAAAAGTTACGAAAACACAGAAAATAAAGCAGCCAAGACTTAAAAATCAGCAAAAGGAAGAAGTGACAGTGGTTTTGTTATGCGAGAGCTCTATGTAAAAAAGTTTTGGTTCTTCACAGACTTCTTCATGTGGAATTCATAAAATAGAGCAAATGAAACAACTTCAAAGCCAGACATTGGACTGAAAAGCTTTCTAGCTAATAAAACACATCCACAAACACATACTAAAAAATTCTAACTGCAAATCAAAACACATTCGCTCATGTTTCACTATCTTAGACATTGTCAACACTCAATTTTCTCATAAATTTAAAGAAGCCCTACACATAGCTACGCAAACACAGTTACACAAACGCGATCTAAACAAATCAATTAAACATTTCAAAACTTTTTTCTGTTGTAAATATTTTAATTTGGTTCTATCACACTAACCAATACATGCCATGTAAACGTCACTAATATTTTATTACACCTCATCTTTTTTTCATTGAGACGTGTCATATATATCCTACTATATATTTAGTACTCTAAATACTTTGTTTCGTTCTTGTATTGAAGATGACTTCAATAAAAGTCGAAACATTTTATAATAAAAAATTTGTAGTTTATTTTAAATGCAAAATATAACACTATAAATTCTCATATTATATAATCACGAAAGATGAGGGCTATCTATCAATGTCTCACGATACTTTGATTTAAGCAGCGCATTTGAAAACTAGAACGGTTCTCATAAGTGCTATCTTCGTTGGGGGACACGTTATGTAAGCATATGTTAAAACATCAAATGAAGTTTGTCTTGCTGTCGTGGTTCGCATACTTAAAAAACTTTATTTTGTATAGAAAAGTTTGAAAGAAGTTGAAACGAAACCTTTATTTCTGTGTATGCACACTGGAATGTGTTCTTGGACTCAACGTTTTCTACTAGCGTTTTGAAAATTCATGATTTATGTTAGTTGTACATATATCCAAGAATACAAGTATTGATTTAAAGTAGTTTGATGTTGAAATAATGAAATAAAATCATGAAAAAATATAGACATTTTGCTAACTGGACACTCACGAGATATTATTAGATTGAAGAGCAATTGTAGAAATTTCCTATACTCAGCTTGTAAATCCAATAATTAGGGGCTGCGAGTTTGACAGCTCTTACTGTCATAATAAGAGCAGTCCATCAATCTATAGGTACTTTATTGAGTAAAGTGTACTAATGAAATAATTTGGGACTTTACTATCAACTTTCAAACATTTTTATGCAAATTCAATTTTTTTAAGTCTGCAAACCACATCACAAATCCATTTGATGTTTTGATATACGCTTATACAGCGTGTCCCCCAAGGAAGTTAGCCCTATTGATTACCACGCTCATTTTCAAATGCGGTTCTTAACAACACTAAATAGCTAAAGAATGTACAGAATTTAAGTCTACAATAAGAACTTATTTTTTTGTATCACAACGCTTTTTCGTTTAAAGTCAACGTACTTTGAAGTTGTTTCATTACTTTGGACCAATCTCCGAATATTAGTTTTTTAGTCTACTTTAAAATTTCCATATATGATCTCAGAGAAGCACCATATTAACTATGCATTTAAAGTAAAATACACTGAAGTCATCTTCAGTATAAGAATGAATGATATTTGCAATGTTAAATGTATAGTAGGATGTATGAAAAAAAGATAAGGTGTAGTAAAATATTACTTATATTTACATGGCATCTCACAGTATATCATGTACTGTGAGTAAAATAGAGACAAATTACAATATTTACAATAGCTGAGATGAGAGATTGGTGATTGTTTCGCAGTGGCTGAAAGATAAGGCATTATTCTTCGTGAGATTTAGTTTCTTTGTAGTTATTAATAGTTTTTTTATCCGTTCATGAACATTCTTGTAGAGCGCTTTCAGTAGAATATACCAGTCGACTGAACAATGAATGTTCTTTAGGTTGGTTATTTTATTTGAGAGGTCACTGTTCAGTTTGCCAAGTTCTCACGATCGTTTCAAAATCACAGAACGCAGTAATCTTCTTCGTATTGCATTATATCAGCGTGGTTTACATTCGGTGAAAGAAAACACAAGAACTTTGTGTAGACATTAAAAGATTTACAAGCAAAACAATCTCAAATCTCTCATCTTAACAATTGTAAATATTTGTTCAGAGGTTGAATTGTGATCAACCTCCGTATTTTAGCGAAAGAGATTCTCAATCCAAGTCGTTGTTCGACAATCATCGACTGTACACATAACGAACATAGCTTGAAAGTTACATGTTTATGTCGATGGTGAGTCCACACACTGTAATATACATGCTAGCTTAGTGCATTCAAAAAGCTAAAATGCTTAATAAAGGTGATAACAATCATACGATAAACACATAATTGCCACGTTATAACCACTGAGCTAAAAGACATGGAACGCTACCTGAAGCAAATAATTGAAGCCATATTTTACACGTGTGTAGTTCCATGTGTTTTACTTCAATGTTAATATAACCACATGCTCAGTTTTCAAAATACCAGAAATTTTAAAGAGAGGTGATAAATATATAAATCAGTTGGTGCTTTAATTTTTACAAAAGTATAAAAGTGGGAACAATACCGAATACGTGATTCAATGTTACGTAGCAGCGAGAGTAAAAGTAGAGGCGCACCATGTACATTAAATTTAACTTTGTGCAAGAATATTAATCATTATGGTTATTAAAACCAGACTTTAATGGATTGCGTGTTGATTTTAATGACACTTTACTAGAATATAGCAAAATCTTATTTTAGATAACATTACTTCATGTTTAATAATGTTTACTTATGACATAAATATTTTAATAACTTTGTCATATAAAATCCACTGCATCGCAATTATGCCCCGGTATATTTACATATTTTGGACACTAACTATAGATCAATGAACATTTGTGTGGTACCCAAGGCTTGTAAGGAAATGAATACGTTTGTTTTTTGTTCTTATTTGTTGCACTAGCTCATCTTTTTCGATGTCAAGATAAATCATGAAAAAGTGGCAAGGGACCATAATCAACAGATGTTCAAAACAATGCAGCTGAAATCTTTTTCACTTAGCTCGTTGTTACTTCTAACCGAACTATCCTTCTATAGAAATTGAAATCAATTTCTGATTTTGAGATTTTTCTTCGTAGATTTCCAAGTAGCTAATATGTTGTAAATGGAAATTTTACTAGATTTTGGAAACTTTAGTTTTTCTGTTGTATTTTGAAAAAATATATTACAATCATAATGATACACAAATCGTCTAAAACTGTAGTTGAGCTGTCCATGCCTGATCAAAAGTTATACGAAATAAATAGCAACTGCAATCTAAAAAATCTAAAAGAGTTCATTTACGAAATCTAGGAAAGTGAAATATGACAGTAGTTTTAAAAAAGTTGATTGAAGAAAACGGAAATACTTCACAGTGATTTCACGACCTGAAATCTCTGTCAAACGCATAGTCATCTCTTCTGGGAAGTACTCAGTACAAGTTATAAGTTAGTTTCGTATAGCTAAACTACGAATTTAAGATTTTTCCCAGAAACTGTGTCTATGTTATCTTCTGCTTACTGCGGTAATATGTTTAAAACATAGGGCATTTTGGGAATGGATTGAAAAAAATTGCGTGCGCTGGATCTCCACGTAGGGCATCGACAATCGGTCTGTTGTTATCTATGATAAAGTTCTTGAGGCAGCCGACAAAGTTGGAGCCATGATTTCGATTTGCGCTTCCGGCTACGTACATGTACGCATTTGGAGCTCGTAGATCGAGTTTAGTGAAGATGCCTGGAGTTTCTACGATACCTAAATGAAAAGCATCGTTTTTATAAAGCATTTTGTCTTTTTTGTAACGAATTGTGTTATTTTCCAAAATATGAAGTTTCGTAAGTAAATGTTTTGGTTTGTTTTTAGAGATCACCTAGAGCGCCAGCTCTAAAGAATTTAAGCAGTTCTGTTTAAATTAGATTTTTAACGTGTGCAAAATATTTAAGATGTTATGTTTCCATTGATTCAGAGCTTAATATTCAAATGAACATTCCAAGGTTGACATACCTGCTACTTGTCGATCTACGTTAACTTTTACACGTCTTCCAGTTCTAGTTATCTCAACATAGTGCCAACGGTTATCATTTAGTGCAGGAGAAGGTACTGTTATTGTTCCTTTACCTGAAAAATAACGAGATGAATATGAAGGAAGAACTCATAAAGAATCTAGTTGTGATAAAAAGATGAGTGTCTTCAAATTATTATTAAATAATCAACAAACTGGTTTTTCACACAAAGCAAAGATATTGGAAAAACTTTCAATATTAAAAAGGAATTGACGACTACTTTGTTGCATGATGAGAAAGTGATCCACACAACAGGAACTAAATCGAGGCCTTTTAAGTCACTGAGAACGAACCAACCTGTTCCAAGGTCAACGCTAAACTTTAGCTGCCCTCGAATCAGTTTGACTCGAAGGAAATCACGGTGTTTACCCATCGCATGCAGTAAGAGGGAGCTTGGTTGACGAGTCTTGAATTCAAAACGAATGTCGTCCGTATGTCGAATTAGTTTCTTCTTTGTGAGGTCGACTCTGATGAAAGAACTACCAACTGGACATACACAATCTACTATATAAATGAAAGTATTAAATCATGATTACAGTCTCTTTCATTCATAGATTTAATACAAACTTTGTTATGATAGTTACAATGCTAATAGAACTGAAGAAAAGAGGAATGCTTTTTCCAGCATATTTTTTTGTAGATGAAACACGAAACTAAGCTTCATGAACTAGTAATGAGGGTATGGTACAAAATAGAGAACTCTTGTCTCAGTTGCATCAACACAAACTACTACATCTTGATTAGTGTTTCGTGTTGTGTGCACTAATTGTTTTTATGGAACGTTGATCATAACTCTGACATAAGTTAACTCGGAGATGTGAGCTCACACGTGCTCACCAGAGATTTGTTTTAGGTTTTATTAACAAATTATAAGTTAGTTTTTTCATTATTCTCTCCCATATAAATATTTATATACTACAAATTTGTCATTGAATTAGCTATGTAAAATCGATGCAACTGCATAGTTAGCCAATCAAAATTAAGTGAATTCTTTATTGCAAACGCAAGACTGTAGTACAAAAAACAAGTCCAATGTGCTGTTTTTCTAGAAATCAAGAAGACAAATTTTTGGCCCCAGACTGTATCATATGAATTCTATATAAACATACTTGCATAGATTTCGTCTTTTGTAAAGTAATATTTAATCAAGAAACCCTTCTTGGTGTTCTGCCCGTTCGTCAAAAAGTGAAAGTTGACTTTTGAGCCATGGAACACGCTACTTCGTGGCTTACCCTCGCCGCAAATGACTCTTGTCTGGCCGGCATCGGATGAAATGTTTAGGCGATCATTTGCACAGCGGTTGTCGACTAGAGCAAAAAAGAGAAAAAGATTGCGACCAAGAGAAACAGTTTGAAATAAGGTTTAGGGAAATGGAGGGATATACAGTTGACAGAGTTTACATTACATAACTGTAGCAAAGAAATCTCTAATCAACTGTAAGAAATTTTGAGAGTTATATGTTTAGACAAATGACGTGATGTTCTAACTCTTCTAGATAATATCACCGAGCTTATCATTATCCAGAAAATAGGCACCAGGTCCTCTTTTACTAGGTGACCTCGAAAATTTTTTCACTAAAATATTTACTATATGGGCATGGCATCTTATTGTGTTTGACTATTTTGAATTATTAGCACTTACATTCAATATTCATTTCCTCGAATTCAATGTGTGTCTTCTTGCCTTGTGGAACGAGCAGAGAGAAGATGCAGTTGATGTTGTTTCCATAGTTCAGTGGATAGTTGGGTGACATGACGTAACCACCTTCCTTATTGGTAGTAAACTCGCGCCCAGGACAAACACTTTCACCTCGAATATCTTGATAAAAATTATCATAAAGAGCTTTATAATTGGATTATTGGACCCCATTAAACTAAATTCGACAGTGAAGAAATCCAACAACACTTTGAGAGGGTTCTTGTCGCTGAAATTTCAACTTGGAAAGTGCAAACGACCACAGAGGAAATGCAACTTTTTTCAACTTTTTTCTTTTTTTGGTCGAAATTTTTTTAAATAGCTCACGTGCAGTGGCGCTGGTCAAGGGGTGAGGATTGGGAGCTACATTTGCAAAAATATATTTTGAATAGTGTCCATTTGTACAGTTAAAAAATTAAGTAAATATATGGTGTGATCTTTACTTGATATTGTACTGTACGTGAGCCTAAATCCAGTTGGTTTCCTGTTGCCTGCATCAGAAAAATCAGAAGTGAAAGATATTCGCACTTGATTGCCCTTCGTTGTAATGTCACTAGGTATAGTGCTACCACAGCGCGCAAGTTTATCACCGCTGATCAGATCTTCAATCTCGACCACATCATAGCACGAATTTTCATCTGAAAAGTGAGATTCGAAGTAGATTATTCAAATCTTATTACATTAAACAGCAATGTAGCATGGGCCTATAGTGATTATAATGAAAGATTCAACCGACACATTTACAATTTCGTGAAAAATAAGTACAATGTTTTGAGAAGAATGGAATGTTTTCAATCGACGTTAGTTTCAATTGACTCTAATAAGGTTGATGTCGTAATGAGTACAACATCACAAAAAGCATAGAAGAATTGCACTCAAAGATAGTTGAACATTAAATCATGAAAAGAATGATTTTTATCAAAGATAGTCACTACGTACAAAACTACAAACAATGTTTCAACATGCATGGAAGGATCTCAATCAAAGATATATATACGCATCAAGACAAGAACGATGTTTATCAAAGATGATTTCAACAGACACATACAGTTGTGTGACAAATTATCATAAATAAAACGGTTTCTAAGAAGGATTATATGTATGTATATGTAAATAACCAACTTACCTTCTTCATTTTCGAGATCCATGGCCTTAAATGAAATGACTACGGACTTTCCAAACGGTACAGAGATGACAAAAGAACATCTTTGTAATGTTGGGTAGTTGTTAGGGAAGTTTGGAGACCATACATCCCCTGATTGGCTGGTAGTGTCACGTAGATTACATATATTTTCACCTTGGATGTAGGAATAATAAGGTTAAATATAATTACCGCGTCTTATTCACATAAGGGGATGGATGTTAACTTCGGAATTATTTTTAAGGTTTAATAGCATATATATCATGCATATTTATCTTAAAATATATTTTTTGATAAAACCTTCAAAGCATATTGCAGGCTTGCATGTGATCAGACATCTGAAAATAATATATCAATGCAATCTAATGAAACAGAACAAACTTTTTTACTTTGGATTACCTTCAACGGTGGAGAAGAAAAACACCATCGACAGCAGAACTAAAATCATCGTCGTTTTAGTCTAAAAAGTTTAAAGAAAAATAAAAACCTCGCACAAAGCCTTATACCCTTATCGATATCCCAACCTATAAACTAAAAATTTAACTACTGAAAATGCTTTAGACGGAGTTCAAATAATCGACTCAAACGTCTCCACATTACAACAATAGGAATAAACGTATCGGAAAATATTTTCTAAAAAGATGCACAAATGTTCTAAAACTAGCAAAAGTATCTCTACAGCGTAATTTCGAGAACATTCATTCTAAAAGCTTTGTGTCCTATTTATACATTTGCTTTGTATGGAAAAGACGCCTGGAATAGAAAATGTTCTCATATATGAAGAAAGTCATTTCCAAATTAGCTTTCGAAGCTCATATTTCTACTCTTAAGGTTATGATATTCAGGGTCACTTTCCCACCTTCATACAACATGTCATCACCTATAACCAATTAAAGTCAATATATATAGCGCTGGGGAAAAACTATTTGGCGTCATAAAGAGAATAAAACGGTTTTTAAATACAAGCGAACTTGTAAAAAGGTCTCACGGAGACAGCATTTAATTGAAGAAGGCTTAGCATTCGACAAAGAAGGCTTTATTGAGAACTAACTTTCATATTATCAAGTAAAAGTCAACACTTAACACGATGTATAGCTTATATGAACACAAACGATACCTTATGCCAGTTATTTTGAAATGTTTTTTTGAGTTATGACCGTGAACACGCTTTCCAATCTACTGTCAGAGCTTGTAAGAAAAGGAACTTTAAACGGACCAATTACACTATCATGCAGAGAGAGTGTAAAGACAAATTGATACAAGCGAGGGCTCACATTTACAGAGCTGCTTTTCACGTTGAGTATGAGTTAGTAAACAACTATCACAGCTGCGGTTAATTGAACGAACGCCAAAGACGTACGAAAATATATCATCTCCAATGAGTCAATGACACAATACATGTGAATTCAAGATTTCTCAATTCCGGATTCATTGAAAGCGATATAATTAGCTGCATCCTGTGCGTGATAACGGCAATTAGACAAGACAATAGATGGTTCCGATATCTAGAAAATACATCACTTAAATCGACCACACACTATAGAGATCTCAAGTCGCGAGGACACTTTAACAATTAAAAGTATTTCCTCTTAATATTTTCCGTTCCTCGGAGCGAGTATACAGTCGCTTTTTACGTTCACACATTTAGCCTTAACTTCTTGCGTGAAATTTTATCTGTTCAGCGTGAAGTTTTTCGTTGGAAAATGTTCAGCTCCGACATAAAAATATTGCACAAGCATCAAATAACTCTATTTTAGTCGGTAATTTTTTTAAAATTGTTTAGAGAAAGCTTGATAATTATAAAATCTTCACAGAGAGAACTGTTTTATTTTCCTGGTATATCTCGCTAGGAGCAGAAACAAATTCATGAATATGTAATAGTAATGATAATCGTAGCTAGCTTCATAGTAATTTCAGCCAGCTTCATCGTACTTTCAAATGCACCCTATTTTTTACAAAGAAGTGTTAATGCTCCAAATAGACATTCGTCATTTATCATAAACAATACAGTTACTAAAGGCCACTCACTCACAAAGCCATTTACATTAAAATACATCCATCAACTTTGTGATATGACAACATCACTTGTGGTAGCTTTTGAGCATTTTTTCACATGCAAAGTTGATATTTTTCGCCACAGAGTAAAGGACAATGACATGATTGCATAATCATGGCAGGCGGACAAAGCCATTCAATTGTACAAAGTTGATATTGGTTCTAGAGTACTTGACATTGTTATATATCGTAGGATTCTGTATGAATTCTATTTTAGTTTGAAGTTCTTTGTTCAGATGTTATTTTTTGCTGCTTCGTGTGATAAAAATAGCTTAATAAATCAAGTCATTGAATCATAATGTCTACATTTAATTTTGCCTTCTTCGTTTAGCTGATTGATATTATGATTATTACCCATAATCTTCTAATATCGGCACTTACGCACACCATTGCAAGTAAAAGTGTAAAACTTTAATAATTTAGAGCATAATCACGGCATGGCAGATTTAAAGGATGCTTTGAATTTTGTGCCTAACATTCTATTTATTTTCGTCTCACCTTCTAAACTAACTATGTCAGTCACAAGCCCGAGATTTGACTATGCCAAAGACAGTGAGCTGATGGAATGTAGCAAATGGTTTGGTATGATTGTATGTTATAGTTTGGCACATTCCACAATATTTGGGGTTATTTTTATGAAGAAAAGCTTCATTCGAATTTAATTTTCCCAATCCCGTCAAACTTCAGAAGGATTCTCAAATGTAACGAGAAAAAGAGAAAAAAAGTTGACTGGCAGCTGCGTATTGCTGTAAAGCTTGATCTATTTTTGAAATTTTACATCAATGTACTGAATGTAGAATTTAAGAAAGAGCGGTTAATTTTGGAAACCGACTAATGGACCAGGCATTAGATCATGCTGATGTCGTGTTGCGCTCCTGCCTTGGGTAAATATTATTTTGTTTTTCGTTATGGGAGGTTTTGAAGATTCACCCCATGCAATTTCTTTCAAACTCTATGAAAGAAGTAGGTCTTGTAGTTACAATTCGATAAAAACATCACTAAGTATTAGTAAGCTAAATGTATCGTAAACAATTCTTACATCCATCAATGTCCAGGGAAATCTGAGTTCGCACGTTTGCCAAATCAAAATCTTTATAGTGAAATGGTTGATGTCGATGACAAATGTTGATTTGAATTTGTGAGAAGAAATTTAGTGCACGAGTCCTGTTATCTGGTAAATTGTATAGATCTGACTAATAAGCGGCTCCTAGACTAGACAAAAACTCTACCGTGACTCCAATAACAACAAAACTCTGGGTTGAGTATTCTAGCAACGACCTATAATCTTTTACTTGGGAAGAAAGCTATAACTTTTTACTTGAGAAATAGCTACACGCAATTTGAAGCATGTTGACATGCAAGAAGGGCTCATCAACTAATTAAAAAGTGTAAAATATCAAAAACTTCAACTGGTTTTCCTATAACTGCTCATTTAAACGCAGAAAACTTGGACGATTTGCATTTAATAAAACAGCTCTAAAGTTCAACTAAACCAACCTATAAATAAGTAATTTCAAACCGCAGCAGATGTTTTGAGTTGCCATTAATACGATACTGTCATTTGACATCTCCATTTGCAGGATAAAATTCCACAATTCAGTGTATTAAACTTGAATACAAGGCGAAATGAAATGAAGAGCGATAAACTGCTCGAATATAATAATAATCAACAGCTGCCTGCATAATATAGCAAAGGAATAAAAATTGTTTCTGTTGACTTTGAGTTTGTTCACATTGAGGGATTGCGGTTTGAAATTCAGATTTACATTTAAAAGTGTCGTGACTCATCTTTAATTGATGTGTCAAGTCTATGACAATCAAATGGAGGGATTCTATTAGATATGATTTCGTTTAGCTAAACATATTTTTTCAAAACTGTCGTATGACATGATTTCACGTTGAAAAACTCATGTATGAAATAGGGCAAGTTTGAAGTTGACAATTTGTTCAATTGTTCTTGTGTCCTTGTTTATCACTTGTGCGACGCACTAGCTAGTTTTTCACTAGCGACGCAACGCTAGTGAAAACTAGGCTTCAGTGTATATATTTGTCTCCAGTGCATTTACATCAATGCATATATTTGTTACATGTTTGTAAATTTAGATCGTCCAGGTTAGTATAGTCCTGAGAAGGACTGTTTTTGTTGCTGTTGATTGACTCTAAAGATGACTACCGCTAAGGTTGTCGAAACGTCAGTCAAGAACAACGATAAAAACAGTCCTTTTCAGGACTATACCAACCTGGACGATCTACATTTACAAACATGTAACAATACTCCCGGGTTCAAACCATTACTTTAGCATATATTTGTCTCATTTATAGCTTTTGTGTGTTACTACCTTTTCCTGCACTTACGTCAGAGTTCCTGATTTCCATACATGAGCACCTAACTTCATTGTTCCTGTCAAATCTATATAAGCTCTCATCAGCCAATCAAAAGTCGATGTTGCTCCACGTAAATCAAATTGAGCGTGGTTTGAACTTATATAAAGGTCGAATTTCCTTGATGATCGCTTAAATTCACTAAAAATACGATGAAAAGGGGATGAAATGAGCTGTAAATTTGTACGACTTTAGAAGAACGATCAGGCTTCTTTGTTAAATCGAACATTGCTGCTTTACTTTATATGTAATGAGCTTTATTTAACTAGCTTCGCCTATTTTCAACGAAGAACGGGAAAGAAGAAGACAGAATGAGAAAGGAGTCGCTGTTGTATTTGTTTCGAGCATAATCAAACCACAACAAGTGCTTTGAAAAAATATCCATAACTTTTAAAGACGTCAACCGTGACAAAAATAAACGATGATGAACTAAGTATTTTCAAAGATAATTTGACTGACTAAAATTCAGCAAAGGACGTGAAGTTCTTGCAAAAATATTGTTAACGAGTGTAACTCATGTTTGTATCATACTAAACTTTTGTACTTTTCAGTATTTCATCTAGATAACTCAAAACTGAGTTCACCCGGATTTATGAAGCATCTTGGATAGAAAATGTTTGTCTGTCGTTTGGATTCCTTGCGGAATACAGTTTCTCGTGCATATGACAGTGAAGGGCCTCACTGTTGTGTGTACGGTCGGCTGTATTCACTTTGAATTCGTTCTAAAGCAAACATTCTAACATAATGGGACAATCTGGTGTCGTTGAAGCTGCTGAGCTTCTTCCGATTACGGCAGAGGACTTGTTGTAATTTGTGATTCTGTCTCCAAAATTCATCGAAAGATATGTGGTAGAGAACTCTTCTGAATTGGATTTTATGGCTTGGTTGTGGAATATTCATATTTTGTTGTATTTGGATCAACAGAAGACGGCTCACATGGCAGTATATACAAATATATGTGGTATAACTGCTGTACAGAATGATGGTTATTAACGTTTTAATACGGACAGGAACAATTAAAGAACACCAAAGCAATGGTGAAACAAACTTATGGCGAGACGTTATGTTTTAAACGATTAACTACTAGGAGACGAGGTTTACTGCATTTTTCACAATAGCTGTGATACGGACAGTGACAATGTGTACTCAGTAATCAAAATTACAGCAAAAGTTTTAGTTCTGTTTAATAAATTTGAAGGAAAGGGATTTGTAGTAGGAACATCAGTTTAAGAAGCACGAGATTATTTTTATAGGTGGCGTACAACCATTCCACAAGGAGTCGAAGGACAAACGGATTATTGCCATGTTTTTGAAATTTGAATTGTAAACAACCAAGATGGCGGCCGTGACGCAACAAGCTACACACCAATAGTGTCAAATTTTACGGGATTCCCTGTATTATAACCAATTATAACCCTGACGCCAATAAATTTTGACCAAACTAAAAAATACAATCGAAAGCCATATTACGCGCTTTGTTCATCCCTCTCAAAATACCCGACCGTTGTAGGCATGCAGTAAAACTTGCCTATGATTCAACAACTTCTTAAGAAAACAAGATAATAGATAATGCCATAATTGATCTGAACATGTAGAATGGTTGGAAAGATATTTTTAATTTTGACAACCAAATTAATATAAATGTTTAATAGTTTTTAATTTTTTTTTCTGTTATTCGGAACTTGCCCCAAATTTAGCGTAATTTAATCGTCATGACGTCGTCTAAAAAAGAACTCAAAATGTTCATTGAGTTCTATTGAAGTATTCCTTTTGTTTGAGATACTAACCTATTCAATATGTCACTGGGAACTCTGGACAAGGTATTATTGAGAATTTCCGCTTGATCATTATTAATTACGCTTTCCTCTTTCAAACTATAAATAGCTGAGGCTAGGCTGTCAACCCTATCGTGCAACCTACAATTTACAAGCCAGCGTGTCATCAGCTTAATTTTCATTGATTCAGCTTTATCAATGCCTTCCTCCAATTGGCGAATTAATTTACGAGGAGATTTATAAATGTAGGTACAATCCATTGAGTTTTATAATAACTTGAGCTGCCATCTAATGGCTTATGGTGGATTTGGTCCTCTGCGGCTGAGATTTACCGAAAATGACTGCTTTTCCGAAAATTTCATAATTTTATACTCTCCCCTTATGAAAGAGCGAGGAAAAAGGTGTGTATTTGGCATTAGACAAGCAATTGTATGATAAAACTCGAGGTAAGAACCTAAAATTCATAACAACGAGTCAAATTTGGTTGCCAATTATCGGATCCTACGAGAATGCTCGAGTGCTTGTTATAACTATCGAGAACTCAATGGTATGATTGGGAATGATAAAATAAAGCATAGTTAGAAAGACTTACCTGATTATTATTTTCTTCATTGGCTTCAGTCTGAGTCAAGCCAACTGATATATTTTTCAAATCTTGAGTGAAGACTAGACTTTATATTCTCTGCACCTGTGACTTCCTCTGTTAAAATAGATGATTCAGTATATGCTTCATTGCAAGGAAGGCTTACTGACATTTTACATTACATCATAAGAATAGTTAAAGACCTTCACCATCATCAAATTCATTCTTTTAATCATTTTAGTCAGTAAAGAAGGAATTCGGTTTTGATGTACAAGTTTAAAGGTTATTTTATCTTATTGCACATACAACAAAAGTTTTGAAAATTGTTGGAAATGCATTACAGCACTTTGCCACCAAACCTTTGTTTGACACTTTTCGCAAAATGGTCTGTGCAGACTCCGCTCGTGTTATCTGGGGTGAACTTAGCAGCAGTGGGTAAATTCTCCCTAATATTCTTACCCACTGTTGAAACAAGGCTGGCTTCCTAGCTACATTTGGGAAACTAAATAGTATTCAAATTAGTACCATTGAACTTAAAATAGTATATATGGACGTTATACAAACGATAACAAAGCAAAATTTTGAAATATAGGGAACGAAAGATGTTTTTTACTTACAGGTGAAATGTTATGTTTTGCTCATTTTGGTTGTTACGGCACCCGAGTACTGCACAGTATTTGGGCATTTCTAAAATACAAAATAAAATAAATGAGCAAAAGATTGCTTTGTAAAATAATGTTTCGTCAATAGACGTCGGAGTTTTTGAACATGAAATTCAAAATAAATACCGGAAGGCGGGAAAAGTTTTCAAAGTATGAGCCTGTGCAACTCTTCTGACATTTTCGTCCAAAATTTTTTGCCATATTTTTTCATCCAAGTCGCTGGATAGAGGTCAGTGGAAAAATTACGTAACGTTTAGTGACGTTGCCAAAAGTGTCATGGCGTTCTTCCACCTTCGTCCACTGTCTTCGACTCTTCGACATGTCCTTACAATAAAGTTTCATAATGAATGAGATGGCAAGTAAGCTTACATCAAAGCTAAGGCCACACCAAAGTCGTTTACAATTGGTTGAAAGGTTTAAATTATTCCCTCATCAAAGAAAAGCTAAACAGAGATATCTTTTGGATAGTGGTGTTGCGAACGTCATTGCATCGAAATTGGGAATTGCCAACACGTTGGTGTATGAATGTAATCCTGGAGCGGGGGTGCTCTCGCGTGCGTTGCTAGAACATGGTGCTTCTCAGGTTGTCGGACTAGAACACAACCGAAAATTCTTGCCTTGTTTGGAGGATCTGGAACAAGATTCCTGTGGTAGGTTCGTAGTTGCGTATGCCGACATGGGAAAGCTTGATGTGACAGGTCCAGGGATACCTCCAGCCATTCACTCTCACGATCTCTTGAATGGTGTTGAGAAAATACCTTGGGAGGATGATCGCCTGCTTGCCAAATTGGTTGGCATTGAGAAAGAAAAAACTGCCCCAGCAAATTTAATGAACCTTCTCTTGCATATGCTTCGGTGCAGTGGGTTTTTCAGCAAGGGACGGATTGAAGTGTCATTATTGTTTACTGAGGATCGTGCAAAGAAACTCCTTGCACAGCCCGGTGATAAAATGTATAACAGACTAGCTATTCTCGCATCTATGCTTTGTGATGTTGAACTACTTCATGTTGAATCAAATGTTAGTTTTGATCCATTGCCTGTGAAAGGATACTCGGATCCAGTACCTCAGATGCATTTGATAAGTTTGAGACCAAAATCGGATTTCAAGTTACAGGTTCCTGCACATTGTATTTTGTTGGTACCAAAATTTCTGAAGTTGTTAACTTTGAAGACAAGTCATCCCCTTACTAGAGCACTTGAGAACATTTCACCTGGAGCAAGCCTACTTTTGAGGGAAATGGGCCTGCCAGAAGTACCAAACCATTGGATCTTCATCCTCATCAGTTCAAATTGCTCTTTGAGTTGTTTTTTAATTGGGAAGACTGTATGTTAGATTTCTTAATTGATTAGACTAAAAGAAATTGCACAGTTTGTAAATTTATTTATTGAATGAGTTGTTATTGTATTATGCAACAATACATTAAATTGCTACCTTATATTAATAACTTGCTGTCCAGATTTGACATATTTTTTACAAGTTGAACTTTGATGTATGATTTTGACGGATGAAAGTTAGCCGAGTAAACTGCAATTTGAAAATGGCGGACAACGAGCACTTCAGGTAAAGAGCAAAATACATAAAACTCGTGACATTTTTCTGTTATGAGAAACCGTAAATTTCCATATGAATAATGAATCGAAATATATGTAACCTTTCCTCTACTCTTTCCTCTACTATTCCAGGGAGCAGGAGGAAAGTAGGAGAAATTTTGAGGTCTGAGTTTCAGAGTTTGTTTGAGGACACTGAAGTGTGCTCTATAATAAGTCGTGCGCTGATTATGTTACCAATTTTCACTATAGGAGGATAAAAATAGAGATATGGAATTGGAAGAAGACTCCGGTTTTCGCTTTAAAAGGAGAGTCAAAAAGAAAACACCGAATTCAGAAGAACAGGTACGAAGATTGAAGACCTTTGCTTATTATTAAGAGATTTATTCAAATCATTGCAAGACAAATACACTGTTTGCATTGAGTTCATAAACAGTGTTTTTGTTGTCGTTGTTGAAGCAGCTTGAAAAAGTTAGTATTTGCTTTTTGCTCAAAACAAATGAAATTCTAGCAAGTGCGTACATTTAATTTTGCAGACTGAGCACGGTGAAAATGTTGAAAAATGTGCTACAAGTAAAATATCAACGAAGAGGAGACGATCTAGTTTCATACCTGGAAGGAAAGTTGTCTCACCATTGGAATATTGTCATTCAACAAGCATTACAGATTTTCAAGGTTTGTATGACATGCAGAAAGAAATATGAGACAACTTCTTTACCACAGGCAGTGGGAGATTGACAATTAGGGGCGCTATGTTTATATATTTATACTGTATTGTTTGTATTCATAGATAATTTGAATAGAAATTAAACAAAAAACAAGCATATATGAAGATTACCTCCCCTTCCTCCTCGTTTACAAATGTTCCACTACCTTGTTCTTCAATTGTCGTGGAATGCTTTTGCTATAGCTTTGCTTCTGCCTTGGTAAAATATTCTCATAGCATTACATTCTCATAGTATTCTCATTTAAAATATTCTCATCGTCTTACAATATTTGATTATTTTGCATCAAAACACTTTATAGTAAGCCAAGTTGTTCATGGCTTCAAGCACTTGAGAGATTTTGTTGTTTTGCAGGTTTATACAAGGAAATTCCATCCAACCTTAAAGAGGAAGAAAGGCTTCTTCAGTTGTTTGATAAGAGCCTAGATGTGAGTGTGCATAAATAAACATTAGTTTGCAAGGGTCTCTTTTTGGGGACTTGATGAGGATTTAACCTTTCCTCCCCTCTCCCCCCCTCCCCTCAACCTCAATAATTTGGAAGAAAAGACAGCAAGTTGCTTTGCCTGAAAACAGAAACTACAGATTGGCAATCATAACATGTCACACCGCACATTCTAAATGTTGCAATAACCAGTTGCCAATATAAATTAATATCTATAAAACCAATGAGATCTTTCATTTTGTACTTGCTCACAGATCATGGTGTTTGGCTCTCCAAACTTTTGGTGTGCTTCATGAACCAAATCCTAACTTACTAATCATAACAATACTGACCCTTCGTACAAGTTTGGATGATCTGCATATTTGCACCCTGTAATGTAGTTGCACGAATCATGGAGCACAGACATGTTTTTGTCACTGATATTCTAATTCTTAGTGTTGAATGTATTTTTAAGCTTATGTGCATCAACATCAAAAGCAAAGGTGCTTCCAATATTTCAGATTTCGAAGAGAGAGGTAAGAATCTTGATGTTCCTATCACAAGATTTGTAATGAATATTTTATGAAAAAGTTATATATTGTTCACTAAATTATGAATTGTTTAACATTTAGTTGAGGAGTATGTGAAGAATCTACGGGCAAAATTGAGCGAGAAGATAAATTTGGCCAAAATTGCAGCAGAGTTAAATAACACAAGCAATGAGAGGTAATTTTAAGCTTAAAATTAAAATTCAATCATAGAATATTTTTGATACTTCGAGAATAAAGCTGGCATGAATGTAGTGCATTTAATTTTTTTTGTGCTTTTTCCAATATTGATATATCCCCTTGATTTTTGTCTTCATTAAATCAGGCATCAAAGGTGAAAGGCCTCCCATTAGCGTCGTCATTAGCAAAAATTGTGGCAGCTATGTCAATTTTACTCACTGACGTTGCTATGTAATTCAATTGCCCAGTCAAACTTTTATACTGCTCAATCTAAAAATGCTCGGGACTTTCATAATGATAATAAGCCATTGCATGGCGATGTTTGGAAGAAGTCAAAATGCCACCAAATCTCATTTAGCTTATAACGATTAAGATGCTAGACATTCGTAATGGCTGCCTTAAGCACGTGCAGTTAATAAACGAACCTTTAAATCTATTTGGAAAACCAATTCTTAGATATTACAAGCAATATGCTTGGGTATATACAGCAGGCGGGTTCTAGTTTGCTCTCGTGAGACCATTAACTAGTTATTGTATCCAGTGATTGTATCTAATTTAAAAGTCCCTTTACATTTCAGAGTTACCGCTCCAAATGCTAAGGCCATAAGACTCGAAGAGTATGCAAAGAAAAGCGAGGAAACAATGAAAAGGTTTGTTTTAACTTTCATTAAACTATTTGAGAGAAAAGTAACTGCTGTTTTAAGTTTACTGGTTTACATGAGATGGACTGCACGGAACAGCTCAATGCGCATGCAGGAATATAATTTCGAAGCACTATTTCTTCCATGCTGATTGTACTAGTTAATGGCTGCATCTTTGCAGTACCTATGGTGAGGCTGTATTGACTTATATACATTATACAGCAAGTCCGATTTGTCGATGATAGTTAACTGTAGCTGACTGTAACGAAGGCGAAGCCTTTGTTTACCATTTGATTATAGAAGTTGACGACATCAAGTTGGAAAACATTTATCTGTCTATCTTTTTCATTTGCACCCAGCAACATGCCATGACTGTTCATATCTTCGAATACGTTGTCCATAAGGACTAGAGAATACTCGAGTAGCCAATCATAGCCGTGCAGAAATCATTCTATCATCTGTTTTGCATAAACACCGCAGTTTCTGTTATAATCATAAAGAATGCTGCCGTCACCGTAGACAAAAGTTTTCTGTTTATGTTTTTGCGGTTACGCTGTTTATTTCGTATGCCTGGTTGAATTTTGCTTTGTTGTGATATTTGGAATGCATTTGTTTTGGTTTGATGGAAAATATGGAGTTGAGCTTAGCACCTTTTCCAGTCGTTTGCATGTATTGCATCCTTTGGTCATTTTATCACTTTTAGAATGACTGTAGAAAGTCAAGCATGGGAGGATCTTCTTGAGAGTTATCGCCATGAAGAAAAAGAAACTTTGATGTAAGTTGTACATTTTGCCCAGTGTCAAATTTGCTAGCTACTCTAGTCCACTGATCTAAAGTTGAATCTTGATTCCATGTGTATTACAACCTAGTGTCTCTATCAGGAGTGATTTGATGTTGGAACTTATGTCTATTTTATCACGGTTTCACTCCAGTCTGGTGACTTTGAGTATTAATTTCATGCTGATAGACATGTGTCAAGTGTTTCCCTTGTCAAATTTCCCGTGCAATCACTTCATTAGGCTAATTTTCAGAGTTTAAGTAAACATATTATGGTTTTGTGTGTTAGTGACGTGAAGAATTCTTACAACAAGATAACAAAAGAGTGTTTATCTAAAGAAAAGCAGGAATTTCTTAACAGTTTACATTTGAGAGATGGCTTTCTTGATGATCTACGTAAAGCAAAAGATGAGGCTATTCTTCTGGTAATTTTTGATTGTTTCAAAAAATAGGTGGTTTTACTAGAATACAAAGATACTATCATTTACGTTCAAGCGTTGAGTGCGAGAGGTTTTTCACGATGTTTCCGTGTCTAAAACATGACGTTTCCTTTGCCTTTTACTGCATGTTTTAGGCGTGGAATTTGCACCTTTTAAGAAAATATGTCAACGTTTGACAAGCCCATTAAACAAATTTTCCCTGGAAAAAAAACGCCTTTGCATGTTTGTGTAACACGTTTATTGTGTGTGTAACACTTTTGCACTTTTCGGAGACAATGTCCATCCGTAGAGAAAATTTATTTTGGAGAAAAGGTTCAAACGATCCAAAAATATGTACTTGTGTAACTTTGTATACAAATGATCGCTGAGACAGTTGTGAAGTTATTGAAGGAGTTGACACCAAAAACGTATCTTGTGTAACTTGTGTAACACAAGATACGTTACACAAGTTGTACAAAGTTACACAAGTTGTACTTCCCCATCTGGGAAGCAACGCAGAAATTCATCAGTAACGTCAACAGTAAAAAAAGCTTCACTGTGGTTGAACCAGGTTGAACACTTTAACAGCGCGGTAGACTGCAGTGTATGTGTGCCTACGGGAACGAACTGCGTGATTCTGTCGGCTCCGCGAAAAAAATTTCATCGATTATCTTTGATTTCATGTCGCAAGACAGTGCGACACCAGACTTGAATGAATGACCTTCGCGATTAATCTCCATTATAGCTGCAATAACTAATAAAACTCCTTGCAAATTTATACGGATGGACATTGTTATCAAAAAAAAATGTATAAGTAAAAATAAACGTGTTACGAAAACATGCAAAGCTGTTGCTTCTTCAAGGAAAACATGTTTATTGACATATAACATAAAACTTGTCAAACGTTGACATATTTTCTTAAAAGGTGCAAATTCCACACCTAAAACATGCAGTAAACGACAAGGAAACGTCATGTTTTAGACACGGGAACATCGTGAAAAATTTCGCGCACTCAACGCTTGAACGTAAATGATAGTAAATAGACAGTCCAGCTTCAAACAGTTCTCTCACAAAATCCTAATGTTTTTAGACGGAGAAAATTGTTAAAAACGTATCGACGGTGAAGCATTTCAAGGATGTTTTGACAAACTACCTTGAGAAGTATTCCAATGATTTTATGGGTTCGTATCACTTGCTACATAACCTCATAGACATTCACTCGGTTAAAATGTTTATTTGCCATTGTAAGCAATATTTACATAGTTTTCTTTTTCCACAAACAGTAATCTCAAAGCCATTTCAAATTACTGTTAATTGCACTGTTCTTCGGTGCTCTCTCCTCTAATTTGTCACATTTTTTTGTGAAGTAGCTACGTAATCACCCCAAAAATCTACCACCGCCAATGTGTAATTTTATTTCCTATCAATCATGATGTTTGTCCGAAGACTTGAAGTCTTCAAGTGATTAACGATTGCGCATGCGTTTTCAGCATTACCTAGTCAACTAAACGATGGCGATACCCCACGTCGCTTAATACTTGGTGTAACCAAAGATTCAACCCAACCCACCTAAATGCTTTGGAAACGGTACGAACAACTGTTTGCGACTTTTGTTGTAAAGATTTGTGTGTTCGACTCGAACAGCAGTTGGATTAATATATTAATATGCAGTAATGCCCACGTGGAGTTATTGGTAGCCAGGAGTGAATGTTTCACCACAGCTTTTACACGATGTATATGATGACGTCATTGTGTGGTCTCGTTTGTATCGTCATACGTCAACGGTAGTCATTCGTTCACGAGTATGTCATTGTCGGGTACATATCAGCATACAGCTAAAAGATGATAGCAAATACATGTTAAGAACTTTGTATGGCCGAACGTTTTATTGCAGGAAGTTCCCTACAATGAACCGAAAGCCAGAAAAAGATATGGTGTTTCAGGCTCACAATGTATCACAATAATTTACCGAAAATTACATATCATGGGCAGGTTGTACGAAGCCTGAATAGCGTTATCCATTGGATAGCAATTTTTTTGAACGTTCATAAAATCTCTTGTAAGAGAAAAATATACGATTTGAACTGTGCAATCACTGAAATGAAATATTGTTTCGAAGATAACAACAATATTTCTTTGCCGTAAGTAAAATATAAGCACCATTTTTTACAAGTTTGAATATTTTCGCTATCCAATGGATAACGCTCTCCAGGTGTCGTGAAACTGACCCGAGGACTAAATCGTGAGGTCTGGCAACGCTGCTGACTATCAATCAATGTACCAAAACGTAGCAAACGAAAAGCGACCTTTCGCTACTTTAATGTGCGTATAATTTTATTTGATAAGATTTAATATATTATTTCATCTGCATATTACATATATCAGCATCAAGGAAAATGCGATGTATGTTTTACGTGCATCCTACGTCGCTTCAACATGTACATGTACAGTAAAGCTAAAATGAAGACGCCTGCTCCGTAGACAACAACGCATAGACTCGAATCAAAGTAGGTCAAACCCAAGTCAACAACTTGTGTTATTCTTGTGCTTACTCTGTCTGCGTCTGCTCTACTACTTTCAGCGGTCTTTGCCAGCCTTATGTTGTTTACGCCATAGTGTGCTCTAAGGTAATTCAATACAACGTCATCCTTCCATGTACTCGGACTATCTAACCATATATTCTTGCGGTTCGAGTACTCCGATGCACATTCCTGGCATAAATATTTCGGTGGATAGGCTTGTTTGGGAAAGTGTGGATCCGAACTAGGTTCTTTACTCAATCGCTTGTTCACTTTGTTGTGTGCACGCCAAAGCCAAAGAATAGCCTCGTTGTGAGTCTGCACTTCGTTTTCGACATTTTTCGACATATCATAGAAGTGTTTTGAGCATTCTAGACAGCCAAAAAAGCTCTTCACATAACCGCGTATTGCAGTCAGTACATCGGCACCTGTGAGGCTCTTCACATTACGATTTGCGCAGTTCACGGTGAGGGTATGGAACAGTAGCCATAGGCTACATGGATAACCGCGGTACTGAGGCCTACTTCCACGGCATGCTCTCCACTCCACCTTTTCTGGTAATGATATATTTTCAGCCTGGAAAATAAAGGGGGAAAATACTTCTAAAACTTAGCTATTATATTTAAAATGCTGAAGAATTTTTTAAGTCTCTTGCACATATTATTTTCCTCTCAGTTAGCAAATGCCATGGGCTTTGTAAGCTTATGATTTTTGCTCAAAATGTGATCACGTTCAACTTGTAATGAAACTCGTTCATATTTGTTTGTTTTATTCGGTTTTGTACTTTCATTACATCATTTCAAAGTGAAAGATCTATTTATTGATTTGAAAAATTGTTTCACCAGAAAATCATAAACGTTCAAACAAAAAGCTAAATGTTCTTCCTATGGGACACCTGACACTCACTGTAAGAGGTCCGAATACCCTGACATCCGTGACTTTCTAAAGTGCCTGGAAACTGCGCTACATGTAGAAACTGAAGGGTTTACTCTAGTTTAGTATAGAAAAGGGACGAAACTAGATCGTTAAGTAGGGGTTGGGGTTGGTGAATATTCATACATTCAGCTCTGCCCTGCTGATTTCTTTTGAAATTATAGTCGCTAACAAAACAAATCAGTCAAGCAGTTATGAAGATATTAATATACACCCCTCTCACTTAACGTTTTAGTTTCGCCCATTGGTGCACTTCTTGGCCATTGAAACATTTCTCTTGATGATTAAATTAATTGCATAAATCAACAAGCATAACCGCACTTTATAGAATTAACACGTTAAAATTAGTTTCCATAATTTCGTAAAAGCACTATTGCTAATGCGCATTTAATATGCACGACAATTTTTTAAAATAGACATGTTTCGACATCTCATGATGCCATCTTCAGTATGAGTGAGATAATAAGTGATACAAGGTTTATATAAAAGTAATAAACATAAATTACAACAATAAAAAGGAATAAAGTAAATGGTTTGAACCCGAGAAAATCGTTACATTTACAAACATGTAATATACATACTGAAGATGGCATCATGAGATGTCGAAACATGTCTATTTAAAAAAAAGTTGTCGTGTATATTAAAATTAGTTGCTACCAAAACTAGTGCACTCTTTATATAAGAACCAAATTAATAAGAACATTGAGGTTGATATTTTCCAAATAACTCGGAGTTTTACACTTAGATTTAGCTACTTTAAGGCAGAAACTAATCTCAAAAATAATCCTAAACCTAATCTTGCGTGAAGACATAAAGGTATTAGGTATGTACATTATGGTAATATACATCGCGAAGAACTGCATGATGAGAGCCAGACTCAAAACATTTTGAGCCTTATTAAATTTGTGGTGGTTCTTACAAAAAAATAGTGAAGTTCGATTTTGCTGCATCTTCTAAATACACTATTTCACGATATGATCAGACAGAGAAAAATAACAATACAGCAAACGGACTTAGGTGAGAAATTAATGTAGCTATCATTGAAATACTATATCACATTCGCTTCATGACTGCTAAAGCGTGAAACACAGGTAGCAATTATAGTGATATATCATATAATTATATTATTACTTCGCTCAATTGTTTTAGATATGAGCTGTCAATTCTTTCAGTATCTTTAATAAAGTTACTGCAATATTACATACAGATAATGCAGAGCAACTTTACCTTGTACATATTATAAAACAATCTCATTGCAGAAGGTCTGAGAGGTCTGTCAACATCTTGGAGCTTTGGTTGGAGCCATTTGTGTAGTTCTTGAAGAAACTTATTTATTCTCGGGCGACCTGGAAAACACTGAAGGACAGCCATTGGTTGATATGTTAAAGCATAGGAGAAAATCCACAAAGGTAGAATGATTAAATTACTTGAATGAGCAAATTTACAAAGCGCTCGAGGTGTTCTTTATGAAGGCTCTTCTTAATGACAATTTCTCTTGTAAATATGAATGTTAAAGCACTCTCAAGGTCTTGCATGTTTACATCAAGCCTACAGAAAATGTTTAAAAATTCATGGTCAAATTGTATAAGTTCATACATTGAATAACCAAAGCTGTTTACAAAGCTCCATTCCTTTCTGGCCTCTTCTCAAGCTCAGCTGCCACACTCAACCACTTTTGTATACTGTTGAGGTAAAAGGCTGGTTACCCGCCACCTGTAAAGATTAACTCATACTTACCCATCTTTATTTTTCTGAGGTATTGGTGCATCATTTTTATGCAGGTCTTGAAAATGTAAGTTCGTCGATTGTATGGATTTGGATGGTCGTAAATTTATTGTAGTCAAATCATATCTCTTCAGCTCTAAAAGAATTTTTGGCCGGGTTTGCAAACTCCTGAAAAAAATAAAGTGAACATGAATTTGAAGACATGAATAGAAATACAATTCACAAGTTTTTGTTTTTCATATGGTGTCTGCCATTGTGAAAGTATCATAAATAGGAGCTTTGATGACATATTGATTCTTACTTTAAGTGTACGTAGTTGCCATTTTTTTCTATCAAAACAACCTGAGGTAGCTTTCTTACTCCGTATTTGCCCATTCTGTACACCTTAAAAGAGACTTGTTTTCAATAAGAATGTAAATCAGTCAGTCAAATCTCAATAATAATGAAGGCAAACATGAAATGTTCACAATGTTTGCCATACCATTTGTTATAAAATTTCCCCATGCCTTTATGAATTCATTTTCATCAAGCTACTTACATCATCCACGATTCTTTTCACTGAGATATTGTGATTGCTCATTAAATCTAACATTAGCTAAAAAAAGGGAAATAAATGCTTAGGAAAAATACTGAAAAAAACAGTATGAAAAGAGGCAGGTGAAGCATCAAGAGCAGCAGAAAATTGATAATTGGTGGGGAGGGAGGGAGCTGTATTCATATATTAATTTTGGATAACCTGCAATCACAATTGATTTCAATAGAAACTATCTCAAAACAGTAGGACATGAGTGTGTATAATAAGCTTATCGATCTTCCACTCATATAAAATACATGAAAAGGCAACAGTTTGCAAGTACCTCTTTTCCAAGATAAGATGCCTTTTTCTCAAACACAAGAAGTAATGGTTTGGATACAAAAGGATTTTTCTCAAATGGCATTTCAGTAACTTTACGGCTAAAATACATTAATTAGCTGGTTATCAAATTATCATCAATTGTATCAAAATTACAACATAATGGATACAATTCAAATTTGTATTTCAAAATTTAATTGCAAACCTTAATGGTGAAAAGTCAAGTTTAAAATTTGAATTTCCTTCAATGTTTAAGAAATCAACCATTGCTTGCTGTAAATGCACAGGTTTTCGCTTTCCTAAATAGTAAAATAGCCATGTCAGACAACAGATGTACAGTGCTTAGCAGAAACTTACGAGTCAAATGTAAATTAGAAATTTTGAAAAGAGAGGCTCAATGGATAATTTATTTAAATAACTCAACTCCATAAATACTTATAAAGTAAGTCAATTTGTAGTTTTTAAAAATTAATATGTTGGAGGAGGAGGGGGGGGAGAGGGTAGTGTATGCAACTAACTGCAGCTGATACTACGTACTGGTATTTTCTTATCAAATTAAATTCTTACCATAGTAAACTTTTCCAAGATCTGTTAAATTGGTGGTAAATGCTTTAAAAAACTATAAACACAATTCTATTAGTTAAGAAAATGTGGTGACAAAACTATGGCAACATATTGACATGTAATCTTTAATACTTACTTTAAGAGTGGGATAACCCTGTATGTTAAAATGTTCGCATGTTCTAGTGTTTCTAGCTTCAGCACAGTCAATGGCTGCCACTTTAATAATATGATTCCATCCTAATAAATAGATTTTATACTTATACATACATACATATCCTACTTTCATATTAGTTTATGTTCAACTATTCAAAGGTTATACAAAATTCAAAGCTTAAAATAGCATTAAATGCTTCAGTTAATTGAAAGGAATATCATAAGTCAATGTTCTGTACCATGACAACTGAGTATCAAAGCTAGTATTTAAAAACAGTTAAGTTGAGAAGATACTATAAAAATGAGATTATAGAGAAAATGGCATTACGTAAGGTAGGCATACAGGTAAAAGCTAGAAAGGTACCAATGCAGTAGGTTATTGCTGATGTAGGCAAGAAATCAAGGTTTGCTTTGTATATGTGCTTGCTTTTGTTGTTGGGCAGTGAATAAATTATTAAACACATCCACTGATCATTGCCTCCTGAGTCTTGTTATATAAACTTTTATGTTTATACTGACTGCGAAAACAACATATTTATAAAATAATGGTTTATTATGGTTTTATCAAATTTCATTGCAAATTTGTGTTGTGGCCTTGTGGGGATTGGGCAACGTGTAGTTAAACAATTTGACGTATTTAAAACAAGGTGATAAGCAAATGTAGCTCATCATGATTAATTTTGGTTAAGACTTGAGGAATGGCAACTGGATGCAAAGCATTAGGAAGACCTAGCAAAATTCAAGGATAAAAACTCAGCGTAATTATCTCGGAAATAACAGTATATAATAGACATGTTACTGAATCACTTATTCCCTGAACAGTAGTAGTTATTGACTCATGGATTAAACATCATTGTCACTTATTTCTGTTATATTTAATTTTCCTTGAAAGCACGAAGCCGGGCATCGATAATTCAGATAATATTCAATAGTTAATCTTGAAATAACAGACAACGATGCGGTTAAACAATTCATCATCGTTAATCTTGTAATTCTTACATTATCATTGTATGATCTCACACCAAAACAATTTTTAAAAACTTTATCGACATGGATCGTCAAAAGGGAGAATTTCTAATCAGACTTTGAGACTTTAGACTCCAGTTCACATTAGTCTAAGATTATGACTACCTTCCACTCGCTCGGCGAGATTTATCCAATCCGGCGCAAAAGCTTGACAGTGCCCGCACCAACTGGAATAAAACTCTACAAACCAGGCATATTTACTATTGTATATCGCACTTGATATCGTATCATTTTCTAAAAGAACTATTTTGTCCATCGGTCCATACAAAGGAGTTCCATAAACTGTTAAAAAACCGCAGTAAATACACATAAAAGCAGCTGCTAGACGTAGCCAATTCATCGTCATTGTACAACTTTTAAGCAATTTATAAGTTCAGCGTTCGTTCGGCGGTCCTTTTAGTTTCCATATTCTTTCCTTTGATTCTACAACATACTTAATTTCTTCGCCATCAAAGTCATAATAACTACATCTGTCCGATAATTCAAAAGAAGTTCATATTTTGGACCCTTTCTCTAAATAAAAAGCATTGTTTTTAGATGCCTGTCAAACAGTCATAGAAAATAAATATTTAATACATAATAATAATATCGCATCTTGCATCCGGTTTCGTAGACCAATCAGGTTTCATTTAAAGTATATCCTCATTTTCAGGGAAGAGAAGGGAAGAAAAATTAACACATTTGCTTCAAATTTATTTATTTTGCATTATTGTTACTTTCTAAAAAAAATAAACGATGTGTTTCGTATTTACTAATGTTTATACAAAGGAATTTACAAAAAAGGAATACCCAAATTCCGTGTACGTTTGTATCTTATCACATAAACAACACCAAAACATTGCAAATGACAAATAAAGAGAAAGAGCTAATGATGTCTCAACAGGTACATGCATGTCAAACTGTGAGCAAAACAGATAGCCTCAATGCAAAAGTGGGATACGAATTGTTGGTTTTACTGTTGAAATGTAAAAGCCACTGGCGACGCCAAGGCTGAGGGCTTTTCACGCGTTCAAGACAACAAAGGAAGTTGGAAGAGATATGACGCAAATGCAAATGACTTGACCAGTAATCGCTTACAACGTGCCTGTGTAAAAGCTGATGTTCTCAAATCGTATCAATGGGTTTAAAGTTTAGGGAAAAAAAAGAGATCCTTGCAACGAGAAAGCGCACACCTCAATAACGAAACTTGGAAACTCGTTCATTAACCTTAATGTCTTTAAAATAGAGTCGAAGATTTAGAGTTAATTTTGCGTCTCTTGTTAAAATTCAACTTTTGTATTTCAAATTGCTCTGTTATATGGGATCTGCTTCTTCGTATAAGTTATACTTAGAAACTTTGTTTTGAACAAAAGTTATTCTGTGGTTTTCTTGCCTGCTCTTTTCAATCCACTTCAATCTTCCAACATCTTTAATTTTACTTGTTTGAAAATCATCCATTAAAATATCTAAGAAGATGCGAAAAATCTTTTGCTGTTTTGTGTGACCTATGATACCCCCTTTACTATGGGCATCGATTTAATTTCTCGTCATAAATCGTATTTTGGTTTGAGCACTAATACAATATAAAACGTGAATTCTTATCTATCGAAAGTCATATAAGCATTGTTGTAGCATACTCGATAATTGGGGGGAACACAATCATAAAAGAACATGTTCTAACGTATTAAGTTTATTTGAAATCCATTGTTTTCTACTTAGTAAGACATGTATATATGAATTTGTGACAAAACTCCCCTTTTGACCAACTCATCCATTTAACGAGCTTGCTACTCCACTGCATCTGAGATTAGTATTTTTTCCAACTGTTTGGAATTTATTTACTTTCACATTAGTTTACCAGCAGTAATGGTTCTTGGAGTTCAGATGTTGCATTACACTGGATGAGAAATCGAGTGGGAAACTATGGATTGTTTGATTGTTAGTAAAAGGGAGGTACATTGACGATGTACCTATTGATTTGATACTATTTGCTTTTGAAAATTCAATGATAAAATAGTGGCGGACGATTAAGTCGAGTCAAATTGTTGAAGCTTTTTTTTTTGATTATTAAAATTCCAAGCACCTTCTTTTTCTGTTTTGAATTTTTTTACTAACGTTGGATTTGCCACTGATGATGAAGATTTAATAACCATGCAATAAATGCAATGATTTTGGCCGGCAAACTCTTATTTTCCCGCCTGTTAAACAGATTTCAAAAGGTTGATGGCAGATTTCACAGGAAGTTATTTAATATTGAATATGAAAATTTGTTACATTAACCTATAATATGTAACGGTAAATGCGCGAGCGCTGGCTGCAAGATTTGAACGCTGCCATAGAAGTAGATATACTCGGCTCATGAAATTGCTATAAGGTCAAACCATTGTTCACATGCTTTATAGCTTCCTTCCTTATTAGGTGGCAGGACTAACGACAAATAATTCTCTCTCTGCAATTTTAAGTTTATTGTAGCTGCTCCAACGGGGGCAGCAGATATTGAAAAAGATTAGTTAAAGTCGTTTTCTTTTTCTCCAGCAGACAACAGTCAACTGATCAAAACATAATTTAATTAATAAGGTTGTGGAGCGAACTTGTTTTCGCTTAATACACCATAAATGTATTTTGTACTTAAATTTAAGGTTGATCAAATTTGGAACTGGCCATTTCATAAATAGCAGAATAAAATCTTAACGTTAACATAGAATGAACTATGTACAAAAGAGGTATGTCCATTTAACATCCTGTATCAGTTCAAGGCCGTGGTACACAACAGTTCCGTGGAAATGGACAACTGAAGCGTCCCTTTAAAAATTCTGACTTTTCACAATTTTCTCTGCAGTTCCCATTTTGATCTGAACATTGTCTATTGTCTTTGATACTATTAACGGCTGCTGGTCTTTTTCTGAATCTGAAAGGAGATGTTGGTCGTGTGAGAACCTCAATAGAACTAGTATCTTTTTCTTCTGTTGTTGAAGAAGTGGGTGGAGCCGTAGATTCAGGGGGCGTGGAGTCTGCTTCACTCCATGGTTGCGTTGTCTTCGTTTCCTGTGGTTTGTCTGAGCTCGCGTCTCTTTCGCTCGATGGTGGCATTGTGCTCGTCTCTTTTGGTTTTTCTGAGCTCGGGTCTGTTGCCCTCGATAGTGGCGTTGTGCTCGTCTCTTTTGGTTTATCGGTTGTTGTGCTTCGCACCATTTTAGGGTTTTCACTACTGGGTGTCGGCGAACATGCTGAAAAGAAAAATAAACACCATTGATGAAGATGCTTCCTAAACGGTTTCAATTTTCTTGCTACTCTTCATGTTCATTAACACGTCATGTCCATACTTAGAACTAAAGCAGGAAAACCTTTGAGACAATTGTAATGATCTGGACACAGACGGCCTTTCTGATCACGCGTGTGTTACACGTGAACGACAAAAATACCCGCTTGAAATGTCAAAGTTTTTATCTCTTGTTTTTAACACATAAAAGTTTTAAATTGGTTCAACTTCAGTTTTTGGTACCTGAAGTTAAACGATGCTTTATGATTTTGCTAGAAAATGTTTCTTTGTTGATGTGTTGTGACATATATGTACAACTACTGACTATAGGCCATTGCATTAACTAGTAATTAAAGATGCATATAAAACCTATCCGTATCGGCAAACCATTGACATACTGATAAGACATTTTGAAAACTTGGAGGAAATTAGATAGGGTAACACTCACTGAATGTGCTTTTTAGAATAGACATATCAACGAGAAAAAGAAATGCGCTTACCTTCAATTGTTGCCGTTAATCCTATGAGCACAATTAAGGTGGTGAAAGTTCTCGACATTTTCAATTCTTTTGTTGAAATAGTTGTCATCACTTAATAATATCACTTTGTGTTGCTACTTTGACAATTTCTTGGAGCGTTGCTTCTCTTCTTTCTCTTCAGTGACTCTTACACTACGTGAATGAAGTGTCGCTGTCCGTCTTCCATTTTTATACTCAAATTTTTCTTTTCGTGACTCCTTGATTAACCTTTTCTTTGGCTGTAATTTGTTGTCGACGTAGATATGGTGATGAGGTTTTTTGTTCTTAAATCTAAATAGCGTTGCCTTGGCAAAAAGGAAATTTTGGCATGTGTATTATAATGTCAATATTGCTTTCCGGCTTTATTCACGTTGTCCTTATCGCTTTAACTCATGTTGGGACTTGGGAGATCTCCTGTTTGCAAATATTCCCACGTACCTATGCAAACAACCATTGTTTAACTGTTTGTACATGATGACCAACTACTGCGATTCGCTTTCGTGACTGTCATTTTTCATTTTTCTTGTGGGAAGATCATGTCTTTAATTGGAGTCAGACATGTTCCGTTCGTACTTTAGTTCCTTTTTTTTGGATAAAAATTCCGATGTTTTGATCTACTGCCAATATTGCCATGCAGCTTCATGAGCACGAATTATTTAGTGTATAAGCACTATAAGTTAGCCGATAAAAAAAATATATCATGAAACGTAGCTAGTTATGACCTATCAATAATCAACTTGATACGTGCATTACATCATGATTAAAACGGATTACTTGTTAAAGGTCTTAATTTTCATCCATTCTGTAGCTATAAAAGCAAGAACATCTAAAACGTGCTTTATATTTTAATGTTTTCGGAGCAATATCTAGTTTATTCGATAAACATTTTACCTATATCAGAGATTAATTGAAGGCGTTGTGTAGTCCAGGTTTATGATAATTATGCTACAGTGCTGATTCACCGTCCACCTAGTTATAAAATCTTGCACTGAGTGCAATATTTTCTACCCACAATTGACGGTCGGTGAAAGAAAGTTTTCGCAATAAATTTTTATTTTACATTTATTCTATGTTATTTGCCAAACGATATTTTTTTTTATAAATTATGTTACCAGCGGAAAGCAACCAATATATGTACAAGAATTATGTGAAAGATTCTCAGTAATTATATGGTAATTGGTTAGAATTAGATGACGACATTGTGACAAGGGCTTTGTTACATTGCGAGTTACATAATTCAATTAAAATACCAATGTCTTGTATTGTGCGAAAAGTATAGAACTTAATCAAATGAACTAGCCTAAAAAAACCTAGTAAATAAAATGAACTAACTAAGCTATAGAATAAAACGGATTTGAATACAACTATTGTGGTTGCGTTGCGTGGTGCTACTTCCTGGCTGTGCAATCATTTTCAAAACAGTTGTTCTAACGCGGCACTATTCAAAATTTCTAACTTTAAAGAAATTTAATTTTTTGGTTAAAATGTTTTGTGACATACTCAAGCATATTTGAAAACGGTTTGACATTTTTTTACATATGAAAATTTTGTGTTTAAAACTCCATAGTAACTTCATTAGCACATGACACATCTGGATTCTTAATGTAATAAATGTTTTAATGATCGACGTTTGCTTTGCTGGTTTATTCTATGTGTCGTGGACTCCTTAGCCATGTAATATCTTCATTTGAAGTGGTTTCATTGTTTCGAATAAACTCGTGTATTTAGGTAGTATTTACTGTCAAACACTTCTTTTCTATATAAAACAACTACAAATAATAATAATAAAACAATAAAATAAAACGAGATCTACTTTAGGGAGTTGAACAGCTAAGAGATTTTGCATGCTCAATATTTAACGTTCATTATTATTGATTTTCACACGTTTTAAAAACTTCCCGGAAAACCTCAAGTTCTTCAAAGATCCCGCCGTGATGTTCATTCTTTAGTGCTGATACTTTTTGTTGGTATTTCAAAAATTGCAGATTCAGAACGTGGAGTCGAGAGTAGACTTTTAGATTTACGAAAAGCATGCTAATGCTAAATAATTTAATAGACTACAAAATACAGCTTTTGTGTTTTCTTCAGAAGACTCTTTGGCTGTCGTTAACATATAACGTAGACTTTATATTTTCAACTTATTACAAGGTGAAGTGTAAGATGTGGTATCGTAGAGACTTTCACGCAAACTGCACAACTGCACTCCACATTTTCTTTCTTTCCTTTCACGGAGAGAAGACGGGATGGAGATGTAACTAATGTCGTGCACATCACTATGTAAATGAATATGTCGCCATGACAAAAATGACATAATTTGTCATAAGCGTAGCGATGTTTTCCTTCGATACGAGCTGAAGGTTTCCTTTAGATGGAATAAGCACATTTACGAAAATACACAATAGCAACAAATGTTTATTTGAAGTTTGCTTCTCCCCTGAACGAAATTCGAGGCGCATTAAAAGTATTGTCACATAGATTTGCTTAGAATTCATTAACTTTAGAGTTACCAGATGAGAGCATTGAAAACATCAAATGCTCAACTAAAAGGTTGAGAAGGCCTCGACAACAAAAAATGTGCGTTGACAATGTAGCAATATTGATGAATGCTAAGGATTGTCTTTAATGTTGATGTACTGTCATTGTTAAGACTTTAATTTTCCGATTTTGCATTCAATTTATGTCATTTTGCAAGATAATATTATATTGATTTGTGATTGAGGATGCGCTAACAGGGAACGCCATTCATTATTTATGAAGATTCTCGGTAATTATATATTCATGGGTGATAGGCAAACTAAAAAGCCAACATTACTGCTATCAAGTCTTGAAATCAAAGATAAAGGTTGATATAAAGGTTGTATGTTGTAATAGAAAGCAAACCAATTGATACTGAATGCGGGATAAATTGTGGCAGAAAATTCTACATCGATTCAATCGTTGAAAAGAATTAGTCTACAGTCTCTTTCGGACAATTTCCTCTCAAAGGTACTCGCAAAACAAGTTATTATAAAATCAACAAAACCAAACACATGTCAAATGCTTCCTAGCAGCGACAATTTGTGATCTAAAGTACTGTTGTCTTCCATTTATGACAACGATGCCTAGACACGCAATCATAGCACACACTGTGGTAGCTACAAGCGATTATTTGGACTAACGATTCTGAAGAATGTACTGGCAAAAGAAATTATGCAATTATGTGATTCTACCGTGAAGAAATGCACATGGATATCCATATTGCAGTGTCATCAATAGACACCTGAAAATGTTAAAGAAACTGGATATGTGATATAAGAATAAGGATATGTGATGTAATAGAAAATAAATATTTATTACTAAATAATAATATCGCTTCTTGCATCCAGTTTCGTTGACCTACCAGGTTTCATTTAATGTATATTCTCATTTTCCGGGGATGAGAAGATCTTATGACTGTTGGCAGTGCTGTGAGGGCCTGTCTGGCAGGGCGGGTAATTTCAGTCACAAAATGGCGACGTTTTTAACTGGCACATGGTTGTAAAGAAATTGAAAAATAAATCACATTACCAGGCCATATTTTCCAAATAAATCGCGAAAAAAGAAAAATTGGAAACTGTTGAAGACTTGTTTACTATTACTTTGAAATTTGAGGATGAAAGATCCAGGAGAAAGGCAATTGTTTATCCCAAATGGGGATGTTTCCTTTGCAGAATACCACGGTAAGTTTGCATTGAGTTGATGTAAGAAGTTGCTTATCATCCTTCAAATAAAGAATCGCGCGAATGTTAATAGCCATGTAATAGCTGTTTGAAAGTTGCATGGTATTAAGAGACCAGCCACTGCTAGTCTGTCACATCTTTTGCTATGAGATTTGGACACCTTGTACCAAAGAAACCTAAGCACAATAAAAGAATACAATAATGTGTGCGCTGCGCTGAATGATTAGCAGGAGAATTTGCTTTAGTGTAAATGTGGGAAACCAATCGGTGATTTTAATGACTTCAATCAATTAAATTAGAGAAATTTACAAGTCAATAATCAATACATGTTTGAGGAAAAATTAACACATTTGCTTTAAATTTATTTATTTTGCATTATTGTTACTTTCTAAAAAAATAAAAGATGTTTTTCGTATTTGAAAATGTTTATGCAAAGGAATTTACAAAATGAGAATACCCAGATTTCGTGTACGTTTGTATCTTATCACATAAACAACACCAAAACATTGCAAATGACAAAAAAGGGAAGGAGCTAAGGATGTCTTAACAGGCACAAACGCATGAATTTCAAACTGTGAGCAAAACAGATAGCCACAATGCACAAGTGGGAGACGAATTGTTGGTTTTACTGTTGTAATGTAAAAGCCACTGGCGACGCCAAGGCTGAGGGCTTTTCACGCGTTCAAGACAACAAAGGAAGTTGGAAGAGATATGACGCAAATGCAAATGACTTGACCAGTAAATGCTTACAACGTGCCTGTGTAAAAGCTAATGTTCTCAAATCGTATCAATGGGTTTAAAGTTTAGCGAAAAAAGAGATCGTTGCAACGAGAAAGCGCACACCTCAATAACGAAACTTGGAAACTCGTTCATAAGCATTGTCGTAGCATACTCGATAATTGGGGGAACATTCATAAAAGAACATGTTCTACCTTATTAAGTTTATTTGAAATCCATTGTTTTCTACCTAGTCAGGCATGTATATATGAATTTGTGACCAAACTCCCCCTTTGTGACCAACCTATTCATTTAAAGAGTTTGCTACTGCATCTAAGATGAGTATTTTTTCCAACTGTTTGGAATTTTCTTACCTCACATTTGTTTACCAGCAGTAATGGTTCTTGGAGTTCAGATGTTGCATTACACTGGATGAAAAATCGAGTGGAAAACTATGGACTCTGTGATTGTTAGTAAAAAGAAGGTAGGTGATTATGTTTTCTCCGTCCTATTGCCGATCTGCTAATGATTTTATACTATTTGCTTTTGAAAATTAAGTGATAAAGTAGTGGCGTCCAATTAAGTCGAGTTAAATTGTTAAAGCTCTTTTTTGGATTATTAAAATTCCAAGCACCTTCTTTTTCTGTTCTTAATTTGAAATTGAGTGCTATTCATCTTCATTTTTTACTAACGTTTGATTTGCCACTGATGATGAAGATTTAATAACCTTGCAATGAATTGCAATGATTTTGGCCTGCAAACTCTTATTTTAAAAGGTTGATGGCAAATTTCACAGGAAGTTATTTAATATTGAATATGAGAATATGTTAAATTAACCAATAATATGTAACGGTAAATGCGCGAGCGCTGGCTGCAAGATTTGAACGCTGCTATAGAAGTAGATATAGCCGGCTCATGCAATTGCCGATGATGTCAAACCATTGTTCATATGCTTTATAACTTCCTTCCTTATTAGGTGGCAGGACTAACGACAAATTATTCTCCCTCTGCAATTTGAAGTTTATTGTTGCTCCTC